GCTGGTGATTAGATGTCCCTTCTGAAAGGACAAGGGTTTCAATTAGGCACCGTGCCGGGGCTGGAGCGGGGTTGGCATAGGAGTGGCTGTTTGAGCAATAATGGCTGGGTTTTTTCATCTTCTCCCTTTCTTTTCATGGTATTGACAATCCATACATGAGATGCTCTAAGGCTGTGGGATGTGAGCGTTGTGAATGGGCTTGGGGGTAGGGATGTGGGACTGGGAAGAGAAAAAGGGCTCTGGGCTGCCAGAGTTTGGTGAGGATTCCATGGAAAGTCTTGGGAAGAAATTGGGAATGATTAATGGCTATAACAAACTCAGGCGTTTGGAAAGGCAAGAAAATCTTTCATCCTTTATAAATAGGAAAGTATCTGGAATAGCGGATGAGTCTGTTGCCTGTAAAGTACCACTGTGTAAATAATCCATCCTGTGGATGAACGCTGTGTGTGTTGTCTTTGGGAATTAGCTGTGTTATCCCTTAAGCAAAAATGGACTTTGATGCGAGCTCTGGCTCTCCATTTGCTCTGTCCACTTCCACAGGTGCTCGGCACCATGCCTGGGGCTGCAGCCTCTGCCCAAGGAGTGCTTACATGGGAGTGGGGTGTTGTTGACATTGGGAGGCCGTTAGAACTGAGGCTAATGGAGAAAAATAGCATCTGCTTGGAAGTCAACATTGTATGAATATCTCCCACTCTATTAACAACTTGGGTCCTTGACTGCTGTTTGGGTATTGGCAGAGTGATGGCTTCTTCAGTGGAGCTCTCCAGAATTAGCAGAGCCATCTGGCTTTTGCTCTCTTCTGAGAAACTTTCCTGCCCTCCTCTTTCACTAAGGAGCTGTTGCTAAGCAGCTTGTAATTTGTGTTGCGATGCTACGCTGCAGCCTGTCATAACAGACACCGTGTTGTGTGCAAGCACACAAGAAATGCAACCTCCTTGCTCTGAAAGTCCCTGTTTGTAAGAACCAGCCAGGAGAGGATGCGGTGAGGAAGGGAAACCATCGTCAGTCCTTAAGCAGGGCTTTTGCTTGAAGCCGTGGGTTTTTTTGGGGTTTTGTTTTTTCTTTTCTTTTTCTTGGAGAGGCATCTGTCCCCTTTTCTGTGTGAGATTATTTTTACTGAACAGGGCTCAGAAGAAGCTCCCATCTGAGTGCCAAAAGTCAGGAGGGATCCATTCTTGCAGTGACCTGAGCACAGGAGGGGAAATAGCAGAGGTCTCACAGCAGAACTGCCTGTCTGCTTCTGCTGCCCCCCTCGCACAGGGCGAGGAAGCAAACATCCGTGTTGCCTTTATCCCAACCACCAAGTGTTTGCAGCTGACTCGCACAGCTACACGTGAGCCCTTCCCTTCTTTATTTTTGATTCTCTTTTGAGGCAGCTCTCCAACTATTGGCTTCCAGTTTTGTTCTGCAACGTGTTTGGAAGCCCAAAGGATGCCCGGCTGGTCCAGCGAGAGCGGTCTGGGATGCAGGTCATGGTGTGACCCCATTGCTGCCATTTGGCTTCTCTGCAGAGCTGTGTTTAAGGGATGGATGCTTGGGCGATGCCGATACGCCGCGTCCTCAGCAGTGAGCCTTCATCCCTGGGCAAGTGCTGATGACAGCTTCTATCAAGCGGAACATCTGGGGCTGGCAGGCCGACTCTGAGACAGGGATTTGGTTCGTTGGAAGCTTGCTGGTGGCTGAGATCTCAATGCTTTCATCGCAGAGCCATGCTGAACTTATGCCACTCTTAATGCGGCTGTGTTTGTGAAACCAGTGAGTTTGTCATAGTAAGACTCGGCAACATCCTGATTGCTTCTATTAGTTAAGACTTTTTTGTTTTAATATCACAGCCACATACGGGTTGTGGTGGCCATCTGAGTTGGATGTGGGAGCTTAAAAAAGCTCATCGAGCAGTAATTATTCTTAAAGATGCTCGCTGTCACTAAGGTGCCTGTGGCAACGCACTAAAACAACAGCCCAAGTAATTATTGCAACAGTCCAAGTAATTATTAGTGCATTGCAGTGGGAGCCCTGAAGAAGCCCAGTACTTCTGGAGCTGCTGCCAATGCCAGATGAAGTCACCGTGCTTCTCCTCGCCAGCTGTTTGTTTTGTTGAACCGCAGCAATTTCTCCAAGTTACTGAAGTTGATGTCATTGGAAGCGATGTGACATTTTTGCACACGTATAGAATAAGTGTTAAAAAATGCTCCTGAAGAGCTTTTCCAGTCTTGTCTGGGAGCTGGCTGGGGAGCTGAGTTCAACTGCCTTGATGGAACTTAATCCATAAAGCAAATGAGTCATCAGGCACCAATGGCTTTACCATAAATGTCAAACAATTTCTTACTGATTGGGACAGTTAGCACTTACATCTGTTTGGTGGAGGAAAGAAAAAAAAAAAGAGGAAAAAAAAAAAAGCCTCACAATTCAGCATCATTTTCATCAGCGTGCTGTGCTGCCTCTTCCCCTTTGCAGGAAGTTGTAGGAATAAAGGTCAATGTTTGATTTATTTTCCTTTAGAAACACTGGCTCTTCAGGCAGATGAAATATTGGTTCTTTTCAGAGGAAAAGAAAGAATCTATTTATCTGTGCAGTGCGTGCCCAAGAGAGGCAGGAGTTGGGCTGCAGCACTGGAAGGGCTTCTTGAGAGCCCACTGTGCTACCCAGGTGTCTGTGATTCCCCCACTACCCACGTGGGGCTTGAGGTTGGATTCTCTGTGGCTTGGATACCCCTTCATTTGAAGCTTGGTCTTCAGAATCTCCCCTCCTTGGCTGGTAAATTCTTTAAGCCACCAAGGGAAAGTGTTCCCCCTCTTGCAAAGGCCTCGTGGAAAATCTATGGCTGTTGAATGGATGCGGAAAGGGGGGAGGTTAGCTTTAACTTTATGGCATCTTCATTATCTCTGCTCGTGCTGAAAAAAGCAGATGCTGAAGTAAGAAGGAGAGAGGGCTGGCTGTTGCGTGTAACCACAGCAGGGAGCGAGAACTCGTGCAGAGGAGCAGAGCTGGGGTTGGGGGCAGCTCTCTCTGGGTGATATTTATTAGCAGCAACACTGGAGAGGACACACAAGCAGCAAACCTCCCTGCGTGGCTTGCTCTAGTTAAGGTCACCTTTCTAAATCAAAGAAATGGGGCTCTTGACAGCGGAGCTTTGTGCATCTTCTGTGAAGTTCAGATAGTGGGGCTTTTATTAGGACCTCAATTAGTCCCTGTTATTGTATTGTATTGAGGGATGAGGTCAGTTGACTGGGAATTTTGCTAACAAGGTTTCGCTCCTGTCTGCTTTTTACAAATGTTAACACGGGGTGCCCACCAGCGCTGTGCACTTGCTGTTAATGAAACAAAGATGAACAGTCCAGCAGCCCTCAAAGCTCTCCTCCTTCCTCTGCCCCTGAGCTGCTCGACCCACGTCAGTGCACTTGAGCTCGGATGCTCCCTGGGGCTTTCATTCCTCCAAAATCTGCTGCATCGCTTTTCCTTCTGGTTTTGCACGCTGCTGCCGGAACACGAGAAGGATGATCTTTGTTGGACAGGATGATTGATTGGGTTTGAAAAGGAAATGGGAAAATAGGAGGTATGGTGAGTGATGCTCGTGGAGCACTGTGAGTTTGACAGGAACTCTCTGAGGCAGCTCGTGCTTTGCTGTGGCACACTTTGTGTGCTGGAGTTATTCAGGTGCACGCCGACTTTCTTCTCCTCTCAGCCCGGAGGTGGCAGGAAGTTTCACTTGTTTTCCTCACTGGGCCACTGTCATCCCGCAGCACCTTGTGCTGAGTTTGGGCTTTCTCCAGAGCTTGAGTCCAGAGTTTCTGGGACTTGCAGTGATGTCCTTCCATGCTTTGCAGTGCCTTGCTCAAGAAGATGCTCAGCTCCCATTCTGCTGCTGGAAGCAGAGTGTGGTTGAGACGAGATTTTTGTCTCACATGTAGTTCAGGAGATGCTGTCAGCAGAGGCTAAGAGTGAATTCAGCTACAGCAAATTCTCTCCTGTGTAACCTTTTGCACCGTGTTTAGCCAGCGTGCCTTTCTTTGCTTTATCTCTTCCTCAAGAAAAAGCAACTTTAATTCTGGTCTCTGATAGGATACAGACTATCAGCTCTTCTTGAGGTGTAAATCCCACCTTATCAGGAAAAAAAGCTTTCAGCCTTCCTTCCCTGCCTCTCGGAGACAAAGACCAAGCCTGCTGTAGTGACTGTTTTATTTCAACTTCTTCCAACAGCGCCGAACACTCCTCATAACCTCGTGCAAAATGGGAAGCTTTAAGCACCTTGCTGAGAAGGGCATCAGTGTCTTCACGTGGCTGTCATGGGGGCAGAGGTAGCTGGGCTCCTGTGATCTGATATAGCAGCTGGGAGATTATTCCCAGCAGGAGCTCCAAGCGAGTTGTCATGGTCAGGCTTGGCATCCTGCAGTGATGGGAAGCCTGGGAGCTGCCCTTGGCATTGGGATGATGTGGTGCAGGTAATCCCATGGCCCAGCAGGCTGCACTGCAGGTGATGAAGAGCTGGATATGGGGCGCATTCTGTGAGGCAATAATTTGGCTTTATTTATTTAATTTGCTTTCCTATCTTTTCCGAAGCTGCGACCCGTTTTCGCTTCATTTTCTAAAGGTTATTCACAAAGAGCAATAGGCTTAAAGCAGGGCTGAATTTTAGGGCAGTGTGGATGTTCAGAGAGCTCCATGTGCCGTCGGAGGGCGGTCACGGCTGCAGTGCATGCATGGAGTTGAGCCTGACCTCCTGTTTCAAAAATATCCTTTGGTTTTCCACTGGGCTCCGAGACGTTCTGGCCAGGCTTTGCTCTGAGCTTCTGGTTCCTATTATGTGCCCAAGTAGTTGTGCTGTAATGCTCCTTTTTTTTTCCCTCCCCCGACGCCTTCACAGTATTTTTCTATCATTAAAAAAGACTTTTTTTCCCCTAACTAAACCATCAGCTGCAACAATCCAAGCAGTAAAATCTTTCCTTATGCTGCGAGTAAACTGCTTTTGGTGCTATCATTGACTTTGGCTTCCCTCCCTGCAGGGTGACATCCAGCAGTTGCTGATCGTGGCCGACCCCCGGGCAGCCCATGACTACTGTGAGCACTACAGCCCCGACTGTGACACCGCCGTCCCCGACTCTCCACAGTCCCAGGACCCCAACCAGGATGAATACGTGAGTAGGAGCTCGTGGCTGCAGGTGGGGATGCCCTGGGGGCAGTGATATGGGGCTCCGTGCTGTGGTTGCAAAGCTTAGTGTGCTTGTTTCAATCTGAAGGGACCTTTAAAGGCCATGTGTTCACAATCCTTGCAGTGAACAGGGACACCCAAGCCCTGCTTGGGTGCTCAGAGCCCCTCCAATCTGACCTTGTGTGTCTGCAGGGATGGGGCACCACTGCCTCTCTGTGCAACCTGTACCAGTGCTGCACTGCCCTTAAAGGCAAAAACTTCCTCCTCCTATCCAGTCTTTCTCCTGTCCCGCTTTGCTGTAAATCCTTTATAATGCAGTGGCTGAAGCAGAGGTTGATCTTAGGATCCTGCAGTCCTGGTCTCCTACCCACAGGGCTTTCCCTTCTCATCTGTGCTCTTCCAGTGAATGCAGTGCAGGTTTGCTCAAAGCTCAGAACCTTGCAGAGGACAGATCCTGAGCTGATGGAAGCACTGACCTTCCCAGGCAGACCAAACCCCATCCAAAATGTGCACCTGTTTCTAAAATCCAATTTTAGCTCTTAAACTTGAAAGCAGATTAAGTCCTTTTTTTTTACTGGTACTCCTTTGAAACGACAGGTGTCAAAGGCTGGAGGAGGAATTTTTTTTTGCCTGTACGTTTGCCATTTGAATTTCCTTTTGGCAGAAATGGTCCCAGCTGATCTGTAATGATTTCTCCCATATGAGCTGCTGGGCTGCACAAGGCAGCTTTTCCTACAGTCAGAACTTATTTTCTTTAGAAAAAGTAAAGGGGAAAAAAAAAATAAAATAAATGGGGTGCCTCCGTATTTCTGCTGCTCAATCGGAAACATCTGAGTGGGGCTGATTTCCAGAAGACCATCATCTGAATTTGACACATTTAGAAGAGGTCTCAAGCTCAGCTCACAGCAATTAAAGCGTCTGGCACCCTCAGGCACTTCTCAGTGCCTTGGCTGCTGTTTCTGCCCGGTTTGCAGGAGTGCAGTGCCCTCTGCTTTACTCTCAGCTTCTCCCCACTGATCTGCAGTGCTGTTGCTGTGTTCTGGCTCATGCACCTCGGGCTTTGGGTTAAGGAGCTGCTTTGGGGAGCAGAGTGCAGCTTGCAGCAGTGCGGCCCATGGAAGCTGTAACCGTGCTGCCAGCGCTGCTGGAGGATAGACTCTGGTGTGATCAAAGTGCATGGTAGTAGGAAAAGAAAGCTCTTCTTCTGGAGCCAGCAGTGCAACAAGGGCTGGCTTGTCTCTGGGCTGTGTTGCTCTGTGTAAGAATAACTCGTCCATGCGACTGCTGCCAGCCGGAGTGATGGGCTGGCAAAGAGATCGGCCGTGCCCGGCTGTAACCAAACGTTTGGTTTGTATTTCATTCTGAAGAATGACTGACGCCTTGTGGAAAACTCTGAAAATATCTGGGTTTTGAAGCCCTCCTGCCTGCGGGTCACGGGCAGATAGGAAATCACAGGCATGCTATAAGGAGAGAAAAGAGCAGCCTGGCTTCTTGGAGTGGTGGTGTGATGCACGTTGCCCTCTGCAGATCTGAGACGTGAGCCAGGAGGTCTCAACACAACTGTTTTTCTGTTTTGTAGGGTAGCTGAGGGTGACCAAATTCCTGCTGTGAGTAGCTTTGCTCTCTTTGCTAAGGCAGAAATTGCCCCTGGGCTGAGAGATTAGCGGGGACCTGAAAGCACAGAGCAGCCCAAACTCAGGCTCCTGGTGTTACAGAAGAAGTACGGGAGGAAGGGAAACTGCCATGGTCACTCCACAGCAGAACTGTAGTGCTGCATGGACCACTGGTGTGAAGGCAACCTACAGAGGGCTGCTGGGCATCCACTGGGTGCCACCAGCTGATGTTCTGCTGCTTGTATTCTCTCTGCAGTATACCGATGGGGAAGGAGAAGGGGACACCTACTACTACGAGTACCCCTACTATGAAGATGTTGACGAAGCTGTAAAGCCTGAAGCACCCACCACCAAACCTGCACCCCCAGGAGTGGCTGCTGGAGAGAGACCCGAAACCAAGCAGGTACCCACGTGAGGTCCTGGTTGATAAATGGAGCTGTGAACTGGGGAGTGGAGGGTGATGCAGAACATCTGTTTTGTTCCACCTGTTGTGGTGGTTTTCATATATGCTAGTTTGATTTTTATTTTCCACACTAGGACTATCCTTCCCCCACGCCATCCCCTGAAGCAGGGGACCCCAGCAGGCAGACCAAAGGATCTGCACCCGTGGACGACCCCCTGGTGGATGAGTACAACTATGAAACCATCAACGAGGAGTACTTCACACCTCTGCCCTATGAAGACATCAACTACAACGAGGAAGTAGACCCCCAGGGAGGGCTCACTGAAAATGCCGTGGAAGCGGAGCTCCCCACGAGTACCGTCATCACCTACAATGAGACTGATGTAATTTAATGAATCCTTTTCCTTTCATTTGAATATATATATATTTTATCTCTATTATTTCTTAGCCCTGAGCAAAGGAGATGTGATGATCCATACGATAAACCTGCAGGTGGCTCGGGCAGCTCTGTGAGAGGAAGTGTCAGGGTGTGGGATATTTTCATTTTGTCATTCTTACTGAATGGCACTTCCACATTTTTCAGATTGAAACATAAAAAAAAACCCAACCAAACGGCTTCAGCACTGGGACAAACCCTCACATTTGAGTTATTCCATTTGTCCACAGAGGCCCTCTGTCTTGTTGCAGATCTACTGACAGTGGAATCGGCCCAGATTCCACAGCTGATACTCTTTGGAGCAGTTGCGTTTTCGGTTCCCCACATTTAATGTCACCATGTCACACTTGAGACTGCTCTGCCCTTAAGGCTTGCCCAGTTTTTTGTTTTTGTTGGTCTCATCCTCTGATGAGACTGAAATGAGCTGTCATGCAGCTGTGTCGCATAGCTCGCCAGGCAAGGAAATAACTTTCTAGTTGATGAGGCAACTTTGTCGTTACCCAGGAGCATCAGCATGGGGAGCTGATGGTAGGATGAGGTTTCCTGGGGTGGGATTTGGCAGTGCTCTGTGGTTCTTCCTTGAGCAGAGTAGGAGTGAGCGATGGGACCGTGAAACTCAAGGCTTGCTGGGAGATGTCAGAGAGTGGCAAAAAAAGAAAGCAGAAGCTGGCCAAGATAATTGGAGCTGGGCCTGAAAGCGTGAATTAAAAGGTGTCAGGGAAAGTGTCCAAGGAAGAGCTGAAGAGTGAGGGGTGTTGAGCCCAGACGGATGGGATGGAGCTGTTGGGAGAAGGCTGAGTGGAGTGGAGAGATGCTCAGGGGGAAAGAAAAGCACTCCAGCAGATGGATGGACCGAGCGCCAGCCTGAGGGAACCAAAGGATGGGAAATGTTTCTGTTTCCTGACGTTGATCCAGAAATTTTTTGGCCAAACTTGTGCTTTCTAATAGGGAGGAATTAAAGATTGGATAGGATGATCTTAAAAAAAAAAAAAATAAAATAAAAAAATTTGGAAGTGGAAATAAGAGGCTTAAGGGCCTCTTTAAATTGTTAGGAAAATCAAATAGAAAAGGAGCAAAGCTCAGGTAGGGAAATACTGGGCAAAGCTTTCCTGTGTGAAAACTCAGCCTGCTCTCCCAAAGCATCGCAGGGCATCCTGAGGCTGCCCACCTCCAGCAGCTCAGAGGTGCATGTAAATGGGAAAGGCCGTGGCACTGCTTGGGGGTGGGAGTCTGCTCCACTTCATCCACTGAATCCTGCAGTGATGCCCAGCTGCAGGAGGTTCCCCTGCACTGAGGGCTGATACAGTGTGACAGAGCCCCAAAAGGTGCGCGTAGCCAAGGGGATGAGGGTTTGCACCACAGGGTGGGAGCTGGGAGCCCCACCTGCAGCCATGAGCTCCTGGTGAGGCTGAATGCTTTTATCCAGCAGCAGAGCAGTCTGAGCAGTGTGGATGTGAGGATGTCACTGCTGAGTTCACCTGTCTGGATTTTGGGCAGACTGTAATTCCTATGGTTGGAATTCTAAGGGACTTGGAGATACAGGAGACGGGGGGAGAGGTTTTGGAGGCAGGCTTAGGCTGTTTACTTTCCTGGGCTTGAGTTTGCTTACAGCTAATGACTCTGTGATAAATGTCAGCGGAGCAATGCTGAGATTTAGTAGGCAGCAATACTCCTGTGAACATGAGGAGCTGGGGACAGATATATTCTGTTCATCGCCTGCTATTCATCAAGCAGTTTGCTTTGCTTGTCCGGATGCACACACACAAAGCTGCATCGCTTTCTTGAAAAGGAAGGCTAAAAGATGATTTAAATGAGGTTGTTATCAGCCATGGAGCATAGCAGTACTTTGCACAATGATTTTTTTGACCTCCTCTTTTCTTTTTGCACTGTGTTCTGAATTCAGGCTGCTTTTGTTCTTTCTCTTTCCGAAGCACCTGAAGGTTTCAGCACAGAGAGCTTTCCTTCTGCTCTGCCCTCTAATCCAGGATATTATCTTCTTCCAAGCAAATTGATTTGGGGATATCAAAACATCAAAAGAGGCATTTCTGATGTTCGTGTCACGAAATGCAATTTGAGGAAGTTTGCTGTGTTCTCTCTAAAAGCTTTGTAGGGAGATGAACAAGCTTGAAGGTTTCAAAGTGCAAACGCAGATAAAAAGAGTTTTAACGGGATAGCAGAGGTGTGACAGCACCTGATCCGTTTGCACGGTGCAAAGGAAAACTAATGCAAAGCTTTCCCAGCTTTCTAATCAGGAACCATCATCAAGTGGTTTAGAAAGGAGTAGTTTAGAATCATTTTATATTTCATATTTTATCACAGAGTCAAAAAATGGATCTGGGAGCAACTTGGATCTGTTAGCTGTGTGCTGCCAAATATTTGTTTCAGAAACACATAAGGACTACATCTGAGATGTCAATGTCTGGCCTTATCCAGACTTTGGGTTAAGAATCATTTCCTAGAAGAAATTTACTTCTGAGGCTCTCTGCTCCATACCTTGAATGTTGCTGTAATCAGACATAACCATTTCCCAAATGGCCACGGCATAGCAAGGGAACGGGGAGAGATGCGGGTTGTTGGGAACTGCTTTGTAGCAGAGCTGTGGAATTCAGTGATGCTCTTTTGGATTTTGCCTCTGTCCCCATGTTTTCAATGCTGGTTCAGGAAAATATGAGATGGGATGACTTGTCACGAGTTCTCCTTGCTGATTAAATGATGAAAGTGGGCAGAAGTAGGAAGCGCGCTGCCTTCTAATGAGGCTTCTTTAAATCCTCCTGCATGCAGATACAGATGCTCATGCTCATGGATTCTGAGCAGTTCTGGCACAGAAACAAGGTCTGCAAATGATGGTGGCATTTAAGTGATTTTGAATTCATAGCAGTGAAGAGATAATCTCTCTGGGAAGCACTGGAAGTAATTCAATTTATGGACCATTTTGTTCATTAACAAGAAGGGAAGGAAACAAAATGATTATCAGAACGTTTCCTTCCTTATAGTGTCCCTCCAACTGAAGGAGAGAAGTGGCTGCAGAGAGGGCAGGGAGGTGGACATAAGGAAGGAAACTGTGATACATGTCTGGTGTCTCTGTACTGCAGCATCTGTTGCTGTGAAGATGCAGAAAGGATTTTAGCTGTTAATGCATCAGATTTGTAAAATCTGCCCCTGCTTTTTGGAAAAGCAGGGTGGACTTGGATCGCAGACAAAACAAACAGGAGGGCTTTGTATAAACAAACTGGGATTTTTCCACATTTCCTCCTGTAATTTGCTTCTCACAGCGGCGCGTTGCGTTTTTTGACTGGGATGGTGAGAATGGGATGGGGTTCGGTTTATTTGTTCATTTACTTGGTGCTTGTTAATCCGATGGCTTCAATATTCAGGCTGTGGAAGGCGAGCAGGAAAATTCAGTTCCACATTTCTCAAAGCCTCTGGAGTCTGTGGGGATGTCCCAGCACAAACCCCTGCTTTGTGCTGCTTTGTTTGCCTCACTCAGACCGTTGCACTTTCACTGTTATTTTATGCTTGGGGGGAGGGTTGGTGCTGCTGGGGAAGGCCAGAATTGTGTGAAGATCCTTCCATTCTTCTTGCCTTCCTTTGGGGGAGACTCTTGGAGGTCACCGGAGACCTTAAAACTTCAGAACTAAACTTTTCTTGTGCTTTCTATTGACAACCATTAGCATGAGGCTGCTTCCCTCCCCAAACCCCTCGGTCCCCTCCTGGGCTTTCAGCATTGCACAACCTGCAGAGATTTGCAGCCTGACGCATTGCTGCTCTCACTTCCAGGCTACTCAAGGAGGAGACGACCTGGATAAAGACTTCACTGAGGAAACGATAAAAGAATATGATGGGAATTACTACTATTATGACAGAACAGTGTCTCCTGACATTGGGCCTGGGATGCCTGCCAACCAGGACACCATCTACGAAGGGGTGAGGGAGTATTTTTTCCCCATCAAATGCACGCTTCAGAAACTATTTTCTTCCTCCACAGCTCAAGACGAGCAATGCAAAAGGTGGGGATCCCATCCCACTTGGGTTCATCCACCCAAGAGGCAATGTTTGCCGTGCCATCAACGTCTCCTTGCTCCATTTGTGCTGTGCAGAGATATCGTGACATTGCCTCCTGTTCCTGCTCAAGACCGTTGGTTCAGGTGATGCTCTCTCTGACTGCTTGTCTTTGTTCTGTTCCATTCTGTTCTGCTGCAGATTGGAGGCCCACGGGGTGAGAAGGGGCAGAAGGGTGAGCCTGCCATAATTGAGCCGGTAAGGACAACTCTGCGTTCTCTATGGTGTGGTGCTCCTGGTAGTACAGCTGAGAAGAAAATTTCCCATTACTTGGTCCATTTTAATATAAAATACCGTAATTATTTCCTTTTAAGACAATTCACAGAGCAGCTTAAATTAGGAAGGAAGTGCTCAATTTCCCATGACATCTCATTTGCTATAGCGCAACCCCAGACCTTCCAAAATGGAAGTGCCTGGCAGAGGAGAGGCTATTCCCCATCTCTATAGGGATTTTGGAGGTCCCACAACGCTACTCCTGCAGCCTGGGGCCAGACCACACTCTGACCCAAAACCTCTGCTTGGGGATGGCTTTAATGGTGCAGCCAATGGGTTTGTCTCTGTGCAAATAAAGGGTTCTCAGAGCACAGATTGCTCCATTGCCTGCTCCCAGGTCCCAGCAGCTTCCAGAAAAGCCCTATGTTGTCCCAGGGGGAACATCAGTGCTTTCCTTCTTTACAGTTCCACTCTGACCCATTCCTGTTTTGCTTTCTAAGGAATGGTTATAAACTGTGCAATCTACACAAAAGGTGGGTGCCCAGCAGAGCATCCCATAGGTGCAGATAGAGCCGGGGCTCCCCAGTGCTGCTTACATGCCCTCAGCAGGACCAAGGGGTTGTTGGCACATGTCTGTGTCCCTATTGAGGTGCTGGGGTGCTCCTGGGGCTGGGAGCAGGGCTTAACATTGCTGTACTCACCTCACCAGCCACATTTCCAAAGGGCCAAGCTGCACACCAGCAGCTCAGTTAGCCCAGTTCCTCTTGGCAGAGAGCCCAAGCAGTGCCCAAGGAAGCAGTCGTACTTCCCATTACCCACAGTCCATTCTTTTCTCTTCCAATTCTTCCTCCATTTCCTTCTCAAGGAGACATTGCCTATGCTGGCAGAGTGAGGAGCTGGGGGCAGCAGTTGGGCTTCACAGGCCTCCATCACTGCCTTATGAAAGCATTTCTGACCCTTCCCTTCTGGGTCCTGCTCTCACTCTGCAAACAAAGGCAAGGAGCGAACGCTTTGCTGAACCATGCAGCAACATGGAGAAGGCAGCTTCAGCAGCCCACCCTGGGCCGGAACTAATCTGAAACGTTACAAAATAATGGTTAAGTTTAATCATCCTGAAAGAATTTGGCCGCCTTTGCTATTTCAAAACACTGGAGCACGTATAGCTTTTGCCAGAGAGTAAACAAGACCAAATGCCGCCGTGTTCCTATCCGTTCAGTTCCTCTTTAACAGAGAGAAATTCACTTTTGCTGCATTCTTTATCTGGTTTTCGATCAGAGCTGCAGCAGAGGGGTGAAAAGAAAAACCGAAGGCGGGTTTCTGCTGAATTCTCTCATCTTTGCCTTCGAGCTGCCTGTTTTTCAATCCTTGCTCTGTGCTGACGCTCGCTGGAAGCAGCAGGGCAGCACAGGCTGCTCGGGGTTGTGGTCGGGATGCTGGGACCCCCGTGGTCCGGCTGTGGCGGTGACAGGCTGCCTTTCCCTGCTTTGGGCCAGAGTCAGGTGCTCACAGCTGCCTTCGGAGAGGGTTTGATCAGCTTTTGCACAGCTCCTCTCTGCACCGTGACCAGTTTTTGTGCTTTTTCTGCAGTGTTAGCCTCACTTGTGGGTAGCGACGGGGTGTTGAGGGGAGTGACATCCCTTCTTCCCCTGGATGGCCCCAAACATGTGCTCTGCTTGCCGCCCCCAAGGCAGTCCCCTATGGTGGCATGCCCCCACAGCCTCCCATATCCCCACTGCTGATGAGCGGTCATGTAAACAGCAGTGATCTCTTGCCGAGGAGAATCTCCAGATGTCCCTAAAGCTGGAGCTCAACATAAACCAACTGATAAATATGGGAAGATGCCAAGGATGTTTGCATCGTGAATGGGCTAATTAACCCGGGCTGTGCATAGGAGCATCCTGCAGCCGGCCATGGGAAGCAGAGCTCAGCCCCGTGCATGCTCAGGCCATAGTAACCCTGGTGGCATCCCCAGAAAGTTCTGGGAGGGACTGATGTGAGCTTGGGGCTCTCTGCATCAGCCTGGAGACACTGTTAGCACAGGGGAGGGGAAGGGTTGGTGTTGGGTTCTGTATTGGAGGCTGCAACACACCAGTGTGCCATCGTTTGTCTCAGTGGGGATGGGCTCTGTGGTCCCTATGTGGGGAGATGTTTGCTGATAGCTCTGGGATTTTCTATGGAAAAGGAGATAGGGCCTTGTGGGTGTCATTGCTGGGGGATCAGGATCACCTGCCCCATCCTGGTAGCCCTCAACAGCAAGGAGCTCATATTTAGTGTGGGTTGAAAGAGTACTGTGTAGGGATTACATCTAATTCCCAGCCAGAGGAGAGCAATGCCGCCATGGTTGGCAGTGAAATTACTTCTAGAAAGTGTTTGTCTGCTTGAATGGGAGATTTCTCTGTGGCCTCTTACATAGCCATGAAGGGGAAGAACAACCAAATAAATAAGTGAACAGAAACAGCTCAATTCCACTGAGTATGGGCTAGACCTGATTTAAAGTTAGGACAAAATATTTAGATGAAAAGGAATGGAATAACATAATTCTGCTGTTTTGCCTGCACAGTCATTTCCTGGGTACACAGAGTAAATCACAGTGTGCAGCCTGCTAGGAAAGTAATTTCAAAAAAAAAAAACCCAAAACCCTTGCAGTTTGCTTATTAACTTTCTATTGTTTTTTTTTCTCCAAGCTGCTGGGTCTCAGAGACTGCTGCTTCCCAAAAAGGAGCTCTTCTCCCCGTCTCCATAGCTGAGTTTTGCCCTTTAGTGAGGGGAGGAAGGCAGTGAGCGGGAAGGCAGCACCATGCTGGGGTGAGGGGCTGTTTCTCCATGCCCTGCATGATCCAAATAAATGATATTTGGCTTTGATGTCACTGAGGGAGTGTGGAAGCTAGCAGCAAGGCCTGGGCTGTTTAAGGATGGAGAAAGCATTGGGTTTTCAGCCCTGAAGTTGGGTTGGCTTTGAGGATGTGCCTTGCTAATCGCTGTTATTCCTTTCTCCTGTTTAGGGTATGCTTGTGGAAGGTCCCCCTGGTCCCGAAGGCCCTGCAGTAAGTGGTGTTGGGGTTACACCTTGCAGCTTGGTGGAGCTGGATGCATGCATTGCGGGGGGCTGATGCCTGCACAGGGCTCAGCACACAGCTGGTCCCGAGCTCTATTGCTTCCACATGCCGTGTGTGTGCGTATAAATGCTTTGGGGTTGATTTTTCTGGAGTCAAAATAAACAGAAAGCCCTATTTCTTTTCCTCCTCTTTGCATGAATGTTACAAATAATAACACATTTCCATTCAGTGGCTTTTTTTTTTTTTTTTCTCCCTGTCTTTTCTATGCTAGGGCCTTCCAGGACCTCCAGGACCAACTGGACCTGTGGGCTTAATGGGAGATCCTGGGGAGAGAGTGAGTATCCCTGTTCTTCTTCTGTTTGGCTGATGCCTTTCATCAGTTTGTGTGTTCAGAAGGGGACAGCACTGGAGTCCTGCATGCTGCTGGTTGCGCAAGGCATTTGATAGCAATCCCCTCTGAATCTTTGGTTTTAATGCCTCAAAATCTTCAAAGTCCTTTCCAACCCAAGCCTTCAATGATTCTATGATGATACTGTGATGAGATCAGGCAAAGAGATTGCCAATCCTAAAGGGTGCTTGTACTGTGGTGAAGGCAACCTTTGCATCCAGGGACGAACAGCTGGGGACCACAACTTTGAGTCTTCACTACAGCAGTGGGTTGGGCTTGCTTGCATCCCAGCACAACCCCTGGGGTCACTCCACCATCCTTGCTGTGTTCCTTCCACCTTTTTTGTGTCCCAGACTGCCCCTGTTGGGAGGATTGCTCTGTGTAGCATCTCACCTTTGCACTGGATGAGTTATTGAACTGAACCAGCAAGCACTAGAGAGTGACTGATGTGATTTAGCAACGCTGTGCCTGAGCACTTGTGCATTTGCTTTTGATGTAAATTCAGCTTGGTTTTGGAGGAGCACCAGCGCATCCCCCTTGGTGCAGCCAAACTCTTGTATAGATAAATTCATTGATTTCAGCAAGTTTGCATGAGCGAAGCAAATGGAGCTTGATATCTGTTTCGATACCTTGATGCATTTTTATGTTGAGTGCAGTCACATATGCCTTCAGAATAGCTGCTAGGACATTGCTGTTCTATTTGGGGCATGTCTCCTGCCCAGGACGCTGTGTGCATGATCTTCTCTTTGGGAGGTTTTATGTTTTCTCCCATCAGCAGTGAATGAGACTTGTTTTGACTTGGAACAGCACAGATTTCTGTAGAGAGTGGCTAAAAGAGAAAGTGAGGTGTGTTGGGAAAGCCTGGATTATCTTCACACTGAGCACAACCAGCTCTAGGGTGGCTGGGCAGCAGCACTGAGATGAGCATCCAGGGCAGCATTGGGCTCGGGGGCTGCTGGGAACAATTTTAGTGGGCATCAGAAATTCACCTAAAAGTAAAAGCAGCCCTAAGGACAGGGCTGTTGGTGGACTGAGGCATCCAGCAGTCCTGTTGGCCAAAAGGGCAAAAGCAACCCTGCAGATGGGGGTCTGAAGGTAATCTGGGACCTTTATTTCTAGTATTTCTCTGGGAAAGCACAGCAGCTCTCAGTTCCCAGTGTGATGGTCAGGGCTTGAGCATGTTTTCCTGGCACCATGGCATCTTCTGCTGCTTTAGCAGCTGCTTTCGGGATAAGGAATTGTGTCCCATTTGTCCCTGTGACCTGGTTGGGAAAGGATGGGGAGACCCAGACCCACTATATCTGCATGGCTTCCCGTTCCTCTGACAGATTCCCTTGGATTTTGTTGAGTTCTGTCCATGCAGAGTGGGAAGGTCTGCACAGACAAAGGATGTTGTGTTGTTCTGATGTGTCTTAGCACAGCTAATTGCTGCAGCTCTCTATTAAGGATTCGTGTTGAGGCATTGTTGTTTATCTCTTCTTTTCACTTAATTTTCAATTTTAATTGCATAACCTAAGACCCGGAATGAACAAGAGAGAATTTGCTCCATTACAGAGAATCAGAACAAGATTTCTACATGACAAAGGAGCTCAGTGCAGACTCATTTTTAATGTTTATGTGATCCTGGAGACTTCCTGTGGCCTCCTCTGAAGTCAGTGTCAAACGTGCATCAAACCTTTGGATTTTATTGCTTCTTGCACCAGCCATGTTCCCCATCCTGGAAGTGGCTGATCACCTTTCCACTCCAGGATGGGATGCATTGCAGTATGTGAACACCAATTGGGCAGAACACTGAAGTATTTCTCCCTTAGTCCTTCATATCTGGGCTCCCTGCACTGAGCAGGGGCTGAGCCGCCGTGCCACAGAAGCCTTTTTGTGGACTGGTTATCCCCCCCCACCCTCTTCCACCCTCAGCTTTTAAAGCCCAACTCTGATCCCTTGCAGGAAATGCTTGGGGTCACTCTGAAAAAGCATTCTTGAGTTTCTTTTCTATCCCTCGTCCCTCCCAGCACCACCCTTTCACCCTTCCTCTCCCACCCATCAAAGTGCATCTCCATCCCACCCATTGCTGACCCACACTGGAGGTGTCTCTTTTGGTTTTCAGGTGTATTTGAGGAGATAGTTTAGGTGTTGGTGTTTTTTTGTGGCAACGTGGCTGACTTGAGCCCTGGTCTTTTAATTAAAGCTCTTTGTTGCAGTGCTGGTCTCTGGGGATTTGGCTGGAGTTTACCTGCTACCACACTCCTGCAACCCCCCCCAGTGTGCTTCTGTAAAGCCCCCCACCTCATTTACGCCCCAGGTGTATTTATTGGTTTTTGATGGAACAGTAATAACATTTCTTGTGCTTGTGACATGACTGAGAACGAGGGGCCCTGACGGAGCTCCATTGATTGGTGTCTGCGAGCTCAGAAAGTCAATATGCAGCGGTGGGCTGAGCCACTGCTCACAGAAGTTAGTTTAACCCATGAATCACTGCACAGAGGTTGACTTAACACATGGGATGCCGCTCAGAGGTTGGCTGTGTGCTGTCCAACTTGCTCTTCTACTACTTTGTTACTCTCCTTTGGCTCCTAGCAGTTCATTTGTGTTATGAGATGGGTGCTGACCGTGCTGATGAGGGGGCTGATACCTCTGTCAATTGTCCATGCATGTGCAGGCATTGCCTGGCCTGGACATTTCCAGGCTCCCCTTGAATGACCACACAAAGCCCATCAGCAGCATCACGCTGTCCCTGATGTTACTGTTACACACCTTGAAATAAAAGGCTCAATTCGCATTCAAGCACAGTGTGCACATCTTGCTTTTGCTAAGTGTCCAGAACAGAACATAATACGACATATTGCACAAAGAGAAGCAATGAATTTGCAAAGCCAGGAGCTGCAACTGTATTAAAAACACTCTCTTCAATTAGAGCAGCTCCTCTTTAATTTGTTTATTATTAACCCTGCCTGTTGCTCATGAATTTACATGGCGCTTATATGCGTACAGTGAGGAACGTTGCATCTGATAGACTTTATATTTGCAATCAGACAGGTGTACTGAATTAATATAACAGCAATATTCAGCTATGTTAATATTGGCCAACACTCATTTAGCTCTGTTTTATTCATTATGTTGGTTGGCTCATTTATCCCTGTAATTTTACAGCATGAAGAAGCGCTTGTGACACCAGTATAGCTGCAGCCAGCCTATCTGTGAGAGGAGTGATGTGAGGGGGTCTTTCCAGTAGTGGAAAGAAAGGAATGTGGAGTATTCCAGAATGGAATGAAGAAACTGGGAGAAAAATATGCTTTTTGTTTTTTTGTTTTTTTTGGGCAAGGTGCTCTACAGCACTGGAACAGACCACAGCTTGGTCACTGACCCTGCTGTGTTGGTAACTTTGGGGGGTGTCTGGGTGCTGCTGGGCTCCTGTCAGCCTCTGGCTCTGAGCAAAGGTTGGTCTCAGTGCCTGTGTTGTATTTCCCAAGACCACGCAGTCCTTGTGTCCCAGTGGACTCATCTCCATTGAGGACAGTTTTGCATCCCAGAAGTGTAATAGGGTCCCTAATGCCCTCCGTGCGGTTCTAAAAGTCTTGAAACTTTCAGTTCCTGTGTCAGACTGCTTTGCTCAGAATGCCTCGAATGCTTTGCTCGTGTAATTCTCTGGCCAGGACCAAAAATGGGAGGAGAATGTTCTGTGAGGGTGACTTAAAGCTCAAAACTGGACTATTAAGGGCCCATCGTCCATGCTGCTGGGCACTGCTCTGAAGACCACTGTCTGTCACTGTCTCCTACTCAAGGAGCTAGATAACAAATGCAGTAAGATTTCAGCTAAAGCATTCCTTTGAAATACTGCATCAGTTTTTACGTTCAGCGTGGCATTGTAGAGCACTGCACCAAATGAAAGCTGAAGTCCCCATTCTTGGTTGCTATATATCAGCAGATCTCTATTTATGTAATGAGAGCGACACAGATTTTTACACCGAGAGTCTGGCATGCTGCGTCTCTCAAAGGCATTCTAAGGCCTCTGCAAGCCAGCCTGAATTGCAATTTACAAAGTGCTTTATGGTGTGGATTTCCATCCGTACCATTGCCCCCCACTGCTCTGCACCGCATGGAGAAGACCTCACACACCCAACCTGGAACAAAACGAGGCATTGATGCAGAAAACCGTTTCCAGCCGTTTGTTGGGCAGAGCACACAAGGAGAGATAAACAACCCCATTCCTGATCCATCCTCTGTGGGAGCAGCGCCGAGAGGGAGGAAAGTTTATTATATAAAGGTGAACCTGGCCTAAATTATTTATGTGCTGTGCTGCAGCAGATGGGACTGCCCTCTGCACCTCATCGGTCGAGTCAGGGATGCTGGTGTCAGCCAGGCTAAGAAAACAGCACCAATACAACATCACGAGCATGTCTTGAGAAATGGATGGGCCGGCATGTTACACAGCTCTCTTTGGTGCTGAGGGAGCTGCTGAGTGCTGTGCTGATCAATCTCCAGCTGCGGTGCCGGGCTGTTATTCTGGACTGGCTTTGGTGCTGGCTGCCCTGTAATTGTGGTGCAGGGCACAGAAATAGCCCCGTGGGGTGGAGTAACAATGGCTCTCATTCCCCAGAGCTGGGCTCTAATTTAGGGCTTGGTGCTTTTGGGTTCCTTTTTAAGAGGGAGGCGACAAAGGAGATGTTAGGTTAAATAAGATGTGGAAGGAATGGAAGAGGAGCGAATGAGGAGATGTGAAGTCCTGTGCTCCTGCAGAAATGGGGAGCTGTGTGTCTGAGACACCATGTGGGGGAAGATGATGTGCTTCCATTCCCCAGCATGTCTTGAGACCTCAGCCCAAACCAGGGAGGGTCTGATGAGATGAGTTAGACACCCTTCTAGAAGTACACTCAATGAGCACCCAGGTCCGTCCACAGGACAACTGGGCAACCATAATGCTTCGACTAATCTCATTAAAAATGCTCTGCTTTATAGATTTTGTACTGTTTTCTCTCCCTCTCCCACCCTCGTCCACCTTTCTTTGCCTTGTCTGGTGAGCGTGAAGCTTCTCCTGTGTCCTTGCTGTGTTTCCACACAGATGTGGGATTTGGGGCAGGGTTTTTATTTTCCCTTTCATTTGGTGTCTGTACAGGCTTGAGGGTTTGGGGCAAGTTGAACAGAGTTAGAACTAATGTAGATGCTTGTTGCTTGCTCTTCCAAGAGTGCTGTTTCCCCAAAGATTAATTTATTATTGGTGTTTACTGAGCAGGGGAGTGCCTAAGCCCTCAAACCTGAGCTGTTGGACAGGTAATCCTGCCTGCCTTGCCATGAAATGAGCACCAGGGCTCCTCTGGGCCTCCCTGGGATGAGTTCAAGTCACCCTTGCCTTCAGCTCCTCAAGCTGATGTGAAAATTGCAATTATTGCATGTGCATTGGGTGGTTGGGTGTCCTCCTACTCTTCTGTAGGGTTATGGATGGATGTGCAAATTTGGGTTAGTACGCAGCTGGGAGTGCAAATAATCTGTGGGCTGTCATAGGAAAAATGGCCATATTTGGTTATTTATAGCTTCATCAATACATCTTTTACTGCATACTTGTTTCTTTAGTGCAAGTTAAAGACACTCAGCTGATGTTAATCAGCACAGCTCCATTCAGGCCCTTGGAGTTTTGCTGATTTATGGCTGCTGACAGGATCACTCTGTTGTAGACAGAAGTGGTCTCATAGGATGAAAAAAGGCAGAGGAGAGAAAAACGGAATGACTCAGGTGACTGAACATGTATGGAAATGTATTTATTTTCCACTGTTTCTATTTCACTGACTTGAGTTATGAAGTCTCATATACCTTTTTAACAGATTTTAACAGACCCAACTAACCTTTGATTCCATTGATTCGGAACATGGCAGAGGCTTTTATTGTTCATTTGAACATTGCTTATGGCAGATACAGAAAACAAGGGAGCCAGCATGTAAGAAGAGGGAATTGCTAAGAAAAACCATGTGTGCCTACAGATGTACTTCCACAGAGTTTGCCAGACCATCAGGATGCCAGCATGCTCGGTGTGAGCTGTCGAGATAGGGAGCCCTTTGTGTTGTGACATATGTCTGTACAGCCACAGCCACTTGTGCATGGACATGACTAAGACGATGCTACAGAAGTTTATTTTTATTTCTCCTTCTGACAGGGACCTCCTGGCCGCCCAGGTCTTCCAGGAGCAGATGGTTTACCAGGACCACCAGGGACAATGCTTATGTTGCCTGTAAGTATAAATGAAGCAAAAAAAAAAAGAAGCACTAAAATGAGCTTTGCTTCTTGGCTTTGCTGCTGCCGAGAGCCTGTTTTTGCAGTTTTTCCCCTGTACACCAAGGACACATTTTCTCTTGTGCAAAAGATGGATTTGGATCATTTCCCTTACAAATTTACATTTTGCAAAGCGCTGGCACATTTTCACAGGTCAGAAGCTCAGGGCAGGTGAACTGCAATTTCTGAAAGCAATGAATAACCATCATTGCTTAGGCCTTGGCATAGTGTAAGAGAGTGAAAGTCATGAGGAAGCAACTGAAGACACCTCCAATGGCCAAAGTTTTTTTGCAGAACCCTGCGTTTAGGGTGAGGAACCTCTAAGGCCTCTTCAAAGCAGGTACTGAAGCTGTAAGCACCTGAATTAACTGCTCTGTGTTGGTGAGCAGTGGTTAATTTGTATGTCCTTTTCCCTTACACGAAGCTAACAAGCATCAAGTCAGCCTTCTTGGTCCTGGGACACAGAAAACGAGCGGTTATATTTTGTGTCTGCTTTGATGTGAGGTTTCCCTGAGGAAACCAGCTGTTGGAAATGAGTGGCTAGGTACCAAAGGGAAAGAGCCTTGAGTGAAAAACCGCAGCACTCTTGTACAGGCTCCAAATGGTGGGGTGATATGCATGTAGGATGCTGGCAGGGTGCCGAGCAGAGCCCAGGCCAAGCGCTCGACACGGAGCTCAGCTGGCCATTACAATGCATTTGTTGGCCCCGATGGTAAGCAACCTTAGGCCTATAAATTGTTTCTTTGAACCCGTTTGCCAAGTTTGCGTGGTTGTACACCTAGTGCCAAGCAGGCACGGCGCTGAGGTGAAGCAGAGGTGAAGGAGCCGTCCAAGGAGGTTCTGCTCTCTGCAGTCCCTCCTGCAAAGCCCTAAGGATGCGTGCAGCTAAGACAGGAGGAGGATGTGTGTCCCAGAGGGTGGGTTTGTAGCCCTTGGGGGTGGAAGAGGCAGAAGAAAACAGTAAACTCTTTCCCTTTCAAGTTCAGGAAAATAAAAAGCTAATGCTTTCTGCTTTAGAAGTCCTCTGTGTGCTGAGGGGTTGTGGTTTTGAACGCTGGGGCGAGTTCTGTTCTCTGAAGTATGTGGCCACACGTGGGAAATGCAGTCTCCGTCCCATAGCAAGCAGATGCACTGTGTGGAGATGCAGTGGGAAATGCAGCCCAGCATCCTGACCTCCTGACCAACATCATCTGCATAGGCCTGGGAGAACTGTGCTGTTCATTTGGAGCTGTGCTGTGTGAGGTCCTTACAGCGGAAAGCCCACGAGCCCTCCTGTGGTTTGCACTGCTTTGAACCAGCAGAATTTGCTGCATGGGTGCGTTGGTGAGAAACAGCTGGGTGACCTGAGAGTACCACGGTTAATGGGGCAGCAAGAAGGATAGCAGTGGGATTGGATCAATCGTGCTGAACAGAGCTGTGCAGGAGCAACGCTTGCATGGAGTGACAGCATCCAGTGACCTGCTCTCTGCCTTGTTCCCACCAGTTCCGCTTCAGTGGAGGAGGAGATGCTGGCTCCAAAGGACCTATGGTCTCTGCACAGGAGGCCCAAGCCCAGGCCATCCTACAGCAGGCAAGGGTAAGTGAGGAAAAGGGGGGATCTCATGCAGCCCATTGAAGTGAAGCTCCAGAGTAAATTTGACAGAGCATTTGTCTGCATGCTTTCATCATCTGTGCTGGTAGCAGCCACTCAGTCCATGTCTGAGATGGGACAGCCACATGGCTTGAGGTGGTGATGCCTGCATGGCTTGGGCTTAAACCTTGGTCTTTCGTTGCCTGCGGAGCTTTCTGTTGATGCCAGGAGCCATAGCAGTCCCTACTGTAGCATTCACTGCTTCTGCTGACAGTTTTGAGAGTCTATATGAAAAGCTGTGGTATACGCTGTAGGGGATTTCTTTCTTTCGTTTTTTTCCAGCAAACCTCACTCAATAATTGAATGTATGTCACAGATGTAAGCTGTTCCCAGCCCCATGAATCTCAGCAGGCAGCTCGCAATTTCCTTTCATGCGTTCATTTGAAAATGCATGATGAATATCCGTGCAACTTTTTTTTTTCTCCCCTCAGATGACCTTACTGATTGATGATCAAATAATCCCCTGCAATGTTTGTTATTTAAGCTGGCTGGTGAAACGAGATCGGCCATGCACGTTCCCAGTACGATTCCTGTTCTGTGGCTGGCTGAGTATGTCAGCATATCAGGCTGTACATACTCATCTCTTCAAAATAAGACTTCGTTTCTAGCTGGTACAACTTTGAGTCTTCCCTTTCATGCATGCTTCTCTGAGGTTACTTTTGATCGTTAGCTTGTTCAAAGCAGAGAAGCAGCCGGCACAATTACAGCTGAAAGCATCATGTAGGCACCCCCCCCATAAGCACATTGCTGCTGTCTTTATCCCAGTCCTGTCCAGGCTGTGAGCAGCCAAGGGGAAAATTCATGACGGTTTAGGCAGGCTGTAAGCAGAGAGATGCAGCCCTGGGTGCTTTGCTCCTCTTCTAACCAAATGCAGTCACTCAGGGCTTCCCTGTGCTCTTCTGCCCTGGATGCAGTCAGCCTGCTGTTCTGAGCAGCTTGCGTTCACTTCAGCTGCTGAAATGGGCTGTAAAACCAATCCCTTTCACCTCTGAGTGGAATAAAGTCCATTGGAATCACCAACCAGCAGGGTGACACGTGCCCCTTTCAGGTTTATAACGAGGACTTGAGCTCAGCCAGGGCTATTTTGCTTTCCATCCAGCTCTGCTTTATCTGAGGAGTTCAATTTTTCACATGTTCAGGCAGAGCACAGGGCCCTGACACCACCAGCCGCTGCATTTTCCTATCCATTAACCTTCCTCTGAGAGTAATATTGGTGTATTATGATTCTTGTGCTACCTCGTCACTCTTAATTTCCAGGCTGCCTGCGGTTTTTTCACCAGTATTTATTTTGCTGGGAAATGGAGTTTTTGAGCAGACAAATTTTTCATGGGAAGCATCTTCTTCCTCAGACCCCCTTTTTTTTGGTGTTCTTCTTGGCTTGTTTTCTGCCTTACAAAAGCAGTGACAGATTGGAAAAAAACAAAGTACCCCCCAACACACACACAGACAGAGAAAAGTCTCTTTTCTCTGTTTTGTTTTGTTTTCCATTTTGGGATAAAGGTTTTCTTAAAAAAAAGAACAGCCCAAATCCTGAGTGAGCTGGAGGCTGTGGAAGAGAAGCTGAATATTTCTACAAAGAAAAGGATCCATTTCTTGGCTAACATCAACCCATCATCAGACGAGTTCAGCTGAAATCCCTGATACCAGGAATAGGGAAATAAAAGGCATTTCAAAGGGGGAAATGATAGGCTGTGGTAGAGATGAGAAAGGAGTCCTGCAGGGGAAGTTCATCTCCTTCCTCTTTTCTTTTTTTTTTTTGAGCATGTTGTTAATTGCATTGTTAGCTTGATTTATTCCCTGAAATTTGGCTTTCTGTAGTCACCGAGCCTTGACTGAGCCAGCAGTGTTTCAGAGCAGCTCCCTTGTAAAGGGGAGTTGTGAAATGGTGCCTCATAATCCCATGTTTTTGCAATGTTTAAACACTTTCAAGTTCAATCATGGGTAGATTTTAATTGCCAGGGCGCACAGACAATTACAACTCTTATAAAGTGATGAATTATCATGAGAGCACACTGTCCAGTGATGCTACAAAGTGTGGACAGCCCCATTACCCACCATAGAAACTGCTGACCTAAGGTCTGGTTGCATGACCCCTTACTGAACTAAAGCCCCCTCCGCTGGAAATAGAGTTGTTCTGTTTGTGAAATATTACATGTGACCTTGGGCTTGGCCCATTTTTGGATGCAGGAAGGAGTTAATTGACATTACAGTGTACTCTGGGGTAAATTCATTGGAATGGTGGAAAATGCTGCAAGGATTTGTGCTTCTTAGCAAATGGACAGAATGCACAGTGCAGCTCGTGGCACGGCAGTTGCTTTGTCCCATCGTAGCAAAGCAGGGACACAACTAAAGCAATGGTTCTCTTTCTGTTCCAGCTGGCACTGAGAGGACCGGCAGGTCCAATGGGTCTGACTGGGCGGCCCGGCCCCATGGTGAGTGACAAAGCAATGCTGGCACAGCAGATGCTCTCAGTTATTACCTGCATGGATCCTCCTTAACGACCTTTGGGGTCTTCCCTCTGTTGGAACAAAATGCAACGGATCCTCTTCTGTGTCTACAGGGACCCCCGGGCAGTGGAGGATTGAAGGGTGAAGCTGGAGAAATGGGACCTCAGGTGTGTATGGGAGGGTCGAGGGGTGAGGGGACATGGAGGCGTGTGCTTGGAGGGCAGCATGGGAGCAGCAGGTTCACACCAAGCCTCTCGCTGTGCCCTCAGTCCCGGCTGTTCCCCTGCCACAAAGATGGCTGGAAAAGAGATGAGGTGTGGGTGGCCGTGTAAATGCTACAGAGCCGCTGCTCTGACCAACGCAGGGTCCATTTGTCTTGCTTTTGCCTGACAGCATTTCTTTCTCTTTTCTCCCCACATTGCAGGGTCCACGAGGCATCCAGGGCCCTCCTGGCCCGGCAGGAAAGCCAGGCCGCAGGGTGAGTGTCCCGGGAGCGCTCCGTCCCACTGCCAAGCAATTCCTGAGCTCTGAGAGCATTGCACAAGAGCGGGCCGACGGCCAGCAGGGCTGCTCCAGGCCCTCTCGGTCCATCTGGGCAGACGGACGTGGGGATGGGAGCTCAGGGTGGGGAGGAGAGGAGCTGGGAGAGCTGCTCGGCCGTGCTTCCAGCGCTTTTGTCCTCGGGTTTTGGCTCTGCAGTGCTGGGATGGGAAATGTAGGAGTGCTGTGTGCTGCTTTGGGCAATCCCACGTTTGCAGGGCATGAGGTCCCGGTCCCTGCGTGTTTCTGGGATCAGTCAGAGTGATGCTGACTTGTTCTGTTGGTGCCCCTGTGGCACAAATGCAAAATTTTGGTTTAGGCAGCCCACTGGCTCTTCGTGTTGGCTTACCAGAGGAAGAAATGAGAAAGCCTTTACAAAACCTTCATCTCGTTCCAATCTGTGGGCATCAGCATTTCTGAAAATGTACTGGAAGGTCATTTATTCCAATTGGACTTGCAGACCGTCTCCCAGCACCCATGCAGTGAACCCAGGCCTTGGTTAGCACCAGCCTTGAGCTTCAAGGGCAGAGCAGCATTTCCACTTTACCAAAGGCTGCTGCTGAGAGAGTTCTGGCTTCAACAAGAACCTCCCTGAGCTGCCAACTGAAGAGCAGATGTCCCCGCCGCCCTGCCTCATACTTTGCATTTGACTTTGCTTTCCTCTCCTGCAGGGACGAGCTGGCAGCGATGGTGCCCGGGGAATGCCAGGACAGACGGGACCAAAGGTAGCATCGTGTGTCTGTGTGCTTTGGGAATGTGCATCTCTTGGTAGCAAGCAGGAACAGAAGGATCCTTGGCAGGGGGAGCCCACCTTGCTTGGGGGAGGTGGTTGGAATGGTCTCAGGACACCTGTGAAGATGTGGGATCTACATTTGAGAACTGAGGGGAAATTAAACACACACCTAGAAGGCAGGAGAGCGATAGATTGTCTTTCTTTCTTTCTTCCTTTTTTTGGATGCAACTTTATTAAATTGCTGGATCCTCTTAAGAATGAAACATGCTCCCTTGGCTGCAGTTGTAGAACAAATACTTTGGAATCCTAATTACGAAAAACAAACATGAATGAGCAGTTGGAAATATCCTGAAATATAACTACAAAGAAAAAATACCTAATAACTGGGTGAGAAAATGTAGAAGGCGTGGGGAGGAATTTTAATGCGCTGTATTTATATTTGAGACAAAATCCTTTCATTCAGCCGAGATCTGCTGGTATTATCCAGCAAGAGAGGAGCTGTTCCACTGAAATTGAATGCAGGGAAAGTTTGCTCGGGGAATCGTGTATTAAAGGTTTAAGTACTTTATTATGTAGATACTTAAAGCTGGAATAGATGGGGGGTTTTGATACAGAGACAGGAGACTGCGAATCATTTATCCAGTAAAGTGCTTTAATGAGCATCGACTGCCCCCAAAGGAGTGGATGCCCGGGAAGAAGGGAAAACAGAATAACGAGCAGAGCTGGAAATGAGCTAACAGTGCTGTGTGCAGAGACAGAGCAATGCCCCAGAGCCTGGCAGAAATAAAGGAGTGACTGGTTACAGGTCCATGGCATCACCCCTTCTGCAGTACCCTTCAGCATCCGTGTGCAGTCACTGAGTCCACCAGCCTACCGTGCTCTTTAGGGCGAACCAGATCTGCCTTCTGAGCCTGGCAGCATTAAGACAGTTCCCAGAGTTTGTTTGTTTATACATTTGTCTCCTCAGACTGGAAGAACATTTCTGGGAGTGAGATGCTTTCGATGATTGATAGGCTCCAAAATCCACGTGGAAAACTAACAAAATGCGTAGGTGCTGGAGCAAAAAAGGGGAGAGGCAAAATGACTTTATTTGAGCTTGTTCCTCTTTCTTTCATTCGATCTGTAACTGTGAAATCATCACCAGTCTGATGGGAGGTGAAATGTCTGAGGGAGAAAATCAATCCCTCCTTGACACAGAAAGGAAACAAATCGGAAAGGTATTCAAGAGCAGGGGGAAATGTGCACTAACCTGTTTTTTCTTTTAGGGTGACCGAGGGTTTGATGGCTTGGCTGGTTTGCCTGGCGAGAAGGGGAACAGAGTGAGTTATCTCCCACCTGTCTTCTGACTGCAGTCTGTAAGGAAACGTTGGCAGGAGGATATTGTTGGGAGGAGGGCAGCAGTGCTGGGGACAACCCAAAACTGTGATGAGGACAGGAGTGTCCTGAAGGAGGGTGCTGGATGTCACAGCATTCACATCCTGGGAAGCTGTGACACCCTTCTGGGGTTGCTTGAAAGTGGGGGCAGAAATCACTCTAACAAAATAGAGGGTAAAAAATAGGAGGCAAAGCCTGCTTTTAGTGCTGTTGTGGGTGGGAACTGCCAACGATACAATGGGATTCTTTTCTTTAGCTCATAATTAAACAGTGGGGAAAAAAGCAAGAAGCTTGTTATTTCGGCAGGCTTGTTCATGCCTCCTCTCCCCAGAGGGAGCAGACAGCACTTGATAAAGAATGCAAGTGTTTGAACGGCAGAGATTGCATCGTGACTGCAAGCTGCGCAGGAAAGGGAAGATGGTGCCTGAGAGAGATGCTTCATCAGCCAGAAGTGGAGCAGCCAGCACACCTTGGATGAAGGGCTGGCTGCGTGCAGAGCCCCAGTTGCACTCTACTGAAGTTGCTGGAGCCAGTGTGTGGCACTGAGTATGTGCAGAGGGGCTTCAGAGAGAGCAGGGAGAAGGGAATGCGGGCGTACGAGTATCCTCAGCACATGGTGCAGGCGCAGCAGTCAAGCCTAGTGTCAGGTTTCTCAGTGCTACCCAATATCTTCCGTTGCTAGAGTTGTGTCCACCTCCCCTGAGGTTTTTTCTGTCTTTCCTTTGTAGGGTGAGCCAGGTCCCCACGGCCCCCCAGGGGCACCCGGAGAGGACGGGGAGAGGGTAAGTTTCTCTCTTGATGCAGCAGTCCCTGGAATTCATAACTAAGCCCTGCAAAGAAGAAGCAGATGTGATGCCAGGCAGACATGTGGTGGGAGCCAGCGCTGAGTCCCTCACTGCCATGGTGTGCAGCACATCACCTCGTGCACGGGGCGAGCAGAGCACTGGTGGGAGGAAACATTGTGAGGAATGTGTTTTCTAAAGATCTGGTCAGAAAGCTCTGGTTTTGTCAGAAAAAAAAACCCTACCATTTTCATGGTGTAGCTGTGCTGCTTGTTTTCTAAGGTAGAGTAAATTGTAGCAAGAAATGCCAGACAGATGTGGGAGGCAAAGATGAAATTGTTTGCTGCCTTAACACGGTGTAGTCAATAATCAGAAGGCCTTTAGCAAAGCTCAAACTAAGTGATTGCAGGCCTAGGAGTGCTGGTGTAAGAGGAGAGATGGCAAATGTACAGCTCAAAGATAAGTGTGGTTTAATTGGAGGAGCGAGTATGGATTTCTCAGGCTCTAATCCCACTCCGCCGTGTTCTCTTTCCACCTTTGGCTATTTGTTTCCTCTGTAAAACACAGATAACAACACCTCCCTCACCACGAAGTTGGGAGGATTAATTCGTTGTGGATGTGCGGTGCTTTGAAGTTGAAAAGACCGAACGTGTCTTTTGGGAGAGGAACAGATTTCTGAAGTCTAAAGTGAAAAAGAACCGTGTAAGGGGCAGAGAAGCTTGGAGGACGTAGCTGGGTGTGATAGAGTGCGTTTTATTGGCAGCAGAGGAGGGTTTACAAGTGCTGGCTAGGATTGATTTCCTAAGAATGAGTGAGCCGGGTGTGACATGGTGTCCCTAGGGGAGTTTTTAGTGGTTGAACAGTGAGTTGGAGGAAGCTCTGTCCAGTTCTTCCCAGTGGGCACCGACAGAGAATGGGAGTTGGGGGATGAGGAATGACCCCTCTGGTTTATCTGAGGATCCATTGGGTTAATCTGGCTCCAGGACAGCGTGCCCACGCTGGCTTCCCACTCCGTTAAGTACTAAATCTTGTGGTTATTGACTCACATGGCCTGAATTGTTCCTACACTATCTTGTCTGTTAGCAAAATCCATCTTTATAAACACCGACGTGAATTATGAAGTATCCTTACAGCATTTCTAATCCTTGGTAAATTCTGCGCACGCAGTCTTAGTCTCGCGGCTTATGAGGCCTCCCTTATGCATGGCTACCCTTTCCTTGCTCCGGGGAAGCTGCTTTTCAGTGTGATTATTATTTAACAAGAACGAAACACCTGTGATGTGACTGAAATATAACTGCTGTGCTCTGTCTCTCTGTGCCTTCGCTGCCGGGCAGGGGGATGATGGAGAAGTTGGACCCAGAGGGCTGCCCGGAGAACCTGTGAGTATCTCCTTCTCTGGCATGCTGGGCAGGGGCTGGATGTCATCATGATATTTAGGGGTCCTATGGGGCAGCTCTTCAGGTGCTGAGGACCCCTGAGGTTCTGCCAGGACTGAGCTTCCCTGGATTGAAGACCCAAGCGTATGCTCAGAGGGTCTGCCCTAATGACCGCTCTGCTTTTCTTGCCACGTGCAGAAACACAGACCTTTCTGAGCTTTGATTTCTAATGAGTGAGATTTTCTTTGCTCAGTGGCTAGACTTAAACCTGGTCATTTTAAAGGTAAAGCTTGACTTAGGTCGGTCTCATTTCCTGTCTGTATCCTTCTGGATTGTCTAGGAGTCAATTAAGTGGGCTGGGGGGGCAAAGGACGTATGCTAAGTATATGTGAAATGTGGGGTTTTGTGATTGCAAACTCTGGGACTGCATCTCAGGGTGTGATCCTCGCAGGGTTCACCCCATGACATTGGCCATGACCAATGGATTGGTGCTTTGTTCACCTTGCATGGAGCTGCAATTGACAGTTTGTCAATGGCTTGGCCTGCAGCTCCACGTGTTGTCAGAATATCCCACCAAAAAGAAACAGTTGAATTTTCAATTTCAGACTCGGAAAGCATTTTCTGCCTCAAGAACCAAGTATTTATAATGATGTTGGCAGTGATAAACTCTGTTTCTGGCTGGCTGTAGACTTCAGTCTGTAATACTGCTGTTGGCCGCTCATTATATCCAAAATGCATTTCCTTCATTGTCAAAAGAACATTTACCACCTGCCGTTGGCCATCAGCTTTGTTTTCAAGGAGATACCTTGAATACCTTATTTTGTTGTTGTAAGGCCTGGTGTGGTGGCTCAAGAGTAATTGATGGAGCTGCTGGACACACTTCACATGGGAAAGGAAGGCTTGGCATTTATGGGCTCGTTGGAACTAAATTACAGACAAGATGTCTGATTAACTTCTGAGGATGATTAATCAACCCAGCTACCTTCTCAGCACAAGTCTAAGCAATAACTTCTGGGTTATTAACTTCTTAAAAGCATTAATGAGCTAAGGTAACAGAGTAACAAAAGGGGAAGTTAAACGTTGATAACGTGTGCAGAGAAGTTGATCTTTATAGCAGCAATGCAAGAAAAGATATCTGTGATGGCCAGAGGAGAGGTTTTAATTGCACTGCAAGAAACTTTCTGGTCATAAATATACATCCCATATCTGCTCGTTTCTATCTGCTTTAAGCCGAAAAAGAGTCTTACCAAATATAATGGCAACAAAAACCAGTGGTGGGCCTTTCATCCCCATAGCTGGTTTGTACCAGCATCAGAGCAGCCTGGAAGGACCTCTGGGAATGGGCAATGTGTCCCGTTTGCCCCACAGCCACCAGGTAGAGGAGCTGCCAGGTGTGCTTTGCAAAGTCAAAACAAACCAAAGCATGAACTGTTGAGTTTACCCTGTCAATCAGAGACAATTCTCTTGCCACACCAGAGCAGTTCTCAGATGTCCCTGAATTTCCCTGAAGGCGATGCTGGGTTCAGCTTGGTGAGAAAGATAAAAATGGAAGGAAAGCACTGCAGTAAGCAGCTGTGGCTGAAGAACCAAACGCCTTTTGAAAATGCACTTTTGTGCTGCAGGCTGAAAACCTTTTCCAGCCTTGCTGAGTTGTACAGATTGTCAATGATTAAAATTAAATCTGGAGCGATTTGGAAATGTTAACCCTAATCATCCATTAGTGGAATCGGTTCATTTTTCATAATGCTCTCGAGCTAGAATGACTTGGCTGCAACGTATTTTGCATCACTGTGCTTGCTACAGGGTAATCCAGGAACATGATTAAATTATTTATTAAAAAAAGAAAAAAAAAAGTAGCTGAAATAGCCTTTTTCCAATCCAAAGAAGAAAGGTCTGAGTGTATATTATTTAGCTTACCAAAAGCACTTCAAGGATGCACTCACACAGGGTTTCTCTTACTGGTTTTGAAGCACAGGAAGATGCTGTTAGTGCAGAAGCAGTGGCTGGCACTGAAGCTGTGCTGGGCAGTGTGATGCTTGTAGGGGAGCTTGGGGAGTGCTGACCCTGCTTGTTTTCTTCCTAGGGCCCTCGAGGACTTCTGGGACCCAAGGGGCCACCAGGACCACCGGGGCCACCGGTAAGTTCCCAGGGCTGCTGCCCTCCTTGGCCATCTCATTAACACCACCCTGTGCCCATCCATCATTCAGGCAGATAATGCACCTGTGTAACTACATACATCTGTGACATGAGAAGAAGCATTCCAAAAAAGTTACAGCCTTACCCTGTTTTTATGTGCTGTCTCATCTACCTATGGCAGCTCAAGGCTTGGCCCATTTGAGTAGAAATTAATACCTAGCTCAGGCTGAAAGGGAAGAATGAGAGCTATTAACACAGTGCCTTGTGCTATTAACTTTTGCCTGAGGGCTGTTGAGCCTTTAGAATGGTTTGTTCACATTCTGGGCAAAAGCCAAGGCAGGAACATGCAGTTATGCAGGAGGCAGTCACCTTATCTGCTGTGCCCTGCTGGCTGGGGAAGTGCTGATGTAAGGGCTGCTCTGCAACTCAGTGCAGCTCACTGAAGTCCCCAGACTTAAGACCTGAACCCCTGTGCTGCTGTGAGAGCTGAAGGGGTCAGTGCTTTAATAGTGAATGTTGGGAGGTCTTTAACCCCTCCCGGGACGTGAAGGCATCTTCACTTTGAACTGTAGTCCTGCTGAAATTCAGTGTCAGGTCTCACACGAGCACACTGGTAGGAACGTTCAAGCCAACCTGCCCCACAGCAAAGTGCTGAAAGCAGAAATCCCATCCCAAGGTCTGCACTTGGCCACGTACACCTTGCTGGAGATGCTTAGGAAGCTCGTGACCCTTTTAGTGGCCAGGCTGTGTGCTGCTGGAAGCAATCCGGCCAGGGCTCATCAATCAGGTGCTCATTCTGCTTTTGAGGAAGGTTAAACCACTGGGAAAAGACCGCAAAGACTTTTAAAGTGTAAATTTACACGGCGTCGGTTTAAGTGTAACATCATAGAATTGGCTATTTGACCAAACACCTTTAGGAAATGGTTCCGTTTCCATGTGGTCCGAAGGGCTTCCTGATGTTTTCTTGGTTTTATTGCATTTTTTTTCCCTGTTTTTGAGGTACAAAAGAGGCAGATATTTTCTTCATGCTGTTTCTTAAATCCTTTCCCAGGGTGTGGCTGGTATGGATGGACAAACCGGTCCCAAGGGGAACGTGGTAAGTTCTTGCTGCCCATTTTACAGACAGTTCAGGCGTTGCCGATAGAGAGTGTATGCAAAATGTGAAATGTACTCTATTAAATTAGGTTTGCTAATTGGTTTTTAGCCTGGTCTAGGCTCCTATCAGAGCCTGTGAAAACCATAGAGAGTACCTTCCTACAGCAAATGGTTGTTAATTTATTATAATTTCTGATGGAATTACACATTATTTCCCCATGAAAGATCAAACGTTCTCATCGAGATGTGTGCTGTTCTAATGAATATCAAAGTGCTGTAGCTTAAATGATGGGGGGAGGGAGGAGGGATCTTTGTGTCTCCTACTTCACGCTGCTGGGATGAAATGGATTCCTGCAGAACAGAGGCTCAGGATGCTGTGAGAGGGCTGGTGCCAGGCAGGAGCTGGTGGCTCTGTTCCTTGTTTTCCTGCCTTTAGCTCTGCTGTTGCCTCCTCACAGGGTCCCCAGGGTGAGCCAGGACCTCCAGGCCAGCAGGGCAACCCAGGTGCTCAGGTAAGAGGGAAACTCTTTTTCTATTGGTAGGACAGAGGGTTGCTGATTTTGGGCATCTTTTGCTCACCAGTCAACAGAAGGACCAGCAATAAGATCTGGTGGGAATGTACATCGCTGGTTCAGAATCTTCCTGAAAATACTCCCAAATTCAGATACCCCTGGTTCTCAGCTGTGATGCAAAGCCAAGCCCAGGTCCAAGCAGCCTCTTTGGCTGAGCCACATTGTGTGGCTCATGCCTGACTTTTAGCATCCCATGGTTGGGTCACTGTGAACCATAGCAGTGATGCAGATGTCCAAGTCCCAGCATCAGCCCTCTGGGCACTCCTCACTCCTCAGAGCATCCCCATTCCCACCATGGGGAGAAGAACCACAAAGCAGAGCAGCTCTCCAGGGGCTGTTCTAAAGCAAAACTTCATCGTCTCTCACAAGACGTTCTGAGAATGAATGGAGCTGGGGAAATCCCCAGCCATCGCAGGCACTGGAATGATGCTCAGCTGAGGCACTGCCAAAAAGCATTTGGAATGAATAGCTTGTTCCTTACTGACCCGAGCTTTTTTCTGTTCTCAGGGTCTTCCAGGTCCGCAAGGCCCCATCGGTCCCCCAGGAGAGAAGGTACGATGAAATGCTGCAGCTCTGACTTAAGACAACTGTTACCATTAATATGCATTTGCTGCTTCAGCTGCTTCTCTGCCCCATATGCAACATCTGTTTGCAGCCGTGTCCATGAAAGTCTAATGTGCCTCATTCCAGACAGAAGAGAGACAAGAAAACACAGTTTACCTCTAATTCATAATATTTGCATTCATTTCCTATTTTAACAGAAACATTTTGCAGGCAGCCTATGGCAAAACATTAGGAGAGGGCTGAAAGTTGTCTCTCTCATTGGGCTAAATGCCTGTAAGTCTGAGCAGGATGGTAATGGGAAGAGCTGTGGGCTTGGGTCACGCTTTTTGTCCCCTCTCCTGACCTGTGCCAACAATCTGTGGTTTTCTATGGCTGTTGACGTGAGGTAGCTGCTGTTCTTGCATCCCCTGGCAGTGCTGGGACCATCAGGGTTTAAACAAGAGTGTGGGATCAGCTTATGGAGTTGGCAGAGCTGTCATTCCCCAGGTGCACATTGGCAGGGGAACTGTGGTGTGTGGATGGGGTGAATCCCTGCTCACCTTGGTAGGCTGCAGTTATCCATCAGTGGGAGAAGAACAAAGCTTTAGCAATTCCAGTGGCAAAAGGGCTCTTGGCTTTAAATGCTGAGTCACGCACTTGCAGCAGTAGCAACGCTCCTCAATAGGGTGAGAAATCAGGTGTCTGTTTAATTAGAAAGGTAATCACTTAGCAATGTTAAAGCAGCAAGACACGGTCAATGGGGGCAGCTCCACTCTTCTAATTTTCTTCCTTTGCCAGTTAATCTTCTTGCCATTTGTCACCAAGGAGCAGGCATTTCTTGGTGCACAGAGCCCCGTGCATTGATACCCTCCTACCTGTGCCTGGAGTGCTTTCCAGCAGAGCTGCAGCCACTCCCAGCCTTGGCTCCTCTCCCAGCCTTAAGCCTGGGCTCCTGCTGAGCTCTCCTTGGGTCTGCTGAGGTGTGGGATCCATCCCGGCATGCTGCAGTGACTCTGCCCAGAGACGTGAGCGGATTCCTTGCAAATCAAGGCAGCTCTTCCAGCTGACCCCTATGTCTGCAGCCTTTCACAATTAGGTCAAGCAAGAATGATGCTCTGTGGGCTCTGACTGTTGAAGCTGATGATATTTTTTTTTTTCTCTTTGCTTTTAGGGGCCGCTGGGCAAACCTGGTCTTCCTGGCATGCCTGGTGCAGACGGTCCTCCGGTAAGTCTGCTTGGCACAGGGCTCTGCTTGGCACAGGGGCTGCGGGGCTGATCCTGCACCCATCCACCCTGGGTGCACCATGGGCCTGTGGTTTCCCCTTGGCTGATGGGGTCTGAGCTGGAGGAGCTCTGGCCCTGCTCTGTGCTCTGCTCAGCCTCACTGTGCAGCACAGGGCACTCTCTTTGGGCTTCTCCTTCCCCTTCTGTTTTTCTTCTTTGTTTCACGTGGGTTTGCAGCTCACAGAGGTAAGGATGGTCTCATGTGTGGGTACTGCTAACACAGAAGGTCCTCATCTCCCTGGGCTCTGCTGCAGAGCACTGTTAACAGCAGGCTGCAGTGGCTGGTCAGCTGGATTCTCGCAGCTTCCTCCTTAATCCGACTTCAAGCATTTGCTCCTTTCTCTAGAAGCTGGTGTCTGGCCGTAAAAACAGACCTCATTTCTGCACACCTCTGAGACACCTGATTTTGTGGATGACAAATGGAAAACAGTTGCATTCCACTAACACAAATGCAAAGCATAGCGAAAAAATAAATAGAAATAAATTTATATTTTCCACCCTGGGATTATCAGTCGTATGAGGACATTTCAAACATCCTTACAATCGTTAGCTAAGTCAATAGAGCAGCTAAAGCAAAGCCCAGGACGTCTCCAAGGCTGTAGCTTTCAATGTGAAATTCTTGCAGCAGCCTCCAGGGAGCTTCAACTGGAGAAGGTTTGTTTTGTGCAGATTGAAGGCTGTGTCAAACCAGCAAGTTGAGCATGGACAGACGTGCATGGACACGTGGCCACTGGTAGCCATGTAGTTTGCAGCAGGTTGTAGGTTTGTTGCACTTTCCAAGGACAAAACTTGCCCATGTTCTCTTCGTAGCAATTGCTCTTGAAAGCCATCTGAAAATCCCTGAGGGCCTGAAGCACCTTGCTGTGAGAGCCAGCTGAGTTGCTCATCAGTTTTTGATCTTAGTGACAGTAATGGAGATGGGCATTTGGGAAACGGTGGTGATTTAGCGTAGAATGGCTAGGAGCCTCTGAAGTCCTCTTGTGCTTTCATTCTGGTTCCCCTGGGCTGCAGGCAGGTGTCAGGAGCCCAAGGCGAGCAGTTATGTGCCCCCCTGATGCACTGATGCTGTTGGTGCTGTTTAAACTCACAGGACGAACTCAGATTGCAGTCTCTCTCCGTTTTGTTGATGCATAACTGGCAGCTGTCATTATGCTTCTTTATTAAACCCACTTGTTTTATGAATTCCTGCTTGTCTGACGTTCCTGATATGAAGACTGATCGTGGAAAATTGTGCTGTGATTTCTTGCTGTATTGCTAGAAAGTCACTTGTGTATTTCAGGAAGAGTTCGTATGTAAAACAACCACTGCAAAAGTCTTTAATCATAGAATGGAATCATAGAATGGCCTGCATTGAAAAGGACCACAATGCTTATCCAGTTCCAACCCCCTGCTGTGTGCAGGTCGCCAACCATCAGACCAGGCTGCCCAGAGCCACATCCAGCCTGGCCTTGAATGCCTGCAGGGATGGGGCATCCACAGCCTCCTTGGGCAAAATGTGCTGGATGTGCTCTCATCTTTAAAAGAAAAAAGAAAGAAAGATGCCTGGCTGTGCAGCACTGCTCTTGTGGAGGGTTTATTGCTTTTGTACAGACATTGCCAGACAGAGGGCATCTTCTGACCTGGCTCCATTTTGGTTCCTGAGGTAGGAAAATCAACACTACAAACTGCTCCCATGGAGTTCCTCGGTTTCTCACTAATCCCTCCTGCTGTACCTGAGGCAATTTGCACCCTTGTTTTCTGCTGATTGAAATCCCAGCAAAGGGCTGCTTCTCAAAGCTGTGATTGAGGACATGGTGGGAGCTCTTGGGCATTGGTTATTCAGCATCAAATCCCAAGAGGAATGCTGGCCAGCATCCAGCTGCCACCAGACAGGGATGCGGGTTAGCTGCGCCTTTGTCATGAGATCCTGTAACTGACTCCAGGAATTAAGAAATTAATGAAGGGCTCTGACCAGCCTGGGCATCTTGTGACCTTCACAAGTTTGCTAACGCATGGAGTTCACTTCATCTTGCACCCCTCCACCCACCCCCAACTGCAGCATTTCTGTGCTGCTTGCTGCTGAGCTTACTGAGGTGTTCTAATATGTGACCGACACTGCAGAACGGTTTGTGCTTCTCTGCTGAAAGGTGGTGAGGAGTGAGAAGGTTTAATAACCAAGAGTAACAATGCAAAGGACTAAACAGTCTTCCTTTTTTTGGGAGATGCCTGCTGGCGTCGGAGGGGCTTCTTCTATCAGTGAGAGTTTCCTGGAGAGCAGCTGTTGTATGACAAATAAATCAGAGCTGCCTGAGTAAGCTTGTTGGCTTCCAAAGCATTAGCCATGCTCTAAACCCATTTTTTCCTCTGTTTGTCTCTTTTATTAATAGGGTCATCCTGGCAAGGAAGGTCCTCCTGGAGAGAAGGGGAGTCAGGTAGGTGTCAACAAGTTTCTCGTTACTGTTAAGTATTGCAAAATATGAATTAAGATTCTAACATTAGCTTTAAAACAGAAGATTCACTGCCAGGGCAGCATGGAAGTGCTGCAGTCAGTGAGCTGCTGCTTGTAGGAGTGAGAGGTTTTGCTGTTAAGGCTCGTGGTTCTTCCCAAAATAAAATAAACAATGTTAACAAGATGCTTTCCAGCACAAGGATTTTGCTGGCAGACTTGTATCAGCAGTTTCCCATTCCTGGCTGACACAGCATCACTGCAGTCACCAAGGTTGCAAGCTGGGCCAGGGTGTGGATGCTGGTGGGGGCAGCCCTGAGGTGGGGGATTGGAATAGCAGGGTGTGGGTCAGCAATGGGAGATCTGAAACTGCAGAGAGAAGGCTTCTCCTTTTCAGACATAAAGAAATATCCTTCGTGGCACAGGGGAATGCAGAACATTACTCTTTCTGTATTTCTGCTTTTCCATTTTCTCCTTCTCCCCTCTGACTCGAAGTCTCTATTTAACAATATATTTGAGAATATTGCCAGAGGCCAAAGTCCTTGAATTATACAGCTGTCTGTCTGTCTGGGAGATTTACCATCTGCCTTCCCTCTGCATCCCATTCAATTGAGAAATGCTGCATGTGTCAGCAGGGCTGTACGAGGGCACAGCCCAACGCCCTGCAGTCCCCATGCAGCACAGCACCCATTTATCCATGCATCCCACATGGCAGAATGTAAAAACCCAAGCGTGGCTGTGATGGCAGACGTGATGCAAACACCAGGGAGTCAGCAGGATGATTACAGGGCCCAGAGTGCAGCTTTCTGTGCGAGTTATTTCTCCAGCAGCATTGGATGCCTGTCTCTGTCAGGCTGGAGGAAGTGGAAGGGTACTTATTTAGCTGGCTAATTTCAGCAAAGTAAAAGCCAAGTGTTTCAGTGTAGAGTGAGACTGGGGGACAGCGAGGCAGCAGGGTGGTGATGGAGCACCTGCAGGGTGCACGCATGCAGCATCACGGTGTCACCGGTGCTTTGCAGCTCCCAGCACTGCAGGCATCTCCTCTGCTGTGTGGTGAGGCTGAAGGGCAGCGCCTCAGGCGTGTGCCTGAAGCAGTAACTGCTCCTTGTGATACAACCCTGAGCTGTGCCTCATCCGAATGGGGATGCTGGTTTGGGAGTGGAGAGGTAACAGAAAAGGAGTTGTTTTTCTCGGGGTTGTTTTTCTTTCCAATCCAACGCACAAGTCACCTATCTTACATGCAAATCCCTTTCTACCAGGTAGTTGCTGTCTTGTCTCCTTTCTTTATTCTTTCCCCTCATAAACATCTTTGCTGCTCCCAGTGATGTTCTTGTGCTGTTCTGAGCTATTTTCAGGTGGCTGCTGCCACTTCCACCCAGTCTGAAGCAGCCAGATGGACGGGATATTTGATTTCCACATGCTGTCTTTATTGCTGCACCTTCTCATTGATTTGATGTGTTTTTCTTTGTGTGTTTTATTCACCCCAGGGTCCGCCAGGCCCTCAGGGCCCCATTGGTTATCCAGGACCACGTGGAGTCAAGGTAAGGAGGTTCCAAAGCAGAATCCCCACGTTGTTAGCCCAAATTTGACTTCTTTGTCTTATGCAGGAGATGGATGAGGTGCTCCTGATTGTACTGAGCATCCTGGGGAAGGGTGCTCTGTGTGCTCTGGTTCTAGCAATGTGCTTTTAGTGCCCTAGTGCCTAGGGCCACCTCAGTGACACCATCTTTGTTGCTTGACCAAGCCTTGGTCTTGTGTCTTCTTGCAGGCTTCCAAGTTTCCTGCTTTCCAACAGTACCTTCTAGCATCGTTTAGTGCTTTGAGGAGATTGTTCTTTTAATTCTTCTTGAACACGGCTCTGTCCCCTTCCAATCATTTCCAGTTAACAGCCAAAGTAAATCTCAGCCAGAATGTGAAGATTTTAACAAGGCTTGTTAATAAAACAAAATGCCTGCTCCTAAAACAAAGCAAGCTTTTCATGCTCCTGATCCAAAACCTTGTGAGATGGTGCCTCTGTGTCTCAGCAATGTTCTCCTTCAGTGGGTTGAATCCCAGCTTACCCCTCACTCCTGCTTGGCTCCATTTGCTCATAAGGAGGCAGTGGGGATTTTTTCCCCGTTCAGCTCTGGCTGTTCCACCCCATCACGATGTATTGGTTCAGGTGCAGTTGCATCTCGCTTCCCAGAGGTTCAATAAATCCACAAGAGTCTGTGCTCATGGATACGAGCACAGATTGGAGGCCATGGGCAGAGTTAAGCCCTCTTAAAGCCCCTTCTGTCTTTGTTCAATAGCAGAATCCCATTTGCCGTTCTGCCTTCAAAACTTGAGCTGAATGCATGTAACCAAAGCAAGCTTTCATCTCAGTTCTTGCAAAGCTACAGATTGAGCTGCAGTGGTCCATTAGGGAATGGTTTGCTATTGTGTTTGCCACTAAAGTGGAACTGTTCCACATTACAGTGATCTACAGAAAATGTGTCATGCACCAAATCCGTGGTGCGTGCAGAAGAGGCTTTGCTTCCTACAAGCAGCATCCTATTAATTGAAAGAATCTCTAGCTCTGAGAAAAAAATATGTCTCATTGGGTTTGCAGCTATAAATAGTGTTCAGATCTTCCCTTGCTTGTGTTCTGCTGCACATGTTTCAATGTGCTGTTAATTATTCTTTGTCTTGACATGTGCCATGTAACACCTTGGTTTATCTTCCCCAAGGGAGCGGACGGTGTTCGTGGGTTGAAGGGCACCAAAGGTGAAAAGGTGAGTTAGTGTTTTGTGTTTGAATTGATTTTCTGCACCTTGGAGCAGTTTTGCAGAGCCATCCTGCAGGATGCTGCCTGTGAAATTCTCTTGCATGAGGGAACACCATTTGATGAACGTTTGGGATCAATGCAGCCCCATGACCTGCCCAGGTCTGGGGCCCTTTGCTGCAGTGAGCTGGTACCAGTAGCTCAGCTCCAGCTTTGGGATGATTTCCTTCTGACAAAACTTGCAACTTGAGTTTTCTGGGCACGATTCCATGGAGATGAAGGGTTTGTGGTGTGTTACAGCTGGGTAATTGCTGGACCTGGGGAGTACAACATATGGAATGTGCTATCCAGACTGGTCATTAGAGGAGCTCATGAAACGCAAGTCAGAAAGGAAGCGGACCCAGTCTGTGTGTGTGCATGTCAAAGATGCAGCTGGGTTCTCACAAACGAGATGGAGAAAAGTCTTGCCCAGCTCCAGCCCTAAACAATTCTGTATTCCTTCATTCCTGTAACAGAAAATCACCAGCAAATCTAAGCAATTTAGCTAGGCAGGGAATCTTGGCAGAGACCTTCCAAACTTTAAAGGTCTTTCTGGGAATGGTGTCCTCATTACCTTTAAAAGATTTGCTATAGGGTGAAATACATTATTGATTTGAGTTCTACAATTAAACCTCCTTGGCTGAAAGAAATACTGCCACTGTCCTAGAGGTTCCCTCGAAGCGTGGTGTAAAACATCCTCCATGAAAATAAAGCCAGTTGTACTGCAGAAGTAATTGGTTCCCAATACTGGCAAGATGTTGTTAGTCACATTGAGCCAGATTTGTGATATCCTGACCAGCAGGCAGTGGGGGATGTGAAGGAATCCTTCCTTGTCAGCCCTGTGGGACCTCAGTGGCTGCAGCCTGCCTGGATTTTTATCTGTGTGTTCTCATGGTTGTTTGTGTGCATCGAGGTCTTACAGAAGCTGATGTTGTTCTTCCTGGGTAGGGGCCATACAATAAGGCTGGGTGAGTCTTGATTCTTTGGGTTTTATTTTTTTCCATCTATGTACCTTGTCTGTTTTTTCCTTCTCTGCTATTTAGGGTGAAGATGGCTTCCCTGGCTTCAAAGGGGATATGGGCATCAAGGGAGACCGGGTAAGAACCTGCACCCAATGAGGTCTCAAAATGCTCCCACAACAGCTCAGCAAGGCAGGTTTTGTCAGGGTCCTTCTGGAGCACTCATGTTCACCTCAAGCACAGGCATCATAAATCCTTATATTCCCTAGTGCCATCTTGAAGGTAAAATAAAATAGAGTAGTAATAGAGGGGCCCCATCTTGCTGCTTTGATTGCGAAGAATCCTGCACAATCTTGCTGTATCATATCTATTTCCAGCATCTCTTCTCTCCCATAATATTACATCTGGGGTCTGGTAGGCGTCGTTATTTGCTGAGCATTATGTGCCTCCAGTGCCATCAGTGTGAAGTGCAGTTACCAGGAACACAGAGCAGTGAAAGCTGCTGGGGCTGCAGGTTTATATTACTGCTATCTTTAACTCCAAAAGCTTTTAAAAGCAGTGGGACGTGCAGGTCACCGGAAACCCAAAATCATGCTCGGGTGCTGTCTGTCCTCAGCACCTGGGCACTGGGAGCTGCGTTCCCACCCCAACTCCTCAGCCATCAGGAGCACTCTGTGCTCATCCATCCCCGCGCTTAAAGGACAAAGAATGCCTTGCATGAAAGCTCGTAAAACTATAAATCAAATCCTCCATCTCTGCTTGGCATTTCGAACGGGTAATCGATCAGGTTGGTGCTCCACCTGTCACCTTGGGCTTGGTCGTTCCAAGGCTCAAGGACAGAATGTGGCACGCTGTCCTCGCCGCTGCAGACAGCCGTAAGCTCACAACTCCTCTTCCCACCAGCTCTCTCCCTGTGTTTTATGATGCTATGAAAGGCCAAGGGTACTTGAAAGCCTCGCAGATAAATCTGCAGCCACCCAGCTCCTTGTGAGCCTGTGTTGGTGTGGCAGCGTCTCCTGCTGTGCTGTGTGACAATGTTGTTGTGTGTGCGGGAGCCCGCAGTGTCGTAACAATTCATGTTAATGGCTCAGTTCTCTCCGTGCTCAGATTTCCTAATGGTTTTCAGCACAAAAGCTCCAGCCTGATCTTTATTCTCCGGTTGCCCAGCTCAGCCTTCAATTAAGCACTTCCCAAGGCTTGCTTGCACATCAAACTGCAATTTGGGAAGCGGAAAGTGGGTAAAAGGGTGCGTTGCAATCAGAGCTAATGACGGCTGTTTCGGTGGAGATGCTCTGCACAGAGATGGGATAATTGGGCTACCGGAAAGACTGCTGCTGCTGGGGATAATGGCACGGCCAAGAATGAGAGCTCTGATAACGCCCTGTGAGACTCTCGGTGACAGAATGCCTTCTCCAAGAGTCTTTCTGCAGTCTCTGATAATGTCTCTTGTCATTCACAGGGTGAAATTGGACCTCCAGGCCCCAGGGGTGAGGATGGTCCTGAAGGCCCCAAAGGTCGTTCGGGTCCCAATGGAGATCCCGGTCCTCTCGGTCCTGCTGGAGAGAAGGTGAGCTGGGGGGATGGAGCTGCCCGGATGGGGTTGGTTCTGCAGCACAGCCCTCTTTTCTTTGGGACTTTGCTGTAGGTGGTGCTTGGCTGGGGGGCACGGGGTGGCTGTGGGGCAGAGGGATGGGAGTGTGGGAGCTTCTTCTAAAGACTTCAGGGGAAGCAATGATCCATTGGTTGTGTCCACCCAACATCTGTGTGGCTCAGGGTTTTCCAGTGCTTCTGTTATTTTCAAACCTGTAGCTGCCCACATTAACCCAATCTTCTTTATCTTTCAGGGAAAACTTGGCGTGCCAGGGCTGCCCGGCTACCCGGGCAGGCAGGGTCCAAAGGTAACAGTGGGATTTCTGCTCACAGGGACGAGGTGGAACGGTGACATCACCGGGCTGAGGGAGCTGGGGGACACATGGCAGGAGAAGCAGGGCTGGTGTCTCAGCTCTGCCGTGCTTGTGGCACTGCATGTTAGCACATCCAAGGCGATGGGAAGCCAAGCCCTTTGTCTTCCCTTTTAGAGCTGCTGGGTGTGCAGCTTTCTCGCATTTCATACCACTCCATCCCTCCTCCCCACACGCAGAGGATGTATTTATGGATGGGTAAAAATAGCTGTCAGCCCTCAGCCGGGAGGGGCTGGGCCACATCCTGCATCATCTCCTGCACAGTGCTGAGAGGAGATGAAGGGGACAGGAGCTGCAAAGTGCAGAGTGTGCAGAGCAGCTCCCACCAGGTGTGCAGGGTGCTTGGGTGGCAGATGGGCTCCTGAGAACTGCCGTGCTGGCAATTGGCAGAATGGAGCTATTTTGAAGGCTCGGGGCTACTGCTAGCTAATGAAGGGGAATAGCTAATGACTCAGGGTCTCCCTGAAGTTAAAATAGAACTGCTATTTGCAGATTCTCAAGCATGCTTTGTATCTTATCTACGCTCCCACCTTCATTTGGGCCATTTTTGAATCTCCTTTTTAAGTTCAAACTGTGAATTCCATTACACAGAGTGAGGCTGCAGCCTGGCTTCCAGCTACATGCCCTTGAGGCTTTGGGAGCTTATGCTTTCCTTAAGATTGAAGGTTTTTTTTAAGAATCATATTTTATTATTCATGCTTGTTGCTTGGAAAAGAAAAAAAAAAAAGCGGGCATGTTTAACACTGGAGACATAATTAATTGCAAGAGATGGTTTCCTGGCTGTGGTGTTGATGTTTTATTTTTTAATTCACTTTTTTTTTCTCTTTTGCATTTATTTATTTTTTTTCCTCTGATTCATATTTTAAAAGCAGCAGCAGCAGTTACTCTCCAGGCGCTCATATCAGAAAGGAACAAGCCAGGAGTTAAATATTCATATGCTCCATAGTGACTTAGGAGCCAAACACAAAAGCCTGCTGTTCCCCAGGCGCTCGGTGCAACCGTGGGTTTGGGCTTTGCAGCCATTTCCAGGCAAGGCATGGGCCTGTTTGTTTCGGGTTGTTGTTTTTGGAGTCAGTTTGGCTTCTGAGGTCGTTCCAGGTCTGTCTTGGATTTTGTTTTTATTAGAGGAAGGTTTTAAAGCAAAAAGAAAAAAAGAAAGAGCCCCAGGAGATGTGGATGTCAACAGGGTTGGATGGGGTTATCCCAGGCCAATGGGCGCCTGGTGCAGGCAGGCTGAGTTCAATGTCCTGATCCCATCTCCCTTTTCTCTCCCCCAAAGGGCTCCATTGGCTTCCCAGGATTTCCAGGCGCCAACGGCGAGAAGGGCACACGGGTAAGAGCTGCTCTCTCTGCTCACTTGGCTGAGTTTTCCCTGTGGAGAAGAGCCCTCAGGAGGGACTGCTGGCTGTCCCTTTGTGGTCCCCAGCAGAGGATGCTCCAGCCCTATTACGCATTATTACATGGAGATATTTTAGGAGGTTTCTCTGAACCTGAATCCTTCCTTCACTGCCAGACGTTGCTCAGGGCATGAAGAGCTTTTTAATTAATGGTGATTATTGGAGATGGGTGATTCTATTCAGAACCATCTTCAGCCTAACTGGAGATTCAGAATGGAATGGTGAAAACACACCTACACGTGCCTCCTTTTAACAAGTGAAGCTATCCTAGATTCCTAACCGCCCTTCAAATACTGGGGCTCCATCCCCCCCGATGTCCTTTATCTCTCACTGCTCTCAGCTTTGCTCCCAGATAGCAGGAATTTGCCTGTACACAGCAGTGGGTTTTTATTTGTCTATTTTCTTTTCTTAGTTTGAGGATAACAGTGTTTATTTAGGGGATGGAGAGCACCAACATCCACTCGTTCTGTGCTCCAGCTCTGGTCACAGGGTGAAGACTGGAGGGAGAGAAGAGGGCGAGCACAATTTGTTTCCCTCTTCATCTCATTTAAATACAAATGACTTCTAACAGACGTGTTTGATGGGAGCGCAGAAAACATAAATCACTTTGCACTGCATTAATATTGTGCCACTGAAATTTGCTTTATATCCCTCTCTTTTTTTTTCCTCTCTCTCTCTCTCTCTCTCTTCACTGAGTAATTTTCATCTCCTTCTGAGCTATGAACCCCCCTCCCTCAGCTCCAACACTGGAACTGGGCAGCAGGAGGGAGGCAGCTGCCACAACAGCCTCATATTTACTGTAGCCCTGTAATTACCACCCGCCTTACCCAGTGGGCAAGGAAATTCTTGGGCTGCATTTTCAGGTGGTTTAAAGGAAGGCATCAGCACCGCAGCCCCGGGGAGATGCGCTGCTGTGCAGCCCTGAGCGTTTGCTGCCCTCCTGCTGGTTGAATTCCAGTTCTCCCCAGTGATGGTTTGGACCATTTATGCCACTCTGAACCCAGTCCAGCAGCTCGTCCGTGTTTTATCACCACGTTTGTCTGCATGGAGAGAGAGAAAAACACTTCATGGACAAATCTCTCCTTTTAGTGAAAGGAGCTGCGCTTGAAAAATTTATTAGAGTAGCAGAAATAGAGATTTTCACTGACTCCTTTGGTATCCTTTTTTTTTTTTCCTTCCCCTTTCTCCCAAGTATCTGCTTTGAAATAAGTGAAAGCGATTACATACAGAACAATAGACCGAGCGAGGATCGCGCTGCACAAACCAAACGGAGACCATCAACTGAATTTAAGCCTCGTTGAGTTAGACTTGATAAATTACACTCTGCTTCTCCCGAGACCAGTAAATTTGCTATTTTATGAGCATGTCCACACGCAGTCAGGAAAGCGAGTTTGTAAGATTTGCTTCTCGGGTGCATTGTGGAGTAACCCAATTTGCAGCTGAAACAACCCAAAATCATTCCTGTTTGTCTTTTCTTTATACGAGGTATTACTATTATGATACTCTACGTGGTTGTTTATGTGTCCAGAATAATATGAATCACAGGTTATTTTTTTTTTTTTCTGGCAATTGTCATCATGTAGGGCTTGAAACAAGCCTTCCATCTTAGCAAACGTGAATAGTCCCCCAACCTGAATTAACAAAAAAAAACAAAACAAAATGGTGAAAAACCTCAATTTCAGTGCTGGCAGCCCCCAGAAGTTGAAGCCAAGTTAAGAGTGAGGAAGTCTAATGGAAGCATCCCCTCCAAACATAGAATAGAATGGCCTGGGTGGAAAAGGACCACAATGATCATCCAGTTTCAACCCCCTGCTGTGTGCAGGTCGCCAACCAGCAGCCCAGGCTGCCCAGAGTCACATCCAGCCTGGCCTTGAATGCCTGCAGGGATGGGGCATCCACAACCTAACATGGTGGTTGCTTTTGGTCCAAGGCTGCCCATCTCGGTGCCCCTGCAGCTGGAGTTGAGCTCGGCTGGGATGGCTGGGGCATCTTCAGAGCCTGGTTGTAAAATCAATACTTGGGAATGTGAGTAAGCAATCTTTATTTTTGGAGCTAATAAGCCTCAGCCATTAGCATGGGATAATCGATCTCCCTGCTCGCCCCATCTGACAGAGCCTGGAGGGTGCAGGGCAGTGCTGAGATCCAGGCCGTCCATTTGGGTGCCTGGAAAATAATCTGAATTTAGATGCCTTTCCTTCTCTGTCTGAAATATATAGGCCTGTGTGCATTTACAGTGCTATATAAATTCTTAGCGGTGGTACGCAGTGCTGCATGCATGATTAATGGTAGCAATAAGCAGGGGGAAATTTTGCTTGAAGATAGAATTGAGGGAAAAAGAAGGGAGCGTGGGGGTGACCTGCAGGGGGCTGCACTCTGTGCTGCCAGATCCAAATTCAGCCTCACGTGGCACAGGCGGGGTGCTTTGAGATAATGTGGGTAATTAATTGAAGAAGTGTGCCAGCAGTGTTTACTAAACGAAGCCACAGAGCAAGGAGGATTCGGCAGGGCTAATTATAGCAGCTGGAAGGAAGTTGACTTGAAAGTTACCCAGCTCCTGTGTTCTGCTCACCTGGTTAATGAGTGCCGAACACGAGAAGGCGAGATTGTTAGGTGATGGATTTGGGGCAGAAAATGGCAAATGATATTTTTAGCGTCTGCGTTCCTCACATGGAAAGTCTCTCTTCTTTCAGCTGTGATTGGTTAAAAAATAAAAATATAAAAAAAATAGGGCTGTCTGTCCAGAGGAAGAAGTCGAACCTATTGGTGCCCTTATGATCGTGACACCAGCCAAAATAGTGCCTTCAGATAGCAAGCTGTGGGCCATTACTTTTCTTTTAGGCACATGGAAATGGAGCTTAACGTAATTCCAGATTTAGGACCCAGCCGTCTTTGTCTTTCTTCTGTCAGAATTAATCACAGTCCCCCATTACAGGAAACTGAGTGCATCTGTCAGATCTCATAAGCCTGCTGTTTTGTTGCGGCTGCAAAGCAATGTCTTAAATTACTTGTTTAGCACGAGGTTCGCAAAGATGAAGAAGGATCTGTAAATATGTGGGGCGGCTTAATTGGCTTGTGTAGCGTAAAATAGCAGTGCAGGTGAGGATTTCTGCTCTGCTGCTGGCTTTCCCTAAATATTTAATGTCATCAGCTTGTGCCCTGTGCACCGTGAGCCAGCCTGGGAGGGTTACTGTTCACATGCATCCAAATGTTATAAAAGAAAATAAATGCCATCATCGAGAGCTGTGTGTAAAAGTGCTATTGTCATTTTAATTACAAACAAGAGATGCAGAGGTGTGGGGAGCAACTGGTCTCCATTGGGCTGCATCTGCTGCAAGTCTGTGGCTGCTGCTGGCTGGAGACTCATCCCTGTTTCTTTTCCTTTGCAGGGGACACCTGGCAAACCAGGTCCAAGGGGGCAGCGCGGTCCAACGGTAACGATGCTTCTCTTCCCTCTTTTTGATGTCTTGTTAATGCTAGGAGATTCTGGTTCAAGTCCTGGCTGGGTGGGATCTGGCCCTTTACGATGTGGCCTTCAGCCTTAAAGCTGAGCAGAGGGGATGCGGTGATTTGGGGGTGGGGTTCACTGTTGGTTCTAGTTTGACATCATGACAAAATAGGTTGAAACCACAGTGCAGAAGGTTCCGGTCTCCCTGTTACTGCTGCTGGTGGGACAGCATTTTGTCCCAGTGCAGTTGGGTGCTGCAGTACTTGTCTGATGTCACTGTAACTGCTTTTATTACCCAAGGTACTAAGATGTCATCTTTTGTGTTTTTCTAAGGGTCCACGTGGGGAAAGAGGCCCTAGGGGAAGCACTGGGAAACCTGGCCCAAAGGTAAGGTTCTGGGAAGCCTATGATGGCAATTAGGAAGAAAATTGCGTCCTAAAAAGTGTCAGCATTAGAGGCCATCTGCTTCATTGCCTTCCATTTGCCTTTTGTCCCTTTTCCATTTTGCATTTTGAAAGCTGAGCCTTCCCGGCCTTCATTACCCAGCCAAATGCCTCATAACCCAACTGTGAAGTCTATGCACAGCTCCTAGAAACGTGCTGGCCTTCATTTCAGCAGGAGATCAACCGCATGTGCGAACAAAGGCCCAGAAGAGGAGGGGATGCCTTGCAGCAGGGGCAGCACAGCCCTGCATTCCATTCCCCCTGCGCCCTATTTTGTGCACAACCTTGCACCTTGCTGAGCCGCTTTGCATGCGCGCTGCCGGCCAACGACTGGCAGCCCAGCACAATGGGCATTGTTTTGCCAGCCAATGGGGGAGGCAGGCCCAGCTCCAGCACCTGCTGCAGAAACCAATTAAGTGACCATCAATTGCTGGGCATAATGGAAGCGAAGCTGCCGTAATGAGGCACTGTCACCGCCACGCTGCCGCCTTTAAAAATAAATGTCTCGGCTTTGTAGCAGCATGAATTTTTGATAAATACCTTGGCTTTGCTGCAGCGTTTATCTCTCAGAGGGCGGCTGTTATCTGGTGGAAATATCCTGAGCCCACCAGTGTTATCTTTCCTGTATTTTCGTTAAGCAGTGTGGGGGGAGCGAGCAGTTGCTCATTTGTCACTGGATGCGGCTCCCGCTATGGAGCTGTTGATGGAGAGGGGCTGGGCAGTCGGTGGGATGGGTGTCACCTGGGGTGGTGCCGTTTGAAGCCTTTGTGCAAAGCAGCCAAAACGATGATTTATGTATCTTTAATGATGTGGTGTTTTTGGTTGTTTTTTTTTTTTTATTTCTAAAAGGGCAACTCTGGTGGTGACGGCCCCCCTGGTCCTCCTGGCGAACGGGTAAGGCCACGTGAGCAGGGATCATTGCAGTCTGTTGATTTCATACAGCAGAAGGGTTGGGTTTACAGCACTGAGCTGGTGCTGCAATGAGCGTCCTACCAAGAACTGTGAAGCAGAGAGCAGTGGGGAGCTCCCTTCAGCCGGGGTATGGCTGAGCACACCTCAATCAGCAAACAGAAAAAATCTCTTTCAAAATCCACAGTGAAATTTGCTTGTGTAGAGAGAGAGGTCTTACAACATCACCTCTAGCCCTTAAAGCCCTTCTGAGTTCTTCAGGTGAGGCTCAAGTGGGATTTTGGGTGTCCTACACCAATATTGATCCATGGGAAGAAGTCAAGGCTCCCCATGCTGTTTGTGCAGACACCCAGAGCCCCTCAGTGGCTGATGACACTCCTGGTGTTTGCTGTGCTGTCCTCAGCTGGACTGAACACTTGGTAAAACATGCATTTCTATGGCATTTCTTTGGGACACAACAAGCCAGCTTTTGCGTGTCACTGTAAAGCGTATGCACTCCTTAACCCTGTTTTCTGCCTTGCTTTGTATCCCAGGGACCACCAGGGCCTCAAGGACCAACCGGATTTCCTGGACCAAAAGGCCCCCCTGTAAGTAACGCTTCCCAAACCGTGCAAAGAAATGCATCTGATCTTTTCCATCCAGCTGTGACTGCCTGTGCCAGCTCAGCCCTCGCTGCTTCTCTGACGAGTGGTGACGTGCCCAATAAAAGGCATTACTGAGGCAGCACAATAATAACTCGATGGTTTAAGATTTTAAATAGCCGAGTAAATTGCAGCTGATTATAAATGTTCGTTTTCTAATGACTCAATATCGCTAGGATCTTTCATGGTTGCTCTGTTCTTTTTCTTCTGTGTGCTGGGAGGACAGCACAACAGAGTAACGCTTCTGTCTCTGCAATTATTGTACACTGAGGGGGAGCCTCAGAAACCTTTTTGGAGTGATTTCTTTCCCTGTGGTGACAGCTCACTCCCTCTCTGCTCAACTGTAATACAGATCTGTAAGATCACTGGGAGATGTGTGAGAAAAAGGACCACATCCTTTAGGGTTCTGAGCACCCCCATTTCTCTGTACAACGGGTGGGGATTAATGCAAACATGCAAATAGGTTTGATTCAGTCCTTATTTGTACTGCTGAGCACTCAGCCACGTTCCTTCTCACCTTGGTTGTCTGCTGTAGGGTCCTCCTGGGAAGGATGGATTGCCTGGTCACCCCGGACAGAGAGGAGAAACTGTAAGTAGCCAGAACTCTTGGGCAGATCATTAGCCCCAAGCCTCATCTTGCTGGTTGGTTTCTCTAAACCTTCCTGTGCAGCTGGGGAGATGGGGCCACCAGTTTGCTCTCTGCAGAGGTCTGTGTGTCTCCAACTGCACGGGCTGGTCTACAGGAAGCAACTTTCTTCTGAGCAGGATAAGTTGGGCTAATGATGATTTGCATGACGGCCACGCACCAGCCCCTCTCTCTGTCCTTGTGGTACACATGGGAGTGATGTGCACTGCACACAGAGTGAATGTGAGTGGGGAGATAGAGAGGCCAGGGAGTGGCACAGGAGCAGCTGGGGCTCTGTGTGCTGCAGGGGATGGATGGGAGGATGCTGTGAGTCAGCATGCCAGGACCTGGCCCATGCTGTGCACCCCACGGACTCCCTAGAGGCCTCCCAGGGGAAAGCTGTGCCTCAGCTCTGCTCTTGTAGCGCAGTGGTGAAGCTCTGCTTTCTTCCCCACTCTTCTCTTTGGAAATGTTCAACTGTAATGTTGCTGTTGTAACAATCTAGGTATGTGGGAACAGAGATGCAAGATGGACTCCCTCCTTCACAAGCCAGCACTCAGCTTTCTGCACTCCGTTGCCTTAGCTCAGGGCAGTTTTGCTTTCTCAGGAGCCTGCCATGGGAAGAAATAAACGCTTTTCCCTTCTTTATGCACCGTGCAGCCAGCACCAAGAGCAGTAGCACAGCAGAGAGGTTACAGCCCCGTTGTTGCTGCAGTGCTTCTTTGGAGAGGAAAGCAGCTCCTAGCCCGGATCAGTGCTGCCATGGCTTTGCTCTAGCTTTTCTGCCCACACTGGTTATTGCAGCACACGCGTTGATCTGCCCTGCCTTAGCACACCAGCGTCTCTGCTGACACCGCCTTTGAGCCAAAGCCACTCACAGGGCTCCCCCAGCACATCTCTCTTGCTGCCCCCCCGAGGAGCAGCTGCTGGGGCCCTTACCGTGTCGTATGCAATACTGCTTTGTCAATTTTAAAAGGTTTTGTTGCACAGATGTAATCAGTCTTTCTCACCAGAGGAGAGTGATGAGGCATGCAGAAGGTATGATGGCTGTCGTGCGTCTCTGGTGGTCTGTTTCGTGCACCTTTTTGCTTGAAGGACACCCTAAGCAAAAATGACTGTTCTACCATGTATTCTTCTGCATGCAGTAATTAGTACCTCTCTGTTTGGCATTCTGGGGGATGCTGATTCTTTTTTCCTCGGCTGTTTACAAACCCAGCTCGTTTGCTGTTGTTGGTACATCACTCTCCCATCACTGCATGCTGCATGTTAGCAGATAGATTCTTTGTTCTGTGTTTATTCTACAGGAAAGAAACCCAACTTCCTCTACTCAGCTTTGCGTTTTTTCTCCACCGCCTTTCCTAGCAAATGAGCATTAAAGAGGCTTTGCACATTAAGCATCTTTTCCCCTCAACTTATCACACAACAGTTTAATTAACTTGCCTGGCATTTGCTAAGCGAGGCAATGCAAATACTGCTCAGTGCAACACCAGATATTTACTCACGATCCGTGAGACTGACTTTGTGGTGATGGTTGTGGTATTTTGAAGTCACAGTCCTCACTGCAGGATTAATTTAAAGGTGGAGACAAGAGTTCTCACCTGCCGGAGTCTGACTGTGACATTTACATTTCCTTTATTGAGTTATCTGAAATATCCAGGACACTTAAGCTGAGATTAGAAAAAGCAGTAAAAAATTTGTCTTGCATCTGCAGCTCTCAACTTTTGAGCCTGGAAAAAAGCATCACATTCCTGAGTCTGTATGAGTATGAGTGGACAGTGGGCTATCTGGGGTCTGAAAGCATTCCCTGGTAGCTGTCTTCTGTCAGTTCAGGAATACTGACCTATGGCCATCAAATAGATTCAGAAAACCAAAAATCTGGTGGTTTGGGTTTTTTTTTGTCAGAAGCAAACACTTTTGTCACTTTCCCCTGTGCCCTCTTGGATCACAGATTCACAGTGTTGAGTCACAGAGTCGTAGACTGGTTTGAGTTGGAAGGGACCTTTAAGATCATGTAGATCCAACCCCCATACTGTGGGCAGGGACACCTCCCTCTTGCCCAAATTGCTCACAGCTCCATCCAGCCTGGCCTTGACCCAGGTAGAAGCCCCTTTGTTTGTCCTCTTTCCTTACGCAGAGCTGAAAAGGGAGGAGACGGACATGAAACCAAATTAAATATCATTTCCACATCAGTAACCTTGCTAGCGCGCTCTGTGCCTTCATGCAAGGAAGCCTAGACTTGAAGTCTGCTCGTCAAATAGCTCCCTTTAATTAACTTTTCATTGAGGAACAACAAATCACGCTGAAGGATGCCAAATATTGGGCCGTATTAGATTTATTAAGACAAGATCTAGAGAAGACAAGAAAAAAAAGAGCCCTAAAAGCTCTGTGCTCGTGGTTTAAAAAGGATAACAGGAAAGCCCTTTCTTCAGATTAAAAAGGAAAGTCCCACACAGAGCTGGTTGAGATGTTCTTCTGAGATAAGGGTTTGAATTGCATGTTCTTTTCACAGTGATGGTTTGCCATTTTCCTATTGGTGACATGATATTCTGCCATTTGCAGACAGCTAAAATAGCACGGTGTGGCTTTGTAGCATGACACAGTACCACTGGCTTTGGGACTTATCCCATCATCTTTTGTGGCCATGAGAAAACAGCCTGGATGCCCTGAATGGCAACTCTCAGGCTTGTCAGCGTGCTGTAGTAGGAATGATAATTAATGTGCTTTTTAAGGAGTGGCTTAGGAGAACTAAACAACTGCAGTGGTGATAGCTCGTTATTGTCGCTCTTTACGTGTCATTATAATTAGCTGCTGTGGAGACTTCGTTACTCATCTTTCAGCCATCTACAGAGAAGCACTTTTGTGATTTCTTTCAGCAGATGCTGAGGAAGGAAATAAAACTCAGCAGGGCTGGAAAGTGGCTCTGCTTGTGCCAGAGTGCAGGGTGGTCACCCAGGGCCAGAACTCCTGCAGGGTGAAACCTGGAGCAGGAGTCACAGCAGAGCTGGGAGCGGGAGAAGGGAAATGAGTGGCTATGAGGAATTGCTCAGCATTAAGAAAAATGAGCATTTTGACTTTTTAATAGCCATTTCCACTGTAGGTTTTACGAGTGTAGCAATTTATACATACATATATATATGGCCAATCATTCAGCCAAACTGTGGTAGCTCCATCACAACAGCAGAAGCGAGCTGAAGATCTGATGGCTTTCCACCCAAACACCCATTCCCCCCTTGAGCCTGTACCTGGAACCCTCCACCAGAGCTGAAAGGCCCATTTCCACCGCTCTCTTTCCCCCTGTCAATGTATGAATACATATTTTGCATCTCCTGTTTGATTTTTTTTTTTCTTCCTCCTGCCTTTGGGTGTCATCCATGGTCGGTGGTTCTGCTGGGGGGCAGCAAGCAGGCAGCACTCTGGGTCCCTCTGGGGAGCATCCAATGGCAGAGATGTCATCTCTTTGTCCTCTCCCTTTTCTTAACAGGGTTTCCAAGGCAAGACTGGCCCACCTGGCCCCCCTGGTGTTGTAGGCCCTCAGGTAAGGAACAAACATTGGTGTTTGCACCGGTCCTTTGTGTTCATCTTCATCAGTATGATCTGTTGTACCCCTTTGCTGGTGTGGCTGGAGTGCTCTTCCATTTCATTATGAAGAAATGCATCCCTATTTAATGTAATGTGCTGCCAGATTCTTTCAGAATTGCTCTATTTCTTTAATTAATTTCTTTTTAAAATGTTAGTTGCCAGCTGTGCCATCTGAACTGATAACTGCACCACCAGAATTTGTACCCCTTATGCATAGGCATGCAGGGCTCTGTGTTGGTTTGGTAGTCAGAGTCCTAGCCTGAGCAGCACTGGGTTTGGATTGAGTCTTCTTTCTTGAACGACCAAGGAAGTTGCTCTTTAATTACGAAATAATTAACTTGTCCTCTTTAATGATAGTGTAAATTCCCTGGTTGATGAAAACCATGATTAGGGGCAATTCCTCGACTGTGTTTGTCTTTTCAAGTGCAGGATTAGGCTCTGTGGCAGTTTCATTCAGCCCGGTGCTGTGCAGTGATTCATGCAGTGTTATCATTCTGCTGGTGCTAAGTGGCATCCTGCAGCGTGACATGAATGACAGCTGCAGTCCCAGCAGACACCGGCGTGCAGGGATGCTGTACTCTTGTGCACGTGCCTTTTCTCCTCCAGAATGGGCCGTTTGGGAACCTTCTGTGCTGTGCCTTACCATACACTCGTCACCATCAGTGCCCATGTGTCAGCAATTGCCATGTAGCATGGCCTAATCAGTCACTTATGCCCCTATAAGGATCAACCAACGTGACAGTACAATACTAAGAAGTATCCCAATTTTGATAACTTTAGTAATAGCATCTCATTTGTGTGAATGCATTCATTCCAGAAGTTCTCAGTGCCTAATGTCTGTTACCTTCTCCCCTTCTCCCCCTTCTGTTTCTTTAGGGTCCAACTGGTGAAACTGGTCCAATGGGTGAGCGAGGACATCCAGGTCCTCCAGGTCCCCCAGGTGAACAAGGTCTTCCTGGCCTCACTGGGAAGGAAGGGACCAAGGTAGGGATGAGCAGCCTGCTGGATTCCTCCTCCTTGCACACCTTCCCCTCCGCCAGAGGTGGAGAGGGATGATACAGGAAAGAAATGATGTTTCACAGTGGCTCGTCGAGGCTTGAGCACAGAGAGAGCACCCACAGATCCTCAGCTCTTTGTCCCTATCATTGCAGGGGGACCCTGGTCCAGCTGGCCTCCCAGGGAAGGATGGTCCCCCAGGCTTGCGAGGCTTCCCTGGAGAGAGAGGTCTGCCTGGCCCCATTGTAAGTATCAACAACAGGATGCCCAGGCAGTGCAGCACACAGCTCCCCTAATGACTCTTTTTTTCCCATCTTCCAGGGTTCTCCAGGGCTGAAAGGCAACGAAGGTCCCCCAGGCCCCCCCGGTCCTGCAGTGAGTATCCTTGCCCTCCCAGGCACCACCTAACACGTTTACAAGCTTGGCAAGCTAAGTGAGTGGGTTAGTCACAGCTTAGGGCTTCATCCATTATTCCCTTTGCACTAACGAGTGGCTTGCTGGATATTGCTTTATTTTACAAGACACATGTAATTGCTCAGTTATTTTATGGTGTTAGCTGTGAATATACGTGACTAGCTGGGGGAACTAGGATGATCCAGGACATCCAGTATTTTGCTTCTAAGTCACCAGCTTTCCCTCTGAAAATTGTTCCCACTTGAGAGTCTTGGTCAGTGCAGGCCTCCTGGAAGAAAATACTCCTTGTGCAACCCTCCCTGCTGCATTAACCATGAAGCGATCATGCACATGTTCCAAACTGATAATGTGCCCCCAGAAACTGAGCTCCCTGCACCAGCCATTCCAGGGATTTTAATTAAAAAGGATCTGCAGAACTTGGGCTGATGGTACCAAGCCATCACATGGAAGTTACCCCTTCAAATGTGCTCATTTATTGAGTTGGTGCATCTGAAGCTTCCTACTGCTGGATTTCTTTCTTCCTGTATATAGATAGCACCCGATGTTCCAGTAATATCTTCCTTCCTCCTTCCCCACACAGGGCTCTCCTGGTGAGCGAGGTCCTGCGGGCTCAGCTGGCCCCATCGGCTTGCCAGGGCGACCTGGACCACAGGGACCTCCAGGACCTGCAGGTGAAAAGGGAGCACCAGTAAGTACCAGCTCACAGATTAATGGCTGTGGACCCTGTAGAAATGGAGCTGAACATGGAGACAGACTGGGCGAGGTGTGAAAAAGGAGAAGGGAAAAAAAAGGAAAGATGCTACATGCCTCCTGCAGCACGAGCGTGCTGGCCGTCTGCTGACACCCATGCAAAGATGCTGTGAGCAGAGCTGTGCCATATGGTCCTGCCCAGCACCCAGCCCACGTGCTGTCACGTCTTCTGCTCCCCCAGCACAAGCAGGAGATGCAGCAGGCAGGCAGGGCAGTGGGCGGGATGCTGCTTTTGGGTTGGTGCTGAGCGGCTCAATGCTGCAACAGTCCCGGAGGAAAAGGAGGGGAGGGTTGTAACTCTCACCCCAGTAGTATTGCAGGGAAGCGTTGCTGACTTCTGGGTTGCTTTAGTTTTCACCCAGGTCCAGCAAAAGGAGCAAATGCAGGCATTGGTGATTTCAGACTGAAAGGCAGTAGCACTGATTGACTGTTGCTATCAGAAATGCTTATCAGCCAGTGTATTCCACATTTGATGGCTTATTAGAAACTCCAGCAGCTAGTCCAGAGGCAAGCATCTGCCAGTGAATCAGCCTTGCAAACATCTGTCCTGCCCGGTGTCTATGGGATATGCTCTTGGGCAGATGAATAGGCAACTTATGTGGCATCTAATTATTCAGAAGAGAGCACCAAGACTCGGATGCAATTAAATTATATACGAGGAAACTGAAAAATATCTACTGTTCGATTCCAATAAACAAACAAATTTGAGCAAAGGCTCCAGGCTTGAGGGGTACAAGATGTTTAAGTGGGAGGCCAGCAGAGATTGCTTTATTTGCTTCATGTATTTTCCATTGTCCAGAGGTTCAGGAGGGAGCTCAGGGCCATTATTCAGCGATTAGCCATGGACAGCCAGCCCTAGCGTCAGCAAGCACTGGCTTGTGGAAGTAAAAATTAGTTGGAGATTTGTTTGTCATCCAGAGGGAGATGGCAGAGGGTTCAGATTAAATCTAGTTATATTGCCACAGCAGTGAAATTGCAGCTGTGATCTGGGTATTCACCGTTTAGATTTGCTTGGGTTTTATTTCTGAAGATAGAAATTTTGTCTTGTTTAGAGAGGGAGCATGCGGAGAGATATCAGCTGGAGGCCAGTCTTGCTATGCATGCCCGTACAAGGCAGGGGTCATTAGCAGCTGAATAAAATGCTAATGGCCTTAATGGGTCAATTGGAGGATGGAGGAGAGCTCTGCGTGACCTTCCTACTCTTTCTGCTTCCAGGGTGAGAAGGGTCCTCAAGGACCAGCAGGTCGGGACGGCATCCAGGGCCCCGTGGGACTCCCGGGTCCAGCAGGTCCTGTTGGCCCCCCCGGCGAGGATGGAGACAAGGTGGGAACAAACAGCAATCCCTGCTGTGCGGGGTCACTAGGAAGGAACTGGGCCGTCTACCCCATAGCCACTCTGCTGGCATTGGGTCAGACCTGCAGCCTGTTGTGACACAAGAGTGGTTTATGGTGCTTGCAGTCCCCTGGGATGAGTGGAGTTGGGTTTGGGAGAGATTGAGGCTGACTGCTTCACAAGCACTTCTCAGCTGAAGCTCTCAGCCTCCCCTAAGCCTGTAGCAGGTGGCCTGCCCTTGGGTGCGTTGCCTTTCCTAATTAATTACCTTTCCCCAGTCTCTCATTAAGCCTCTCTGGACTGGAGGGTTCTTAAAAAACGTTAGCTGGGATGTATCACTCATCATTGCTAACAAGCTCATGGGATGATGCTTCTGCATCAGGAAAGCTTAAGGATACCAGAGGGTTTGGTTACACCTGGAGCAGCCGAATGTTTGGCCTCTTTCAGAACTCGCTGGGTTGGTTCTGTGGGAATTGGCATCAGGGCACAGGATGACTGCTGGGTGGGGAGATGTGGCAATGGTCCCCAGCTGAACTAACTGTGTTCTTTGCACCTGCAGGGCGAGATCGGGGAGCCTGGCCAGAAGGGCAGCAAGGGTGACAAAGGGGAGCAGGTGAGTGTGATGGATGTCATCTGTGGCTGTTTTTTGGCTGAACGTGTGGTTATGTCACGCAACCTGCTGCAACCAGAGAATGATCTCATTTTAATTTCATCCCGTCTTTCCTTTCTCTTCTCCTTTGCTTTGTCAAATTCACCCACAGTGTAAAAATGAAAGTGCCTGCTGAAGTGTCTTTCTCCTCCAGCTCCCTTGAGATGCTTCCCTCTCACTTACATACTATGTAAATATCTCAAGCATCAGCAACACTTGCCTTTGGAGTTGGGCATTTGGCTGCAATTGCTTTTCTAGATGCATGTGACACACGGAAGGTCCCTTTGTGTGCTCAGAGCCTGAGGAATGGAAAATAAATTGTACAGGTTCTCCTGTAAATGTGCTGAAATACGAGGTCAGGTTAAGCTGGTTTGGGCTTCTTGGCCCTGCAAGTAGGTAGCTGCACCTACGTGCAGAAGGTGATGCTGGGCTAAGGGTGATCTGTGAGACATCTTATGTTACACAGACATGCACAGATGGCTTCTTTCTTCCCAGAAAGACTTCCAGCTTCCACCTCCCTCAGAAAGTGTTTTGCAAAATAAGCTTAAGTGTGTCCTTGGGCACCAGTCCTGCAGGACCCTGGTGCATCCAGGCTTGACTCCATCCTTCCCCTGCTCTCATTTGAGAATTTATGCAGATTTAATGGATGCTGTGCTCAAGAGCCTCTCATTGTACAGGTGAGGTTTTTCACTCCTAAATATGACTTTGCGCTTCTGTTTCCTCACAGGGTCCACCAGGTCCTACAGGCCCACAAGGTCCAATTGGTCAGCCAGGTCCAGCTGTGAGTACTGTTAACAGGAATTCTTCTTACCCAAAAGCAGTGCTGGGAAGCACTGGACAGAACTGCAGTTTCTGCTGGGAGCTGCTCGTACCCAGTGCATGTGGATGAGCTTGGCTGCTGGCTGCAGGGGGAGGTGGTGGGGCTATATGGGCTTTTTGCCTGCCGTGTGCCCATGCTAAGCTGAATCAGACTGTTTCCTCATAGGGTGCTGATGGAGAGCCAGGTCCCAGAGGGCAGCAAGGCCTTTTTGGTCAGAAAGGTGATGAAGGACCTCGAGGTTTCCCCGGTCCCCCCGGCCCTGTGGGCTTGCAGGTAAGCTGCGGCATCCGGAGGAGGCTGGGGTGATGAGGGCTGAGGCTGTGCAGGATGTATTCACGACTACAATTATCCCCTTCTACCCCCGCACAGGGCTTGCCTGGACCTCCTGGTGAGAAGGGAGAAACAGGTGATGTTGGGCAAATGGTAAGAAGCTTTTCTCCTCCCATTTTCATCACTGATGTACGTGTTTTTTCCAAGGAGCTTGTCTGAAATGTCTCCTCTTTCCCTCAGGGTCCACCAGGTCCACCTGGGCCCAGAGGCCCCTCCGGCCCACCAGGAGCAGATGGACCCCAAGGTCCTGCTGGGGGAATAGGAAATCCTGGTGCAGTAGGAGAGAAGGTAAAGCATGCACTCCAACCTGACTGAGGGCTGCAGGAGGTTTGTTCCAACGCTTGCTGTGAGTGGGGTGGTGATGGGGTAAATGCGTGGCTGCAGTCATGCACAGTCTGTGAATAAATAGGTGCTATTTGAAGGGAGGAGGCTTCTCCCAGTTTGAAGTGCATGTAGTGCTGTCCTTGAGGTACTTCTATTAGTGATTTCTTCTCAATTAAGTAAACAGATCCATGTGTATAGTGTGCGTATTTGTTAATATAAGCCAAGGAGGTGGAAATGTACCTGAAAAAGAAAACTGTGATGCTCAATGTCCAATGACTTGCTGAGGCTTGCAGCTCTCAGAGGCCGAAGGGGTTGAGCAAATCAGCAGAAAGGTCTGCATCCTGTAACTGTAGCCATCTTCTTTTCCTTCCTGTAGGGTGAGCCTGGTGAATCTGGTGAGCCCGGTCTGCCTGGTGAGGTCGGCCTGCCGGTAAGTCTGCTGCTGTGGAGGAGAGCTTTTCTCCACCAAAAAGTTGGCTAAAGGGGTTTCAGAGATGCACAGATGTTGCTGGGGCTGTAGGGACTGAACCAGCCATGTCCTTGGTGTGGGCATCACACAGACACTGCCACGTTCTGGGGTGTTTATGGAATAGCTTCAGTCTCCGAATGCAGGCTGTGCATGACAGCATGAACACCACTGAGTCTTCGTGTTTTAAGATACAGACAGGCTTTTCCAGAACTGATCAGAGGATAATTAGAGATCAGTGATAGTAATAGACACAACTTTTTTCCTTCACAGGGTCCAAAAGGTGAAAGAGGTGAAAAGGGTGAAGCAGGTCCCTCCGGTGCTGCTGGTCCACCTGGCCCTAAAGGTCCCCCAGGTGATGATGGTCCCAAAGGCAGCCCTGTAAGTACCCCCTCCTGTCAAAATAGCACTTCCTTGTCTTGCCTCGTGGAGATTTTCACATGGGAAGATACTTTCCAGAGAATTTTGTGAAATCTGAAATTGTTTACCAGCCAGATAATTGCCCATCTAATATTATGCAATGATAATCCCATTCCTTTAGAGTGCTAATGAGGAAAAGACCAAGTTGTACCTTGTCTTCTAGCAATGCTTGAATTGTTAGTCTCTTTTTGCAGGCTATCAGAAAACCCATCCCTATGTAGAAGGTGGTACTTCTGCTTTGCACTTGAGTTTATGCATTGCCAGTGTCCTCTGCACCAAAGCAAAGCTTCCAAAATAGCCTAGGGGAGATTTATGTGAATTTGGGAGCCGTATCTCCAGGGTCAGATTCCCGCTAATGCAAGTTGTTGTAGCTCTATTGAAGCCAGCAGGGCTGTACTGATTTATACCAGCTGACAATGGTACGATATTTGTCTTGCCTGCTCCTTTGATGCTTGTTGGCTGAAGAAATTCATCATGCGATAAGCAAAGATGGTACGAAGCAGCAGAGGAGGCAGGGGAGTTAGTCATCTCCCTTAACAGATGGTTTTTGGGATGCTGCATTATGGGTTGAAACCTATTGTCTGAGCACTGCTCTAAGGATCATTTGAAGTGCACAATAGGATTGTAGGGAGAACTGCGGTGAAGTTATTTTAGTCGTCGAATGATCTGAGAGTATCTTCAGGTGAAAAATGTTACACATTAAATGGAAAGGAAAAGCAAAACCTTCTAATCTTTGCATTCCCCAGAGCTGAGAGGATTCCGCTGTCACTTGTCTGATATATTTATGAAAAGCTCGATGAAATCCCATGTTGATGCTGGAGCTTTGTGTAAACTGGCTGCAGAGCTGAGCTGGTAACTGTGGCAGGTTGAAATTACTGAGCACGCAAAGCTGGGATGTGATCTGGGCTTAGCTTTGAGGGTAGGGAATTGGGATTTTGCTCCCCAGGCTGAACGCACATGTTGCACCTAGAGTGACGGGTGCGAGTGCTCTGCAGGTTTGCAGGTGCAGTTTCTGACCTGGGGATGTCTCTCTCCTCTCTTTGCAGGGTCCAGTTGGTTTCCCTGGTGATCCTGGTCCTCCTGGAGAGCCTGGCCCAGCTGTAAGTGTTTGTCTTGCAGAGGGGCAGTTAGGTTCCTCCTCTTGATGGAACACGGCTGTGTGCTGTTCATTCACCACTCTTTTGTCATTTACTGTTCTTGGGGAAAGGGTGGGAAGTCCCACCGTAAGACCATTCTTCTGACCATGCTGCAGCCTTTGGGGCAGTAGCAATGCAAAACTTACACGCTGAACAACACCTGCTGCTTCCAATACTTTATTTAGCTCCATTCATACCCTCAATCTGCCTGTTTATTTCTTTCTTCTCGTATTTTAGGGTCAAGACGGTCCCCCTGGTGACAAAGGTGACGATGGCGAACCTGGTCAGACAGTGAGTAACTGGATGGACGGGATCTGTGTTCAGTCCCTATGGTTACTGTGTGCAGGTGCAAAGGGTTTGACACAGAAAGATGTATGGCAGCAAATTCCCACCAGCTTCCTCTGAGCAAGTCCTCTGCTCCTTCCCAGTCCCGTCCTCCCTCTTGTCTGTGTGACCCTGGCTGCTGCCATCCACCCAAGGCTGCTCAGCAATCCAGAAAGCAAACAGTAGCTTCTAGAAAAAAAAAATCCAGCCTTTCATTTTAAATTTTCCATGCCTTATGGTATTACATGGCGGGAAGAGATAAAACGAGGTACCACCTGCAGCACAGGGAGGTGTCAGGAGTTGTACCAGCCACCCACACCCTGGTTTGGAACAAACTCTGTGTCTCTGCTTGAGTTTTACACACTTACTCGTTCCTCCCATGTCTCGTGGTGCAGTTATGACTACTTCTCCTCCACTCTCCATCTAGGGGTCCCCAGGTCCCACGGGAGAGCCAGGCCCGTCTGGACCCCCAGGAAAAAGGGTAAGCAGATCTTTTAAGAATGATTTTCTGCATGTGTTTGTATCAGTTTTTAAAAGCTAATCTTATTACTAGTCTAAAGTAAACGTAAGGCAGTAGCATGTTTAAAAAAATAAAATAAAAGTCTGCCATCCACAGCCATTGGAAATCAATGGGAAAGTTTTGAGCTGAATTCCATTGTTGCTTGTTTTGTTTTTGTTGTTTTTTGTTTTTTTTTTAAGATTCTAATACCCAAAAGGAAATAAAAGTTGCTCCAACATTTCCTCTCTTGCTGGTGGAGCCCAGGGGTTTGTGCAGCAAGAAGCTAATTTGTAAACCTTTTCAGAGAGATTTGCCTCTGTGTTGCCTTCTTTCCTGTGGCCGTGGCATTGTTTTGGTAACTCCATTAGAGTGTTGCAGATCAGGGTAATCTAACTGAGTTTTGCATCTATTCTGTGCTTTCTGTAGGGCCCTCCTGGTCCTGTTGGTCCTGAAGGAAGGCAAGGAGAGAAAGGAGCCAAGGTGAGAGCTGAATGGGATTCCTTTCTTACTGTGTCTTTCATGTGCCAAGCTGCTCACCCTCTGACGTTGTTATTTGAAAGACAGTGATTTGATTTTGCTGCGTTACGACAAATGAGCCTGAATTTGGGATCACTGGCCTCAAGTCTAAATGTGTGTTTTTATTTTTTAATGAACTCCGTGGAGATAATCAGAGCTTGGTAAGGTCATGGGAGTGTTTTCCTTGCTTTGAAATGACAGAGTGCCATATTTGGCAATTTAATGTGCTGTCAGTGAAATGGCACGCTGAGTCCTCCATCGTATCCCAGAGCTAGCACAGCATTATTGGACCGTTGTTATTTCTGTAGGGGTAATGGGGGAAATGTAAAGTGGGATTGCAAATTACAGCTCCAGTTGTCGTGGCAGCGTCAGGAATGCTGATGGCGGAGGACATGCTCTGCTAGCACATCTCCCAGGACATAAGCAAAGAAAGCTTTGTGCTCTGGAGAGCTTGCAGCAAAGGCTGTTCTTGCTGTAAATCAGCAGAAACAGACATGTCTGAAAAGTGAAGTTGTTTGGGAGAACGCTTTTCCTCGGCACATCAGGGATAAGGAGGGAGCAGTAAGGAAACCAGCAGATGGAAAATTTTATATGCTGTGCAGGGAATTGCATTCGCTCCGTGATATCCTGCTGTGTCTCTGAAAGGAGGGGTCAGTGCCCCAATGCATATTAAGGCATGGTGTCTCTTGCATCCAGGGTGAAGCTGGTTTGGAAGGGCCTCCTGGGAAGACAGGCCCAATCGGTCCCCAGGGTGCTCCAGGGAAACCTGGCCCTGATGGCCTTCGGGGAATTCCTGGTCCAGTTGTGAGTATTCCCAAATACTCCTCTCACCCGAGAAAGCTTCTTGGTGGCGTTGCTGCTGTAACCCATCTGCCTTGGAAGATGCTTTGTTCCCAATGTAAGATGCTGTCTACAAGGGAGCAGACGGTTTCCATGCTTAGGTGCCCGAGAGCAGATGAAACATCCTCAATGGAAATGGCATAGTGATGGATACCATCACCCAGCATGTTTTGGGTGTTGGGTCTGCTTGCACTCTCTGCATTAATGTTCCGTTGAGCTCAGAAGCCACTTTTCCACTAGAGATATTTATGCTCGTATTTTTGCCTTTATCTGCAAGAGAACAGGGCAAAGCATAGTGGCCAGATGAGGGTGGGTTCATAATCATCTGGGAGCAGTACTGTTGTGAACGATGACTTTGAGAGGACTGCACTGTTTTACAGGGTGAACAAGGCCTTCCAGGATCTCCTGGCCCAGACGGCCCCCCTGGCCCACTGGTATGTCCAAACCATCAAATCTGAATGAGTTTTTGAGATGGGAGAAGGCTTTTTGCGTGAATTCATTCTCCCCTTTGTTTTCCCTCTTGTCTCCCAAAGGGCCCACCTGGTTTGCCTGGCCTCAAAGGAGACTCTGGTCCTAAAGGAGAAAAGGTAAGTGCTGTGCATGACCCCATTGGGTGGCCTGGTGTCTGTGTCTGGCATTCACATGCAAAATGAACAGGTTCTCCACTGCAGCGTTTCTCTTTATGTATTTGTAGCATTTCCTGTTGCAAAAAGGCAGTGCTTTCACCTTATTCAGCTGCTTCCATGTGTCAGGGATAGCTATGCACTCCTGTCACCTTGCTTAGATATTTGGGTTTGTCCCTATGAAATGTCTTTCACAGGTAAATTTGGCATTCTGTTAACTGCAGAGAGAGATTGTAATTAACATCTGCTATCTTCCCCTAGGGTCATCCAGGTTTAATTGGTCTGATTGGACCGCCAGGTGAGCAGGGAGAAAAGGGCGACCGAGGTCTCCCAGGCCCCCAGGGCTCTGCAGGACCCAAGGGAGAGCAGGTAAATGCCAATCTCAGCATGAGAACGTTTTTGAGTCACATTTTCTATCTGAATGTGGTTTATTCTATGTATGAAATATAGTGATGCTCTGAAATGACCCATTTTAGGAGAAATAGGATTCTTGAGGGTCGCATGAAAAGAGTTGAGTAGACTTGGAGAGATGGTAACACAAATATGTGTTAGGAGGACTGACTTTCAGAACTGTGTGCCATACTCCTGTTTGGATCACGCATGCATTTAAAAACCAATTTAAGCTTCAAATCTTTATGTCCTCCAAAACCAGTTGGTACTCCAAAACCAGTGGTTAATTCCATAGCTGTGGACCAGTATTGCTGCCTGCAAATCAATATTGTTCTGCTCTTATTTTTCAGGGTATCACAGGTCCCTCTGGACCAATTGGACCCCCAGGGCCACCAGGACTACCGGTATGTGACCAGTAAAGAAGGTAACCTTTAAACTCCTGGGGAACTGTGCAGCCCTTCTGGGGTCACTTTGGGGTTCCCAGATAACCCAGCACAGCCTTTCTGGAGTGACCTGATGTGATGATGTTAACAGCAATGGGGATTGCCCAGCTGAGCATAATAACAGCACTTGGATGTGTTTCAGGAGTGCTTTTTTGTATGCTTGGAAGAAAAAAAAAAAAAAGCATTCGTCTGAAAAATGGGCCCAAAAAGGGAGTGAATGTAAAAAATAAATAAAATACATACAAAATGCAGAAACTAGTATGGTGGTGTTCTCTCTCTCTCTGAGGAGAGGCTGACTTCTCTGCTAACAAAGATACTAACTCCCTTCTGTATTTTTCTCTATGCAGGGTCCACCTGGTCCCAAAGGTGCTAAAGGATCATCAGTGAGTATAGACATTGTTAAGTGAAGAGGCTGAGGATCTCTTATTAAGTGCTCAGCCTGCTGTGACTCCTCCACATCAGCAGCGTTAAGGCAATTAGCCAAAGATGGCTGTAGCAAATGCAGCCTTTTCAGACTATCCCAGCTCAGAAATTATAATTGGGGAAGGTTTCTGTTACATGCATTGTACTTCACTGAACATCAGTGTAGCAAAGATCATAAGGAGGAATGCAGTGAATAGTCCTTATGAGCAAAACTACTACTGTAGTGCAGAGGGTATTAAAAATAGACTGTGAAGCAGGAGGTGGCAAGCTGAAGAACGAGGAACTCTGTGAGAAATGCAACACTGAAGTGAGCTTCATGTTACAGATCTCCTATTCAGGCGGTTAAAAATTCCTCTTGGGCAACTTCCTAAAGTCTTTTTTGTTTTGTTTCTTTTGTTTTTCCATAAAGAATTCCATGTTTTATTAATTCTGAGCTTGGATTCGATTCTGAAATCTGCTGAATTGATTTGGGGAGGTAACACTTTCATCCATTGAAAGATCCTTCCTTTTCTGCAGGAAGCCTGAGGAAAATTTGATCCCTGCTTAATCTTGATCTGCTTAATCCCAAGTGTTTGACATTGTTTCTTACTGAGCACCAGAAAATAACCAAGACACAAATTTTACTGGGGGGGATGTGGGGACAAGAGACCCTCTTTGTGTGACTAAAAGGGCAGGAAGGAAACATTTACTGGTAGAGACTGTGGAAAAAAAAATTAAGTTTGGGCTGTTGTATCAGTTACAAATGCTATTTACTGAGTGACTTGTGTTTTTCCCTTTTTTTCCACCTAGGGTCCAACGGGTCCAAAGGGTGAATCGGGTCTTCCTGGGCCCCCAGGGCCTCCTGTAAGTACAGCTCCATTACACAAACTTAATGGGTGTTGTCATGTAGATTTCCAGATAAAGATTCAGCATTTCAGAAGTCCTGCAATGGAGTGACATCTGTTAGGGATGCCAGGGAAGAAAGCAGAAGGTGAAGGGACGAATTAGTAATGAGAGGAGAACAAGAGAAGAAGGAACCAACGTTGGTGGCTGGGGTTTTCCTCAGTGCAACCACGTGTGTTTCAGATACCTACTGTGCATCTTGTGATGCTGTTCTTCAGCACTGGTGGCTGCTTTGGCTGTTTCTTCTGTCTCGTCCCTATTTCCACTGAGAAGTTGCATCTTCTTCCCCCATCCATCAGGGTCCTCCTGGAGAAGTCATCCAGCCTCTGCCCATCCAGTCTTCCAAGAGGACCAGGCGAAACATCGATGCCAGCCAGCTGGTGGATGATGGAAATGCTGACAATTACATGGACTATGCAGATGGCATGGAGGAGATTTTCGGCTCACTGAATTCCTTGAAACTGGAAATTGAACAGATGAAGCATCCGTTGGGCACTCAACATAACCCAGCTCGTACCTGCAAGGATCTCCAGCTCTGTCACCCTGATTTCCCAGATGGTGCGTCCTGGGACAGAGGGGACACAGGGCAAAAACACAGTGGGTTCCCAACTCCAGCTGGTGAATATGATTCAGTGCAGGAAGAGAAAGATTTTGGGGACTCCCAGGCCCTTGTTGCCCCCTGAGGAATATGGCTGATCAAAGAGGTTGTAGAGACCTAGAGACATGGAGAAAAATGGGGATGTGTGTTTCAAAAAAGCTGTTCCTGAAAGATGCCACAGTATTATATGGCATCAACCATCATTCTTCTTAAAAATACATATGATAGTAGCCTATGATGGGGATGATACAGCCCGAGTAAGATGGTTGTTGAAGGTTGATATCCCTTCACAGCGCTGATTCTTTCTTCCCCTCTCCTCCTTGTCCTGCATCCAGGTGAATACTGGGTGGATCCTAACCAAGGATGTTCCAGGGACTCTTTCAAAGTGTACTGTAATTTCACAGCTGGTGGAGAGACTTGTATCTTCCCTGATAAGAAGTCTGAAGGAGTAAGTCCACACGACATTCTTTAATATCATGATGATAAAAGATTGTTTCCTAATATGAATATTCATATGCACAGTGTTGGTTATGTTGATGTGTACTGATCTGCTTAGTTGACCCATACTCTTAATTTTTGTCACACAGCCATGCGCTGTTTTATGGAGCTGCTCTCCCTGTTGCAGAGCTGCTCTGCTGGATGCAGGCTGTGATGCTCCTCAAATGCAAATTGTGCTACTACTTTCAGAGTGCCATAAGTGTGAGAAAGGCTCAGCCTGCTGTTTTTCCAGAGAGAGGACCTTGAACAGCTATCACAGCAGCATTAAGTGTCGGATGAATGGTTTTATTATAAGCCATAGCAGAGTTTAAGACATATCCCCTTTCTGTCCGTCCTTAACGCAGTAGAAGCACGCTAATTTGCTTTATGGTTTGCAGGCTGTAAGGGAAGGACAGTCCCAGGACACCTGCAGTAAAGTTTGCCCATTGCTTTTGGAGAGATTTACAACAGAAGTGAGGGAATTTTTGGAAGAGGGGGGAGCACACAGCAGCCGTGCTCCTTCCTTGTGCTCTGCCTGCAAAACAAGGGCTTCAGCTGCTCGGGTGGGACTGCCATAAGGGAGGGATGCTGTGACACAACCCTTCTTGCCAAGGTCACTCCTTGTCCCAGTCTAGGTGGTTGGAGCTCCACCGTGCTCAGTGGTCCAGCACTATCAAAGGATGCTGCATGTGCTGCCCCGTGTGCTGCACAGCCTCTGGAGGCACTCAGAGGCTTTTCCTTAATGCTGCTCTTTGCCTTTCCTAGCCCCTCAGCATCTGGATTTGACATTAGAATGACAGCAGCCTCCTCCATTGCCAGCACTTTCACCGTTCATATTTCTTTTTATTTTCCTGTATCTTTCCTTTTAGCTCTCCTGCCAATAGGCTGCACTGACGGTTTTGCATCCAGAGTATCTAGAATTAGTGATCATTAGCCCTTAGCAAAGGAGGCTGGTGCAGGCAGTGGCATCTCCTTCTGCTTGAACTTGGCACCATAGGGCTCTGCCGGCTGGTCTTGTTAGTGGTGTATAAAGATTAAGAAAACATGCTTTTAAAACAAGTCAGCCATTTTCGATAAGACATGCAGATGCTGCCCGTGGGACTGAATGTAACTTCATTTCTTTCTTTTTTTCTCTTTTCTTTCCTTCCTCATTGCCGTCCACAAACTAGGCTAGAATTACTTCTTGGCCAAAGGAAAACCCAGGCTCCTGGTTCAGTGAATTCAAGCGCGGTAAACTGGTAAGATGCATCTCAGTGCTTTCAGTTTTCTTTAACCCGTGTCGTATTTTACAGAGTAAAATGGCTCGTTGGCCCAAAGAACAGCCTTCCACATGGTATAGTCAATACAAGCGGGGGTCTTTGGTAAGTGGCTAACCTTGGCCCTCTAGTCTGAATCAGAGCACGTCATCCGCTTTGGTATGGCCAGACCTGTTGCACTCTGCATGCTCGACTAATCGCCATCACAAGTTGCAGTTAAAAGGTTTAAGGTGGAATACTTCAGGTGGAAAAAGAAGCAAAGCCACACAGGGATGCGTTTGCTGACCAGCTCTGTGCCCTGCAGGAGGGTGCTGCTGCCCCTTGAGCTGCTCCCATCGTAGCAGGGGCAAACTGGATGGCCCTGTGCTGCTGTCCCCAGGGAGAGCAGCCTTGTCCTGCAAGCCCTTGTGTGATGCCTCACCCTGGAGCTGAGCTCTGTGCTGCTGCACCACTTTCCTTGGGGGGTAACCTAGGCTGGGTTGGTGAGTCTGCACATGACCAGGTCAGGTTGTCCTCAAAGGAGGAATCTCATCTCCTTGCTGGAAATGAGCCGTGCTGGGGGCTCCCACACCATCCCCAGAGCTTGGGAAAAGTGAAGGCATTGATTCAAAGGAGGAGATTTCAAGCCACATGCGTTCCAAGCCTGATGGCCTGGGATTGGATGTAGGCACAATTGGGGTTTATTTTTAAGGGAGAAAAAACTGCTGTGAGGTCAAACAATATTTGATGTCAGCAAGCAAACTAGACATCAACATGTTAAAAAAAAAAAAAAAAGGAGAGAGATGCAGTTCTAGTATTTTGTCCTGTAACTGAACAGTTGTGTTGTGCATAGATCGCTCTCCCACTGAGCCCTTCATCAAACGATGAGCACGAGCCAGCTCTCCTCCAGCAATGGAAATCTCCCACATGTGTATCAGTTCCTACAGGGTGCACATCATGAGCTCGGTCAGATCAGGAGGATGAGGGAAGGAGGAAATGCTCAGCAGACATGAGCAGGTGGAGGTGCTGAGGTCCCCGTTGCCCAAGGCAGAGGTTTCCTGCAGAACATTCAACATCCACCTTGAAGGGCAAACAAAGGAGGATGCTGCCTTGTTTCCCTCAGCCACATTTCATTACCACTAAACACGTATGCTCTGATTCTGCCCACAAGAAGGATATGGCTTCTGCAGCTTTTCTGCACCATCCAACAAGGCCGCAAAGCCAAGGCTTCAGCCTCGTAGCTCCTTGAAGGGCAATTACTCATAGCTTAATTACAGAGCACTTCATCAATTAATATTACAAGTACATTCATCTCTGCATCTTCTGTGCCTTTTTTCCTTTCTTTTCCCAGCCTGTTTGTCGGCTACTTTAGAGGCTGAATGGGCACCCTAGAGCTTGGGGCCCATTTTTTAAATAGGAATTTCAGTGCCACTTTGTTCCATCTTTCTGCGTTCTATTCTCTTGCCTTTTACCTGTCCCACATTTCCCATTTGCAAGAAAAAAGCCACCAGCACATAGAAGACCTTCCACAGCAAACCCCAAAACTGTAAAGTTTGCTTTAAAAAAAATAAAATAAAAAAAATTCATACCAGTCAAATATTTGGAACTGTGAGACTGGTAAACCGGGGAGGTGTTTGCCTGGACGTGAGTTGGTTGAATTCTGTTTGTGGTTTGGCAGGATGGCTGTGGGTGCCCTTCAGGTTGGCAGGGCTGCTCTGCTCAACCCAGAGCCTTTGTGCCCAGCCTGGAGCCACGGCACTGCCAACGACACATCCCATAATACTGCTTACACCAGGTATGCCAATGCTTGCCTTTCTTCTGATGGCACCCAAAGTAAGATGGATGGAGTAAATGGGGAATACAAAGAAACCGTTTTGTTTTGATGCTTCCCCACCATCATTAATCAGTGACACAGAGTACGTGGAGTTAATTTCCCAGCCTTCCTCATGATGCAGCCAGACTGCATTTAGAGGGATAACAGAGTTGCAGATGTTTTCTTTTGGCCTCTGCTTTCCTCCTGTGTGCATTCTGCACGCACGTAATTCCCGGTAGCTCTAACAAGACCTGCCACCCATCCATCCTGTTATCCCTCACTGCCATATGGCATCTGCCACAGGCAAATACTCCAGCACAGAAAAAAGGGGAAAGGATTGATTTTTTTATTTTTGTTTTTTTTCTGCAAAACCAACACGCTTTGTGCACACAGCCATTTCCCAGTGGGTCCAGTTGTAAACCTCGTGCAGAAGCAGAACAGTTTAGCACACAATCTGGCTCCCAAACCAAGCATCGATTGGAAATAAGAATACACAGGAAAGTAACTCTTGCAGGTCAATGAGCAGTGCCACGTGCACTGAGTACTCAGCTTTTTGTGTCCCCATCCTTCTACGTCCTGGTGGTTTCTTGCTCCTGGCATGCATGGCTCTCTCATGGTCAGTCATATTTAACTCTCAGGAGGACAGTGCAACAGCATCCTGACAACCGGTTGGTATATTTTATTTCTTTCCATCATCGTTTTTTACTCAGAACTTTGTTGTCTGGTTGTGAACCTCTTCTATTGTTTGCAGCCCGCACCGTGATCTGATGCTTCACCGTACCTTGAAGAACTCTGTGCTGTTTGTATTTTTCTCCCAGTCATTTCTTAAAGAAGTCGGCTGTCTGTTGAGGGCAGTTTGAAGAGCTGCTCCAGTGGCTTTGCTGTGGCTGGAGGTGCCACCTCAAGTGCAGTCAGTCCATGATGTGGCTCTGGCTAATCCTGTGGTGCTTCCTTGTTGGAGGGTGCAAGGGAAAGTGACAGAAAGGCCTGAAAGCTGAGGAATGGAGGGGCCTTCCATAACTTGTGTTTTGCAGAAATAGATTTCCAGAAACTGTTCTCCTTTGAAGGAGAAAAAGAACCTGATGTGCAGGACAGAGCAAATCCCCATGCAGGTGCAGCTGTCAGTAGGAGCAGGATTTCTGCAGAAGAGGTTGCAAGGATTGCTTGAAATCCCAGTGTGGTGGTACCCAGGAAAGATGAATGGGAAACACCTCAGTGTGTGCAAAATACTTACAGAGGTGAAATAACTGTGTCAAATGGGGCAGCAAAATAAAGCTCCAGACCCTCCCATAAATCTTCATTCTCCTCAAAAGCTGGAGAAATATGCTCAGTACTGGCTTTATGCCTGGAGATACACATCCCCAGATTTGTCCAGTGCTGTGTCACTTTGCAGCTGGGGCTGAAATCCCCATTCCTTTCTCCTCCTCCTGCCCTTGGTTTAGCTTTGTGTGGTTTTTTTCTTAGCTTACCATCAGGTCACAGGCAGCAACACAAAATAAACTGCCCCTGGCAGCAGGAGAACCAGAACATCTCTGTGCCATGCAGCATGGCAGGAGCCAGGATGGGATGGGGAGACCCAGCCCCAGAGCAGAGGGCAGGGTGCTCGTGCACGTGGGGATAAGGATGGATGGGAAATCTGGTGGTCCTTGAAGCTCCCTGAATGCATTCCTTTGCCCCTCACTGCCCAGCGTTTCCCCTTTTCCACTTCCCATAGCTCTCCTACGTGGATTCGGATGGGAACCCCATCGGAGTGGTACAGATGACATTCCTCAGGCTGCTGAGCGCCTCGGCCCACCAGAACATCACTTATAACTGCTACCAATCCGTAGCCTGGCACGATGCCACCACAGACAGCTATGACAAAGCCATCCGCTTCCTGGGCTCCAACGATGAGGAGATGTCCTACGACAACAACCCGTACATCCGAGCTGCATTCGATGGCTGCGCGGTACGTGGGGAAGATGGCAGGAAGGGTCTCTGAGCAAATCGCTTCCCCATTTCCATCGATTTGGTTGCTCTGAGGATTGAGGTTTTGCCCTGATGTTGAGCTGCAGCCCTGCCCTCCCCATGCACGCACAGCCCATGGTGCTCTTTTCCTTCTCTTCGGCTGTGAACCATGTCCAGAGTTTTCAAAGGTGGCACAACATCCAGCCTTTGCTTCTGCCTTCTGCTGGGCATCTGATTGAGGACTGAGCTCTGAGCAATCTGCCCTCAGGAACTGTAAATTTGGCGAAGTAGGTGCTGCTTGCATTTATTTCCAGACCCAGTTTGTCAGTGCAAAAGCACGCATAATTCTCACATTCTGCAGCTGCAGTGCTTGAAGCCCATGGGACTGAATGATAGAGTTGTTTGACAGCAAAAGCCCTCCACATAATTTGAGATTAAAGTGATTCTGTTCTGGCAGACGTGCTTTTACTGTAGGAGCAATGAGAAAAATCAAATTAAAATCACTTCTTTTAATACTTCTGCAAGAGAGGAAAAGGGCATTCATCCCTCTACTGAAAACGCCCAGCGGTTTATCCTCAATACCACGTGTCTCTGGGTAACACAACTTGTCCTCAGCAAAAAAGAGCCCCCTCCTCTCTTCTCCTTCATAAGTCTCAGGGAAGCTGCAGACCACATGCTGCACGTTTTAAGGCAGACACATCTGGTGAAAACCCTTTTAGGTTAAGTGATGCTGTTCAGGTGCCCTGTGTTCCTCTCCCTTTTTCTTAATGAGGAATATTTGCCTGGAAACGGGACTGGAGCTCCTTTGAGTTTGTTCACTTGGTTGCTGCTTACTGGAGGTTGTAGCACCGGCTGCTGTCAGCACGACCAGCCTTAGTGCTGCAAGGTAAAGACTGGCAGGAGCAAAGCAGGGGAGCAGCATGGGCTGGTGAGCTGGTGGAGGGGCACAGGGCTTTGGGCATTGCTTCCAAGCTTCAGCCCTTCCTCCTGCCCCTCTCTGCAAGGCTCTGGAGAGGAGGTAAAAGACATTGAGGGGATTCGCTGCATCCTGCAGGGATAGATTTGGTGCAGATCCATATCCCAGTGAGATGCTGTGAGAGCCTTGCAGGGCAGTGCTCTGCCTCTCCTGTGTTCCTTACTGTCTCTGGGACCTCAGCAGGTCATCCTTGCTGAAACACTGGCAATATCTATAAGGTTAAGAGCCTTAATTTGAAAAGTGAGGCCTGGTTACCCAGCACAGCATTGCTGCAGAGGCCCTGAGAAGCTCCAAACCCTGGCTGTGATTGAGGCTGCTGCAGCCAGCGCCGGAGGAGCTCCAGGGCTAATGTTTGGGCCATTATTTGAATATGTTTCTCCTGATCTTACAGCCCTTTCTCAGTAACTATGATACAGCCTATTCTTCTGAGACACACAAATCAGAGGGTAAGGTAGAGCCAAAAGCTGCTCCATAAATTCACTTGTTTGTGCAGCTTTGTATGCTCCCGGGTGCACTTCTGCTCCTCCAATAATTATTTATATTTCAGAAATAACTGTATGGCTAGCAGGCACGATAAAAAGACAACATCACCTTGTGAATTCCATCAAACTTTAAATGCGGGCTTTTCGGTAGCGCTCGGATAATAGTCAAACTAATATATTCAAATTAAATTGCTTATATTTGCTCAACAACCCGTGCATGTCCTTGGGGAGGCAAAACAACTATACCACAGCCACAGCAGTACTGCCAAGCTCCTGTTCCAGCTCTGAGCTATGCTGAAAGCAGTGCTAGGGCCACTCCATCCTCATGGCAACAGCTCCAAAGTGAGTCCTCAGGGCAACCATCTCGGCAGCATCCTCAGTGGTGCCCACTGCATCTGCAGGGGGAGTTGGATGCAGTGTGCCTGCAAATTAGTGTAGGAAATCCCTGGGTGACACCATCTGTGTATTCCTAGTTCACCAGTGAATGTTTGCGCACGATAACCCGCCGGCATTGTGTTGGAGGCAGCATTGCCTCATTCATTGAGGAAAAACTTCTTTACAGAAAGAATTGTTAAGCACTGGAATAGGCTCCCCAGGGAAGCGGTTGAGTCACCATCCCTGGATGTGTTTAAAAACCATTTGGATGTGGTGCTCAGGGCCATGATTTAGCAGAGGGTTGTTGGGGTCGTTTGGTTGTGGTTGGACTCGATGATCTTTCAAGGTCTCTTCCTTTTCCAACCTGAGCGTTTCTGGGATTCCATTGGAGCTCTTCTCTCTCCCTCTTCTCCTCCAGGCAAAGAAGGGCTATCAGAAGACTGTCCTGGAAATCAACACGCCCAAGGTCGAGCAAGTGCCTGTCGTCGACATCATGTTCAATGACTTCGGAGAAGCGTCACAGAAATTTGGATTCGAGGTGGGACCAGCTTGCTTCATGGGCTAAGAGCCACCTGAAAACTAGTCTCCAAATGAGCAACCTCGTAACCTCATTGCGCCATTTAATTAATTAAAAAAGAAAAGAAGAAGAAAGAAAAAAAAAAAAAAAAAAAAAAAAAAAAAAAAAAAGAGTTCCTCGTCGTCACATGCACGTTCTGAAACTGGACAGCGATGGGTTCTTTCCTTTTCGTTTTGTTTTGTGCTTCGTTTTGCCCCAGTTCCTCTGTGCCGCGGCACCCGCGCAGAATCGCATGACCTGACGCTGCCCACGTGGCCCATGGACCTGCCCTGCGTGTCCTGAGGTGGAAACGCATCCGAGACTTCTTCTCTCCTCCAAATGATGCCAAGTGCTTCTCGGCAGGTTGTTGTTTGTTCGTTTCTAAGGAAAAAATGGATAATAACTTGAAACTCCCGCGCTCAGCTTGACGTTGAATCCCGGCTCTCATGCGAACCCTGCTGAAGTTCTTTATGGTCATCTCAGTGACTTCTGTGAGATTTGCATCAGGTCTAGCAAGCAGATATAATGGCCGTTTCCAGAATCTGTAGGATCTTCATAGAATCACCTAATCCCACTTCTTACAAAATCTAACCCGACCGATTCGATCGCTAAAAGCCACCCTGGGCATCTCTTTCCCATGTCTTAAAGGTGCTTATATTTTTGTATGTTTGTAAGTAAATATTTGTATTGTATATTATTTGAAATGTTCCCACGTTCCTGGCTTCAAAACATGCATGTGACCCACACCTGACTGCTGCCAACCCACGGGGGGATGCAGCTGAGGCCATGCCCCCGCAGCCACTGATGCCTTTGGAATGATGTGCTTCAAAATAAGGAAAGCAAAGCCTCTTTTTGCTACAGAGCCCTACAAAGCAGGCTGCAGTTTGCATCTCTGCCTCTTTGCGCCCCTGCTTCACCGTCATGTATGTGTTTTAAGTTAATTCTTCTCGCCTCCGTGTTTCCTTCAGCGTTCTTTCAAAATAATAATAATTAAATTAAAAAAAAAAAAAAAAATCTGTTCCCAGTGGCAGATTGCAGTGGCAGGGAAGATCCATTTGTCCTCTTGGGATATTGAGTGTAAAACAACAAAAACAAAAAAAAAAGGAGAGGGAAAAAAGAAAAAAAAAAGGTGCTGTTTTGTTTTTACATGTCTCTTCGTGGTGCTATCTATTCGAGTAACGTTAACACTGCACTGGTTGGACTCTGCCATTGGCCAATCTCCCACTGCCCGCCGCTTCAGCTGTTTGCAACACAGGCTGCACACTTCTGCTCCGGTCTCTGGTTATAAATGCATGCCAGCTTCATATATGCTATGCAGAAGATCTCTTGTTTGCATTACGGGAGCTTATAGGGCCCGTGTAGGATGTATTAAAAGTGCTTACGCCTTTTCAAAAAGCATTCATGCATTTATACGGCCGTGATCACACCAGGCCGTGTCGGTGGCTGAATGTTTGTGGTGCTAATTGATGTCATTGTCGTGAGGACGGAGCTGTGTGTGCCATTCTCTTCCTCTTCCCATGGTGGCTGCCAGGATGGCTTTCTTTCCCACGCAGCGTTTCCGAATCACAGCCCTCTGCCACCCCATTCCTTCTCCACGTGTTGCTTCGTTTTTTCTCCCCGGCTGTTTCCTTGTGTAGATCTCTTGGCTGGAAAATTTGATGTTGCAGGGGATTTTTGTAATTATTATTATTATTTGGCCTGGAGTGTTACAGTTGAGCCAGGGGAGGAGAGCGGGAGGGGGGGTCTGTCACCATGAAGGAAAGGACATCACATTTACTGTGAAAGAAGGCAACATATGATGTCTTTTCCCCCCTCCTTCCCTAGCAGAGAGCAGCAGCGCCCAAGGGAGGGAGCGAGGCGGGAGCTGCGATGCTGCACGGTGCTTTCGGGTCTGCAAAAGCCGTGTCCATCCATCTCCCTTCTTGTGTTCTGTCTAATTACTATTCATTTCTATTTCTCCTTTTTCCACCTGGGGGGGAGGAAAAAAAAACCTCAAAAGGTGCTACCCTAAAACTGCAGACTCCAGCAGCAAAGCAGTGAAAACGAGGATACGTACAGTGATCTGGTGCCTGCTCACCTTGGCACGAGCCTTGGCTGGGAGCATTGGGAAGGTCGAGGAGGTTGCACGTTCCTGTCTGCCACAGATAAGCCATATCTTGATGTGTGTGCGCACGTGTGCGTCTGCCTAGGTCATGTGATTCTGTTCTGATGAATTCTCATCAAGGGAGCTTTTTTTTTCTTTTTCTTTTTTTTTTTTTTTTTTTTTCCTCCTTTTATTTCCTTGCTTTAAGAAGAAGAAGAAAAAAAAAATAAAGAAATAATTCCTCTGTTGAATTCCACAGTGTTGTAATTGTACTGAGCTCCAAACTGTTCCGATTCCCCCAGACCACTTAGCTACGGTATTATTGCAATAAAATTACTACTTGTATTTGCAGACGTTCTTTTTGTGTAATTTTATTTCCCTCTTCCCTTAATATATATGACTTGAACAAATGTTGATAAGAAAAATAAAACCTATGGAAAAAAAAAAACAAACAAATTTAGTACATAAGGCCCTTTTTAAAATATACTGTCAAACGACGTATTGTACATTTCTTCAAAGTCCAATAAACATGTCATAAAATTTAAGTGTAATGCCCGTAAGAGCTATTTTTAAATATTTTAAACCTGTGTAATAAAGGAATAAATGTAATAGATTTTTTTTTTTTTTTTCAATAAATCAAGTTTACTGTTTCCACCTAAACCGACGTGATGTGAATGTCTTCTTGGAGTCGGTCGCAGAGGGATTTCCCCCTGAACCCTGAGCTCGGTGATGCACGAAGAGTTCGTCGGAGTGGTGAAAGGGAACGTGTGCTGTAAATAAGGAGAGAAAGACCTCAGAGGGAGGAGCTCCCAGGCCTGGAATGCTATTTCTCAGTGAGGATGGAGCCAGCAATGTGAAGGACTTCAGCCGTGTACCAGAGCTGTGACCATTGGCCGCCAGTTCTCTATAGCAATGGACCCGAGGAGCCGTTGCTTGGCATCACAGCCTGTCCTCGACTCATTGGTCCCTGAGGTGAAGCCAGGAAACAAAATGCAACTGCTGGCTGAGCTGCTGAGCTCCAAAGTCCTGCCTGCAGGTGCTGCTGGCACATGGGGGGAAGCAGCATGGGTGCACCTCTGCAATCTGTGCTCCTGGGATGTGCAAGAAGATGATGGCTGCTTGGGGAACTGCTGTAGGAAATTGCCCATCTGTCCACCAGCACCAACCTTGGCTGGTTGTGCACTGCTCTGGTTCTTCATGCAAAGACTTTTGGGTTGGTGCTGCTGGTTCACAGGTTGGAGAGATGTCTGCACCTTGAAAGCACGTTGCAATGCAGCAGGTACCTACAAGAAATGTATGCTTATGCATGCACCCAGCTCTGTGCACAAAGCTTTGCAATGACCATGGCAAGCTGGGCCCCATCAACACCTCCCCTTCATTCTTTGGCTGTGAGTAGTGGTAAACCACAGGTTAAGGGGGCTGTGCAGATAAGGATTGGTTCAGGTAAGGATTGGTCTGGAAAATCTTGAAGTACTATGGCCGAATCCTCATCCAAACAGGCCCCAAAAAATGCAGTGGTACTACAGGTGGGGGAAGAAATCTGGAGAAAAACAGCACGAGTTACACAGCCGTGGCTGGAAAGATTGAAGCAAATGCTGAGAAGTTTGAAGGTGATGCTCACCTCGCCTAGGCTGCCTTCCCACTTAGCCCTTCCATAGATCACTGCACTGCTGCAAACTCTTCTCATGAGCGCCTCAGGGTCTCAATGCTGAGAGCAGCTTTGATCTGCCATTAGGAAAAAGCAGAGACCTGAGCGAGGATCGGCTGTTTGTTGAGCTGCCAAATGAGAAAGCACAACGTATTTTTCAGCTCTTTTCCTATGACAAAGAGTCCGTGGTTTGGTGTGAGAGCTACAGGGCAGTAATTGTGCCAAGTGCAGCTGGAGGGTAATTTTCGGAAGATCCACAACAGAAAGCAGCAGGTTACTGAAGCACGAAGATAATTCAGTTTTGCTTCGTGCTCTGAGGTTCCCCTCTGGCCCAGCTGACCTCATCAGTGCAAACAGAAACCAGGACAGAATCAGGCAGTGGGCTCCCACATGTACTGCATGCAATGCTCTGCACCCACCCCAGCACAGGAGCAGCACTTAACCCAGAACAGCTGATTTCCCAGCTGCCATTAAAAGAGCTGAGCCTGAGCAGGGTGCAGTCTAAAGAGCATTTTCCCTTCAGCTCCCCAGATGTGAGGATGCAGACACTTGCCACCAGGCTGTTTCCTAAGGTAAAGCATTGTGGCTTGTTTTCTGGGTTAACCTGGAGTTTTTCTTTCTCCTATGTATTTTTTAGCCCTATTTCTGGAGGAAGGGCCCAAGTCTCCATGTTGGCCGTGTGTCTGTCAGCTCCCTGGTGCTCAGCAGGGACGGATGTGAGGACAGATGCAGGGACAGGCAGAGTGATGCAGCGTGCCAGGAATGGGTGCAGTGCTGGCACAAAGAGTTCAGCTCCATCCACACCACCACGATCACACCCTGTTTGCTCATTGCAAGACACGCCAGCATCGATTGTGATGTGTCCTGCTCTATTATTATCTCTGGAAGAGATGCTGCTCCCTGCTCCTTAAATACCACGTTTGGATGAGATGGGTAAAAATACAACTGGCTAAAAAAGAAGTGGTGGCTACAGTTAAATTTAGAGACCAGATCCTGGGGGTTTGTTCCCTATGATCTCGTGAGTTTGGGTGAAAAATAAGTAGGAGAAAACATGTGAATGGGTGCTTTATATGAAAGGTTGGGCTTCCTGAGTGCGACCAAAGCCCTCCTGGGAAGGGGGAAACAGCAAAGAGAGGTGGGAGGCAGTCATAGGGAGGGAGAGGAATGAGCTCCAGCATGGAGAGAATGTGAAGTGTTGGGCAGAAGGCTTTTGTGGTATAAAAGGTAAAACTAGAATCACTCTCAGTGCTCAGCAACTTTCTGTCCAGCGTCTTCTCCCCAGCTTTGACCTGATTTCTTTTTAATAACTTCTCAATCAAATGATGTGAACTGATCTGACTCGCAGCTCCAGGCTAATAAATAAACCAGCCCTCTCCGTGGCCGTGAGGACACACAAAGGAGCTGCAGGTTCCTGGTAGCTTGCTTCCACCTGTGAGCTGAGCTGCTGAGTCCCCAGCAAAGCTCACCCAGTGCACATTGAATGCATCCCCTCCCCTTTAGCCTCTCACAGGTGAGCAATGCTGCTGCAAATTCTCTGCTCTGCTTACCTCCCAGCCAGCGCTCCACCACGTGTGGTTTCCAAGTTATCGTGATTTTTCACTTGAGTGCCCTGAGCAGGACAGACCTCAGAAGTTTCAGGTGCTTGGAGAATTCTACAGAGCTTTTTGCTGTGTCTGGGTCCCACATCCAGCTCAGCTGCTGGAGCTGAGCCCACTGGGTGCAGCTGCCTCTCTGCTTTCCTTTTTAGCTCCTTTTTTTTGCACAGTGCAAAGGCAGCAGGTGGGCAGCAATGCTTCAGCATAGAATTATCCATAAATCATCATTGCAGTGGGGCCTTGGTTTGTTTTCTTCCCTTTCTTAATTTCTACTCATGTATTTTTTTCCCCCTTTCAGGATATAGTGAGGTCGCTGCTTGGCAGCCCTTGCAGCCAACCTGGGCTGCTGTTCTCAATATCTGCCAGCTGTTCTGCCATTGCACTGTTGCACAACACAGCAAAATCTTGGAGCTTTTTAAGGCTTAACTCGAGGTCTGAATTCAACCAGAAAGCACTGCTTAACAGGAATTGATTTTCAGCCCATCTCTTCGCTACTGCTTCCAGCTGGGGGGATGGCAGCCTTCCTGCAGAACGGCTGCATTTGTACCCCTTCCAGAGTCAATGCAAGGAGAGCTTTGTTCCCAGCACCTTTTCTGGGCATGTAATCAACTTGCTGGATTTAGGTCTCTCACTGGGTTTTCCTTATGTCACTACACTGAAAGCTATTTTGCTTTTGATCCCCAAAGAGAGAAGAGCATTAATGCTCTGTAGCTTTATTTATGGCACCTATTGCTATTTCATTTATTCCTTGTAACTTCTGGCTGCAGATTTTTCCATCCTGGGGCATCATGGCAGCAAAGTGATTTTCTCCAGAGGCACAAGCTCAATAGTTCAGGCAGGCCCTGTGTGTTTCTACCTTCCCAGTAAAAAAAACTTAGCAATTTATGCTTGTATTAAATAAGTTTTCTCAAATAGCCCAGAGCAAAACTCAACACCCTAAAGAAATCAAACACGTGAAAACCCTAAAGAAGCTGCTGTTTTTCTTCTTCAGAGAGAAGCCAACACGCTTGTTTTTTTTAAAGAGATGCAGAACCAAGAGAGCTCTGAAGCGCTGAAATTACATCTTGTACAGCACAGGCTGTCACGCTCAGAGGCCCCCCAGCATCGCTGCTCGACACAGCTGAGCGCAGAGAGCAAATCTGCCATCCACGAGCCCTGCGCTGGGACTTAGTGTTCTCGTTCTGACTAATTATTACTGTGTTAATTTGACAAAGAGATGTTCCTCTTTGCAGGAACTTTCCAGCGCTGCGCTATTTTTTTTTTTATTATTATTTTATTTTTTTCCAGCTGCTCTTTAATTCTGAAAGTCTTCTATTCTCTCCATATCCTCATACCCTTCCATACTCTTCCCACAGTGTATCTGTGCTGATGGTGACCACCTCGGGATGCTGGGATGCTCCCTTATTGTGCCTGAGTTATGGTCTCAGGCTACAGAAACGTGCTGAGCTGCTGCCCTGGCAGGAGAATTGGGTGGAGAAGAACCTGATGAGGTTCAACAAAGGTGTGTGTAGAGTCCTGCACCTGGAGAGGAATAACCACATACATCAGTACAGGATGAGGATACTGATACTGAGTATGCGTAGAGGACGTCCTGATGAAGAGGAGCTTTGTGGAGAAGGAGCTGGGTGTCATGGCTGACCCGTGGCTGACCATCAGGCAGCACTGTGCCCTCATGGCCAAGAAAGTCAGTGTTTTTTTGGCTGATCAGAGATTGACCATGAGCTAGCAGTGTGCCCTCATGGCCAGGAAGACCATTGGTGCCCTGGTTGACCAATGGTTGATCACAAGCCAATAGTGTGCCCTTGTGGCTAGGAAGGCCAATGGAACCCTGGGGTGCATTACAATTACACACCCAGCAGGGCAAGGGAGTTTCTCCTCCCCTCTGCTGTGCCCTGGGGATTCCACATCTGGAGTGCTGGGCCTGGTGCTGGGCTCCTCAGCTCAAGGCAGATATGGAACTGCTGGAGAGGTGGCAAGTCTCCTCCTCTGGTGATATTCAACACCTCCCCTGAACACGGCTTCTTTAGCAGGAGGTTGGTTGCACTGGGTGATCTCCAGAGGTCCCTTCCAGCCCTTGCAGTTCTGTAGTTCTGTGACATGCCTGCCTCCAGCCCATCCACCTGAGACCTGAAACATCCCCACTGCAGGGCAGATCACGGCCATCAGTGCGATGCTGAATTTCAGGAGCAGCCACCCGAAAGCTCAACATCCCTCTTTGTGCTTCGCCTTTCAAGCAGGCTGATCAGAGACTCTGTTGAAATGGAAATCAAAAAGCTGCCAGGCTTGGAACATTAATTAAGATACACAACAGGGAGAAACGCAGAGGGGAGCGTCTGATTGTGAGTTATCTGTTTGGAGAGGAAAGTGTTTGTGGATTCCATGTGCATATATCATTTTGGTGTGAATGAAAGAAATTGAATCCAACTACAAGGGAAGTTTGTATACCTCCGTGGATTTAATTTTCAAACTTGCATTGTGCAAAGATTAACCTTGCTGAAGGGCATAAGCAGAACAAGCAGAACATGTGAAAGTTAATCCCTGATATCAGTTTCTTCAAGAGGAAGCACCAAGCTGAGCTAAATACTTATTGTGTACAAATACCTTCTTCCTCCTCCCACTGCTTTCTTCCTAGCTCTGCATTATGGCTGTTTCTGCTGAAGGCTCTGCCCAGCACGCCTGCAGGCCCGGATGCACAGCACTCCTGCACAACGTAGCTGTTGAGCAGCCTGCTATTGCTAAGGAATATTAATGATATTTTTGAGTAGGAACCTGTGTCCTTGAGCATGCATGGGTACAGATATCTCTGCCCCTTGCTCCCGCAGCTTCGGTTGCTACGAAGCCCTGCATTCACATCCATGGAGTAAAGAGAAGGCACAAATTAGCCCAAAGCCTCACTGCTCTGTGGAGGAAAGCATCAGGACTGAAGAATGCCTTTGGAAAAGCCATTCGGTTCCCGATAGCCTCTCTCATCTCTGTCTTTATGGGCTCTGTATTCCGAGCTAATTGCTTTCCTATCTATTCTGCTGTGGTGTTTATTACACCAAGCTCCTCTCTGTGCACCAGGAGGGACTGCACCAGGCAACCGTGTTCCATTGCTGCCAATGGGGCTCCAATATTGACCCTGGCACAGATCAGGAAAGGGACCAGCAGTGCTTCTAGCCTGCCACGTTTTAGCTCTCCGGGGATTAATTAGTGCTTTTCTAGGGCCCAGAGAACTCCAGGAATGGTGTGTGTATTTTTAGTAGGACTGAGGGGGATGCATAACTCACTTCTCCATGTTTCTCTCCCTTATCTCTTTCCTCTCATTTCAAGTCTGGCAAAACACAGCCATTTCTATTGTGGAGTGTTTTCCAATCTAATTAGCTAAATGTTTTCACTGGGGTTTGAGACCCTTGATTGAAAGCCAGCTGTTTGCTATTAGGCACTGCTAATAAGGTCAACCACGCTCTGGGCTCAAAATATTTGTGTGAAATGCTGCAGATAAAAGCAAGCAGGAACCCACACACAATGCCGCCACAGCATCTCCCTTTGCAGCCAGCTCTTGTGTGGCCATGGGGCATCCCTGACTCCTCGTTGGCTGTGCATCAAGGATCACACAGTTTTCCTTTATCCTCCTCCGTTTGGGCTGAGGAATAATTCACTTGCTACCTCGTTTTTTATTTCATTTTTTAACTCGCTCCCCTCTGAAGATTGATAGCGCTTTACTGTAAAGGGGAGAAAATCAACTCACGCTGATCTATGGCCAGACGTTATTTCTTCTCGTGGAGTCTCATCTGCAATTTGTTCAGCAGCTTTGAAATTAAAATTCTTTTGCAATCTCCCCAGATAGCTGAAAATACGCCGTTATTGCCCTCTCTCAGATGCCTGCTCCCTCCGATCAGGGCATGGCATTATCAGCACCGTGCATTCTGCTTTGCATTCAGAAGTTTTGGGCTGTAAATAATGTCTCTGTGTGGCTCAGGGAGAATTATTCGGGGCCGTTTCTTTTTCATTTTTTTTCCTCTTTTCCTTCTTTCTCCCTTTTCCTTCCTATCTTTCTTTCTTCACATCTCGGAATGGGCGATAAATTAATCGCTGCTTCCCCCGTAGCAACCACCAACATGCAATATGGAGCTGATTACTTCACACCTGTGATTTAGGCTCAGAGGTGACCCTGCAAATGGTGTTTAAAAAAAAAAGAAAAGCTTATTGTGTGCTGCCTGGGAGGCACAGAGCACAGTGCAGTCCTAGAAAGCAGCACAGGGTCATAGAATCATAGAATGACCTTGTTTCAACCCTCCTGCTATATGTGCAGGGTCGCCAACCTCCAGACCAGGCTGCCCAGAGCCACATCCAGCCTGGCCTTCAATGCCTCAGGGATGGGATGACCGTGCTCTATTCCCTCTCTATCCCAGAGAGGAATTCTCAAAGCCTTGGTGCATCGCCATTGCTGTCCAGAGCGAATTAAAACTGGAGACCAAAAAACAACACCATCCAAAAGGTCTGTCCCATGGAGACTTTTCCTACTCTTCTGGGGTGAGTCCAACTCCCTTTTCTTGCCTGCATCTCTATTTATTTCCCAAAAGCCAAAGGTTTCATGTTGTTTTGTTTCTAATGGAGCTAATTGGATCGGTGAGCAGAGGAAGCTTTCAGGAGGAGCTGCTGATGAGCAGATAGCACGCAGAGCTGGTGTGTAATCCCATCCTTACCCACTGCCTTGTTAAGATCCTTATTGCAGACATACACCCAGCTGGGCTTAGTATCAAGGTTTGTGCTTCTCTCCTCCTCCCTCCCCTTCCTGCCTTTTTTCTTTTTCCTCATCATATAATTTGCTGCCGTGTGCTGGAGGAAAGCCTCCTTTAACAGGTACACGTGTTGCACTGAGCGACATCCTCAATTTAAATGGAAATTCCATCAGTAACCAACGTGCCATCTCTCCTCGTCTGGGAAAGGGCTTAGAAATATCATTCAGAGGTAAAACAAAAATAAAAAAAAATAAAAATGAAAAGCCACAGTTTGAACCCGTTGGTACCGGAGCAGGGAGCAGGTGCTGTCCTCTCAGAAAGGCCAATTGTAGATAATGATCTGCCCGTTTGTTTGCAGCCAAGGGAGTGTAAATTATCTGCCTGAAATACGAGCTCAGTAATCAAGGCTGAAAATGAAATGAAGGTGGGAGGAAATGGGAATCTCATTAAGTGGTGACCACTGCCACGTCTTCCAGCGGCATTAAAAGGTGTTGGCTGAATGCAGGGGCCAAGGTGGGGACAAAGAGGCAGAAACAGGAGCTATGAGAGCAAGACTGAACAGGAGGAAGGTAGGAGCAGCAGCGTTTTCTTCCGACCACAGCAAATTTGGGAGATGTTTTTGCCTTGGAAGAGGGAGTGCAAGGGATACGAAGAGGTTGAGGTGTGTAAAGGGGCTCAGTGTGTGCTCAGGTCCCATCTTCACCCTCTCCTTTTCTGCAGCCTTTTCATCCTGTTCCTTTTGCCTCTGTTTCTCACTATTTGTCCATTTGACTTCTCTGGTGGGTCAGAGATCTTCCTGCGTCATGTAATGCTATGGAAGCCCTGAAAGCCATCCCCCAAGCATAACTCGTAATGCAAAATGAATCAGAAGGAATATTTACCCATTTTTTTTTTTTTTTTTGTAGAATAGGGGGAAAAAAAAATAAAGGCAAAATATTCTATTGTCCTCTCATCATTCAAAATTCCAGAAATGCTCACAAACAGCTCTTTTCTGGATGGGAAACTTTCCAAAATGAGAAACTTTCCCAGATCCTCATGTTGTTAAAAAGCCATTTGCTCCTAGGAGGGATACTTGGAAGCATATTTTTCAGCCAGCTGTAAAAATAAATCATTGACTATTGCTTCCTTTGACTGATGAGATTTATGGGTGCTGTATGGATGATTTATAGAGAAGATCACTTAAAAATGCTCTCTTGGCTGTTCTCGATAAAAAGCATTGATGCTCTCTGTGCTGCTGCAGGGCCATGCTCTATTGCAGCAAGCAAGGCAAGGACCTCAAATACAGAATCAGCCTCACTGCTTGCAGTCTGTATTTGACCACAGGGAAGAAGGGGGATGAGTGGGGAGATGAGCAGTGTGGGAATGTGCATCCCTCACTTCTCAGAGGCAGGATTCCAGCACCGTAGAGCTGGGAGTTGAGTCCCTTCCTGGGCTGACAGTGATCCATTAGGAGGATGGAGGAGGTCCAGCAGTGCAGAGGTTGTGTGGGATGTCACAGGGGATAAACGTCTCCTTCAGTCTGTATCTGGGTTGATGTGTTGATGTCTTTGCTGCTTTTCGTGGTCCCCATCCTCTCCAGAGATGGGAATAAGTCCCTGGTCCCTGTCCAGATCTGGGACTTAGCTGCTTTTCTAAATTTGTTGAGATTCATTTATGGCTGTAACGGAGCCTCTGCCTGTATGTTTAAATCCCGAGGAAGTGCAGCCTTGCAAATGTCTGATCACTTGCGATGAATAATTCGGGTTGACAGGCAGTCAAGTGAAGATGAGTGGCTTCTCTGCCATCCACATCTCTAAGAATACTTGGTGAGAAGTTTCCGTTTGCTGCAGCTGGTGACTGCACAGCTTGGGTTTTCTCTTCCTAGCTGATCAACCCCAGAACAGGCTCAGGCAGAGCCTTTCCCCTCGTATTGTAAATTACAGCAGGATAAATGCATTACAGGGCCAAGCAGGCTGGGGCTGCTCCTGTGCTCCCTAGGCTCAGTGTCACACTCTGAAGACATCTCCAAGTCCATAGCAATGATAGCACAGAAGAGAAATAATATGAGTTCATCTGTGCCTGTCCCAGCTGTGCTTCAGGCCAGGCTGGAGGAGCCACCTGTGTGAAATAAAAGGCTTTAAGGAGTGAAGGGATCAATTTCACCTGAAGCTGTTTTTTTTTCTCAGAAGCTGAGGATTTACTTTAGTGCCCATCCTCAGCAATGGATTCAGCATGAAATACTGCATGAGGGAAGAGCATCTTCATTCACTGAATAGAGATTTGAGGGAAATCAGTGCTTCCTGAGGAGTGCGGGTCCAATGGAAGACCTCAGCACCCTCAGTCTGTGCGTGGCATCTACTGACGTGTCCTTCTTATGGAAAAATAAAGCCTACTGAAAGATAAATAAGTACCGGGCCTAAAATAAAACAAATTGAAAAAAGCAAGTGCTCCGGTGAAGGGAAGATGCTGGAGGGTTCATCTGCTGGTAGGGTTTTGGAACAGAACCCATTCCCTGTGCTGGATGCAATGACCATAAGGGCTGGAAGATTTGCTTTGCCCTAGGGCACCCTAACCCAAAGATGTGGTGGGATTTGGATGGAAACAAGGAATGAGGGAAGTTTAACTTATTCAGTAGTTAATTATTCAATAGTTTGTCAACATGCTATCAATTATGACAGGTGTGCCAACAGCCACAGAGCAGCGAGCCCTGGGAGCAAGGTTAGAGCTTGTAGGAGCATCCCCAGTGCCAACGCATGACCTTGCTAAGGGCTGCAGTTAATGCAGATTCAACAAATAAATAAACATTTGTAATAGGTCTGGTACCTGACCTCATCCCAACGGTGATCACTAACAGAATTATTGACCTAACCGTTTGCTGTTGGAGAATTTTGGAAATGCCAGGTGGGTGTTCATAAATCATGCAGTACCGCTCATTTTTCTTCCTGGACTCAGCCCGATGCTGGGGCTGTGTAAATCATGGTGTACAGAGCCTTGATGGGGTGCCATAAATCTCAGAGCTCTCACCTTCTTTTTTTCTTTTTTTTCCTTTTATCTTTAATAATTAAAGCTCAAACAGAGAGCAAGAAAGGCTGAGGCCCTCCACGAGCTCTGAGTTTTTGGGAGGTTTTGGGGGTATTTGCTGTATTTTGGATTCCTTGTCCAGCCTGAGCCACAGGGCTGCCTAACCCCGAGAACCCAAACAGCAGCAAAATCTGAGCTGAAGGGCTGTTGGGAGTATTGCTGTCAGGAAATTCACGCTGAGCACTACGTAAAACCAAAACGACCCTTCCTTGTATTTCAGTTTCTGTCTTTCATTCCAAATTAGGATGAATGAGATGATCAGAAGGAGATACGAAGAGGATATTTAAGGGACGGTCCAAATGGTTTTAGAAATGAGTCTCGGGGGGAACGCAGTTGTAAAAATTAAGCCAATTAGATTGACCATGGGTTGTTTTTCCTCTTCACGAGGAAGCACGCAGAGGTAGATAATTAAGGCCAGTGCAGATGTAAGGATTAGTATTCCCGGCTGCTAAGCCCACAGTTTTAATTAGTCACTGGGTCTTTCTGCAGGGCCATGTTAATAGACAAGGGCGTGGTGACCTTTTCCTTTGTTTTTTTTTACCAGGTTCATTACAGCCCTGCTTATTGCCAGGAAGCATTACAGCTTTGTGCTTGCAGCAGCTTTAAAGGCAGATGAAAGCCATCGTACCAGGGTACCCCAGAGGCACACCAAGTGCATCATCCCAGGTGAGAACTCCTTGGTTTCTGTCTTGCTTTCCCAAGTTTCGTGCTGCTGTGCTCCATGCCTTGTGGGGATGTAGCAAATCCAGCAAATCTGTTGGTGTCTGATAAAAATCAGTGTAAGCCAGAAGGACATTACTGCTCTTGACACAAGAAGACACTCAGCCAACTTTCTCATAAAACAACAGAATCACAAAATCAAATGATTTGGTAGTAGATTGGATGAGACCTTCCCGACCATCTGGTTCCAACCTCCTGCCACGGGCAGGGACACCTCCTGCTGGAGCAGGCTGCCCAAAGCCCATCCAGTGTGGGATGTGTGTAGAGTGCCTGAACTGCTCAGCAAACCATTGATTTCTCGGGTTTATTGATGCACAACGATTATTTGTGGGTCTTTGAAATGGAAGTATCTGTCTCAACCCTATTGTAATTGTGTCGATATATGTACCTGACTGTGGTAAATCAGACCAACCTTGTGAAACCTCTGCTGTTACACCATGTAAATGAGACCAGAATCATGCCAAAACCTGGCAGTAAATGAACTGCAGCAGCAAAAGCAAGTTTAATGGCTGTGTACTGCAATTTAATGGATATGTGCAGCCCTTGTTTTATTACCAGGTTTTAGGAGAATAGCATCCATTTAATTGACTTTGATAGAAGGAGGTCTCCTCAGTACTGCAGACTAGGGCAAAACCAATCATGAATATAATTAAAGTATTTTCTTCCAATATGTATTTTGTCTTGCAGTAACACCTGCCCCGCATACCTTGCTGGCTGCAGGAGCTCTGTTCCCTTCCTTGTTATGGGGAAGAGCAACCCAACACATTCAGGTCTCTGCAGCCAAGCAGCCCACAGGTGCTACAGCCAGAATGTTGTAGGCTTCACACATTTGTCTCAATCAAGCACAATCAGTGACAGCATCAGTTGCCCTCAGCAATCACACCCAGAGCTTTCTGAGCTTCTCTTGGGGCTGGGATGATTATACTGGAGCAGGATGAGCCACAAGGGCCGTTGCTGAGGTTTGGGACCCAGTGTACACCTCACTACTCTCTCCAAGCAGAGAAATGGTTTTGCCGTGGCTGGCAGGCACTGCATTTCAGTTCAGAGTGGGGCCATGCTTCTGGGATCCTTCATTAACAAAAACAAGCTGAAAATAAATGCCAAAACGTAGGACAATTATCACGCAATTAATTTCAGTCCTGTCACCATAACATTCTGTTTGACCTTATTCATTGTTACTTGATCTTCAGCTCGTTAATATTTCAGGTGACCTTTGGGGCTGGGAAGAAGCTGCAGTTTTCCACTAGCATCCATGAGTCAACACGAGCATCAAGTCACAGCAGCACGCCAAACCTCATTTATCATTCCATTTAAGGTGTCAGCAGAGCCATTATTCAAATGGATGGCCACACATGCAATCAATCTTTAATGAAACAATAATTGCACCTTCCACTCTGCAAGACCTCTGCCTTTCTTAAAGGTATCTTGTGTATTAATTATTGAAAATGTCTGTGTTTTACCAGCAGTAAGTTATGTTTCACCAATTGCCATCTTTCAAGAGAGTTTTAACTGGGTAATTTATGACTCTCGATTTCGCTAAGGAAAAAATAAACAGTAGATACTGTTCTTTCTCTTGCTTTAGCATTTCTCATGATTCTAGTGGGGTTTTGTATCTGGATAGAAACATGGAAAGATGGTCCCAATGGGATCCTTGGCAGTAAAGAGAGAGACCATGTAGATGCCACCCACAGGTGGTACTTTTGAATGTCACTGTGCAAAACACTCCCGTTCTGTAACAGTGGTCTTTGTGGCAAAGTCAACCAAAAGAGCCGCAATATGTTCCCAAGCTGGGATACCTCAGGGCTGCCTGCGTCTCTTTCCCCTTGAAAAATATTCAAACTTGCTTTATTTGCCAAAATTTGGGGGGATTAAATTCTGATACATGTGGTAGGAAACAGGGCTTGTACCAGGTGAGATCCCCTGATTGCTTTTGCCACATGAAAAGCTGCTGCTTTTACAGACTGATTTGGGGTTGGGATGGTGGGATTGGTGTTGGGATTGGCTCACTCTGTGTATAAGTTGGCCTTGAATCCAAGGGGAGGTGAGCCAAAAGGTTGAGTGCTGGCAAAATCCGGAACCTGATAAATCTCATTGTCATTTAAATTTTTATTAAAATGAAAATTCTTATGCGTTTATTGACTCTGAGGCTCTTCTCTTCCCGAAGGAGACTCAAGAGAAAGATGCAACTGGCTGTGAGCTGCCTGGTTGGGAGGTAAATTGCTCAGCCACAGAGCAGTGCTTTGGGAAGTGAAAGAAGTAATGGTGGGATGAGTGCCACTGTTGGTGGTGTAACCTCTGTGGGTTTCAGAAATGGCAGCAGTGCTCTGTTCTTAATACAACTACGGGGAAGTTAAAATTAAGCAAGTTCCTATTATTAGGTTCTTTATTATTATTAATATCTCAGTATTTTATTATTCTTTATATGTTTTTCCCTCACCGTGATCGCAACTCTTCAGCTGGATATTTTGTCTTCTGTTTATTCCTGGAATCACTGGCAGCTTAGTTGGAAAAGGATATTGCAATGGCCTGGTACCCTGAGCTGTTTGCACCGATGTCCCCACGGAGGGGACACAGAGAGCTGGCTGGGAGAAGAAAATGAACAGTTCTATTTATGCAGCACGTAAATGATCACGGAGCAAGGTAAGTATGTTAACAAAGAGCCTCTGCTTGCAGCAGCTGTGACAAGGCTGTGTCTTGGGGAGCAATCTCTCTTGCTGTTAAGTTTCCCTCTGGTTCCTATCGACTCTGTGTGCTGCACCAGGGCAGCTCGTGCATTGTACAACACAACTCTTATGCGTCGAGCAACCCGTTGTGCAGGTAAAGCTTCAAGCACAGTGCTGTTTACTTTTATCCTCTCTTTCCAGAACGATTTCCATTTGCCTACATTCTTTCCTGCTCTCAGCTGCCCCAGGTCAGGGTCTCCCTGTGCTGAGCCAGGGCACAGACCTGGCTCATGTTGGAGGGGCGATGCATTGCTGACATCCCATGGCTGACACCCAGGTGGGCTCACAGCCCTGGCCATAAGGAACTCTCCTGGAGCAAAGCCCTGGAGCACTGCAGTGGGTAGGGGAAAAAAAGCCATTAAACCCTTCTGCCAGCACAGGATTAGCTAGTGCAAGGTTAAATCTCACTTCTTAAGAGGCTGGATTGCAGGGTGATAAATGGCACGGCTTCCTGTATTGTTTGGTAATTAACTGTTTGAATCCTTTTGTATTAAGGGGAGGGAAAGGGGGAAAGATAAGAGAAGAGGGATGCCCTGTTCCTTCTGTACACGCTGAGCTCCATTCATTGTGAAAGGATTTATAGTTTTCATCATAATTTAATTCTAAAACATATCACTTAATTAAAGGGATTTATTAAAAATCCCCTGGCAATGCTTTTTTACGATTAGCCCAGGAATCAGCCCTTGAATGTCATGGAAACAATTCATCAATTGATTTGTTTAACTGCACAGGTCTCACCCCTCCCCGCTCTGGACAGAAGAAAGGAATCTATAGACCAAAGCTCAAAAATCTCAAGGATGGATCAGATGTTGATTCCATCCCCTTTTTTTTTTTTTCCATTCCCTTCCTCGTATCTTTGGGACTGGTTTACGAACCTTTGTTAATGAGCTGATTAACAGTGATGATGGAGGGCTCAGCTATATGTCTGTCCTATGGCTGTGGGCAGGGATGGGCAGTGCTCACTGCAAGGTGCCATGTGGGCTCTGCAAGACCTGCATCCAACCCAAGGAGATCCATCAGTTGTAAGGGGGAAGAGATTCCTAACTGCACCGCTGAAGGCAAAAGCTTGGGACTGTTTCTAGGCTTCTTGAATTGCCTCAAGGCTCCAATTATTAAAGGGGAATGAGAACACAAATAGGTTGTGGACCAGCATCTGCCTTCTTCATCCTTTTTGGAGAGGAAGAGACCCATTCAGGGGGCTCTGAGGCAGGAGCACATCACTCCATGCTAGTCAGCTCACTGTCGCCAGCCCTGGCCGCTGCCATTTGTCTCTCTCAGAGTTATTCTCTTCCCATTTGAACTTTGGATAAAATGTCTCGAACCTCTCTTCTCACAACCCATAAATCTTCCCTTAACCCAAGTGGAGAGCTTGGGAGTCTTATTAAAAAACTCATGAGTGAGTTCAGACCTTCCCCAGTGACTCTGTGCCTGCAGCCTTTTAAGTCTTCCACGGTGAAATCAGGAGTTTCAGTGCCGACTTTGGCATTGCTCCCCAAGCTAAAGCCTTGTGCTGAATACAAAGCAGCACTTCAGGGCTCCATCTCCAGATCCTCACATCAGGCTTAAATGCAGTATGTCTTTGGATGTAGCTGTCTATTAGCCCTGTTTATTAGATCTGGAAGGACTGGTAGAGAGAGAAAAGGGAAAAAAAGCCCGCAGAGGGAATGCTCTTTCTGTTCAGCACAAGATGTGAAGGGGACTGAAGGTGAAATATTACTTCAGGAGATGCATTTATGATCTGCCCGCGCTGATATTTTAATTGGCCCCTGCATGTTAATAGGAGGTGATTCCAGCACTGGTCCTTTTCTTTTTCGCCTCCACCTTCTCAGCTGCAAGGAGCAGCTCTTCTCCAAGTCAACCAGCCTATAGGCTCAGTGTTTTAGGTGGCATTTATGAAAGTTCTGAAATTGTTTGGAAAAACATTTCTCACCATTCTCATAGGTTTTGTCCCCCTTAACCTGCGTGACCCCCTCCTGTTTGTACTCTCCCAACATTTCACTCCAGCTTGTGATGCTCTGACAGCAGTACCTATGATCAATGTATTCAGAGCCATGCGACCCTATTTCCAGTTGGACCCAGCCAGCAGGCAGGACTTGTCTTCTGACACCAGAAGGCAGACACACGAATCCCATCTCATCAGTGCTTTGTCCCACATCCTATGGTTCCACACTGCAGGAATGGCCAAATTTCCTTTGCCCTTGTCTCTGTGGGTCCCATACCCTGGCTGGGCTGGCCAGGATGCTCGTGGGACTCCATCTTCTGAGTCCTGGAGAAACTGCTGACCACATCGTTCCTCTTGGCCCCTTGGAGGTGTTTTTTCCCAGAGCTTTCAACTCTCCCTTCTGTTCTGTTGAGGAGTGAAGGTTGCTGGTGTAGCAGTTCATTTGCATTACAAAATGTGAGCTGTTGTCCTTAGGCTTATGAAGAGCTGTCAGAGGACTGAATTAAAGCGCAATGCCCCAAGTCCCTCTTGGTTTGTATTTAATTAAGGCTTTTCATTCATCATTTATTTCTGCATCCCATCTTCTTTGGTAGTTTATCAAAAAAGAGAAAAAAGGTTTCCTCCTGACAAAGATGCTGATAAGTGTTTTCTGAAGGCAACAGGCTTCTCTGCTGCCCGCACTTCTTATTTCTTTAACACATGCATATTTTTTAATGACACAGGCACTTTTGATTTACTTTTTACAAAGAGAGTCCGGCCAAATTTACAAGAAACACATGCATATATAGTGTGTGTGTGTATATATATGTGTGTATTTTATTGTGAGTCTTACAGCTCTGGTTAAGTGCTGCTTCCAACATCGGTGCCCAGCGCCCCTGAGGGACAGAGAGCTGCTTATGGCACTTCAGGTATAAAATTCACAGCCATGAAGAAGAGGCAGTGAGAAGTCTGTCTGATTCTTTCCAGGTGCTGCTCTGTGCAGGAGCTCCCATCTTCCCTCAGCACGTGTCCCTGTGTGAGATCTGGAGTCTTTCAAGTCTGGATATGGGAGTGATGCTGTGCACAAGCCTTGGCTTGGTTTCTGCAAAAGCTCATTCTGAAAAGAAGGGGTTTTTATATATCCTCCCATCTTTCCTTCTGCTACACAAATGTACTCTCTCAGTGCAGATAATTAAACATGCTCACACATCCCCAAAGCAGAGCAGCTCAGGTGTGACCAAACGTGCCCGTTCCTGCATTTCACCCTTTGAAAGCTTCACAAATCAAAGAGACTCACTTTCAGACAGTGATGAATTGCTTACGCTCCCATGTGTTTGCTTGGAGTCCTCCTTTAAGAAAATGTGAATGTTTTTGCTGGCTGTGAAAGTGTGGGGGAGATGCTCCAGTCCTCTCGAGGTGTGAGGAGCAAGCTGGCATCCATCTCCATCCCCATAAAGCTGCACTGGGGGGTTCATTGCCACACTCCAGGCTGTGTGGGTATGGAGCTTTGTCACAACACTTCATCCCAGCTTGGCTGGATCCCCTTTCCTTTTTAAACCCCAACTGCTTTGCTTCTGATCTGACCTGCTTCATCTCCCTGGCTCTGTCTTTCCCTATGATGGC